AGCTCATCTACCCCACATTTTTTGTTTTTCTCTTTTTTAAAGTAGACTTTATTTTTTTTAGCGCAGTTTTAGCTTCATAGCAAAATTGAACAGAAAGTACACAGAGTTCCCATATACCCCCAGACCGCACACACACGCACAGCCGCTCCCACTGTCAGCATCCTGCGCTGCAGTGGTACATGCGTTACAATCAATAAACCTACACTGGCACTTCGTTGCCACCCGAAGCCCATAGTATACATTTGGGTTCACTCTTGCTGTTGTATATTTTATGGGTTTGGACAAACGCACAGTGATGTGTACCCACCGTTATGGTCTCAAAGAGAATGGTCTCACTGCCCAGAAATCCTCTGTACCCTTCTTGTTCATCCCTCCCTCCCCTCTAGTCCCTGGAAACCACTGATCCTTTCAGTGTCCCCAAAGTTTTGCTTTTTCCAGAATGTCATATAGTTAGAATCATACAATAGGTAGCCTTTTCAAAACTGCTTCTCTCACATAGTAATATGCATTTAAGGTCTCTCCATGTCTTTTTGTGACCTGATGGCTCATTTCTTTTTAGTGCTAATATTCTGTGCCTGGATATACCACAGTTTATTAATCTATTCACTTACTGGCTGTGTCCAAGTTTTGACAGTTATGAATAAAGCTGCTATATATATCTGTGTGCAGGTTTTTATGTGGGTATGTTTCAACTCCTTTGGGTAAATTACCAAGGAGCCCAATGGCAGATTGTATGGTAAAAGTAGGTCTAGTTTTTTAGGAAACCACCTACTGCCTTCCAGAGTGGCTGTGCCGTTTCGCATTCCCAGCAGTGAATGAGAGTCCCTGTTGCTCCACGTGTTCGCTGGCACTTGGCGTTGTCACTGTTTTAGATTTGGGCCATTCTACTAGGTGTGTAGTGGTATCTTATTTTAATTTGTAATTCCCTGATGACAGCGTGTTGAGCATCTTTTCACATGCTTCTTTGCCATCTGTATATATTCTTTGGCGAGGTGTCTGTTTAGGTCTTTGGCCCACTTTTAATCAGGTTGTTCTCATTGTGGAGTTTTAAGTGTTCTTTGTATACAGGCAGACTTTGTTTTATTGCAGTTGCTTTATTTCTGCTTCACAACTATTGCATTTTTTTTTTCAAATTGAAGGTTTGTGGCAACCCTTTGTTGTCAGATGATAGTTAGCATATTTTAGCAATAAAGTATTTTTAAATTAAGGTATGTAATTTAATTAAGGTAATTTAAATTAAGGTATGTAATTGTTTTCTTAGAATACTATTGCACACTTAGGAGACTACAGTATAAACATAACTTTTTTTTTTTTTTTTTTGCTATATTTGGGCCTCTCACTGTTGCGGCCTCTCCCGTTGCGGAGCACAAGCTCCGGACGCGCAGGCTCAGCGGCTATGGCTCACAGGCCCAGCCGCTCCGCGGCATGTGGGATCTTCCCGGACCAGGGCACGAACCCATGTCCCCTGCATCGGCAGGCGGACTCTCAACCACTGCACCACCAGGGAAGCCCCTAAACATAACTTTTTAAAATTTTTATTTATTTATATTTTGGCTGCGTTGGGTCTTCGTTGCTGCGCGCGGGCTTCCTCTGGTTGCAGCAAGCAGGGGCCACTGTTCGTTGCCGTGCATTGGCTTCTCATTGCGGTGGCTTTTCCTGTTGCAGAGCACCGGCTCTAGGCGCGCAGGCTTCAATAGTTGTGGCACACGGGCTCAGTAGTTGTGGCTTGCGGGCTCTAGAATGCGGGCTCAGTAGTTGTGGCACACAGGCTTAGTTGCTCCGCGGCGTGTGGGATCTTCTGACCAGGGCTCAAACACATGTCCCCTGCATTGGCAGGCGGATTCTTAACCACTGAGCCACCAGGGAAGTCCCTAAACAACTTTTATATGCACTAGGAAACAAAAAAATTCACTTTATTGTGTCTAGTTGTTCCAGCACCATTTGTTGTATTGTATTGCTCTTTGATCAGTTGAATCTGTGAGTTTCTTTCTGGGCTCTCTATTCTGTTCCATTGATTTATGTGTGTAATCTTTTGCCAGTACCACACAGCCTTGAGTACTCTATAGTCAAGGTTGAAGTCAGGTATTCTCAGTCCTGCACCTCTGTTCTTCTCCAGCACTGTGTTGGCTGTTCTCACCTTATCTACCCTGAGCCCCCAAGCAGTCTGTCAATTACAGTCGGATTTTCCCACTGTGATACTGGTTCCTGTGGAAGTTTGAGTTTGTGGATTTCTGCTCCAAGAAGTTATAGTTCTCTGTATTTACCTGTCTAGCTCCAATTCAAGTGATAGCAGTTTGCCCTGTGACCTCACTTCTCTGACAGAAGAATTGTTGATTTTTCAGTTTGTTCAGCTTTTTACCTGCTAGAACACAGTGACAATTTCCAAGCTGTTTACATCCTGGACCAGAAACCATTATGCCTATCCCGTTTTTATCTACTAGAGTCGTTCTCAAATTTGGAAGAGGTTTGAGACACCATCCAGTACATCCCTGTAGGTGATGTTTGGGGAGTACCTTCCCCTCCCCCCACCATACACACAAACACCGTCCTCTACCCCGTGGACAGTTGATTGCCAGGGATGTGTGTCCATTCAATTTAGCTCCAGTGGTTAGAACACTCTTGTTACACCTCTCTTTGGTCTTAGTTTTGCCCTTTACTGAAGGCAGGTACAAGGAGGGGAAGAGGAGAGAGACAGGCTGTAGGCTCTCCCTGAAGGGCCAGAGGCAGCCCCGTCCTACCCTGCAGTCTCCTAGAGGACACTGGATGTGACGAGACTGCTCGGGGACGCCAGAGAGCAGCACATATGCTCCTTTGAGCTCATCCTCCCAGGTCAGTGAGACCACAGGTCCCCGGGGTTACAGTATTCCTGGGAGGACTCCCTCAAAGAAGGGAGCCAGTTTTAGGCTTTGAAGCATCATGGGGAGCCTTTGGCAGACTGGTGGGGTCGGGGGGAGGGTTAGGAGAACAGATAAGTTAATCAAGAAATTAAGGTTGGGGCATTTGGGAGTGCAGTGAAGCCAGTGGCATTTGGGGATCATAGTTACAACTATGGAAGGTCTTTGGTTGAGTCTCACTCTTCTATCAGCATCTCCTCATCATTTATCTATCTGTGTTTTAGAATCCTACACCAAGAACTGGAAGGATCCTTAGAGAGCATCTAGTTCAAGTTTTCCTTATACACAGATGCAGAAATAGAGGCCAGAGGGATAGAAGGAGCAGACTGCGGATCACAGGGAATCAGTGGTGGAGACCAAGCTTCCTGCCTCCTACCTTCAGTCCCCTTGGAGCCTTAGAGCTGAAATCCTTACCCTGATCAGAGTGAAAAGATGATGAGGACTGAGCCCAGGCTCCTGTCTCCACCTCAGTTTTCCCCATAATGTGAGCGCCAAAGTGAGCAGCAGCAACTAGTAGCGTCTGCTTTCTTGGCAATTCAGTGAAGGCTATGCTGAGGACAAGAACACGCAAGCGAGGTGGGTGAGGAAGAAGAGGTGGGGCTGGGGACGGGGGGGAGCCTGGTGGGGAGTTTGGGAGGGGGCAGAGAGGAATGTCCTCTCCTTAGGCAGGGTTGTGGACCCTTGCCTCTGCCTTCCAGCGTCTGCCCTACCTGGACCCTCCCTCCGTGCTGACTGACAGGCCGCGGATGTAGGCACACTGTATCCAGAACTGCCCTGCACAACCTTGCTCCTTGCCTTCCCTTCACCCATGCTCCTCTGCCCATCTCGTATCTCAAAGTGTTTCAAAATCAAAACACAAAAAGGCTTTCCGATGCTTACCAAGCAAATATGTGAATGTGAGTGTGATACCCAAGCGTGTATTTTTCCCTTATGCTCTATTTAATCCCACCATTCCCCACCTCCTATGATTGAACTAGATGCCTTCCAAGCCCTGGGTCTACCTGCAGTGAGACTCCCCCCAGGGAAAAAGGATGGGGGCTTTCATCGGTGGGAGGTTCCTGTTGTCAGAGGTCCTGCCTTCTGTTAGCCTCCTGTCCTGTAAGAATCCTGACCTGCCAGCCCCCATGCCGTGCCCCATCCCAACCTCGACTCCAGCAGGGTCAAAGGACTGACCCCCAAATCGGGGGGGCTTCCACAGCGGGGGCTCGGGCTTTGTCCTTTGTCCCTCTGTGCTCACCAAGGTTGCTCAGGGTGGTTGGGCTACCCTTGGGCAGCTTTTGCATCTGTTTCTGTCTTGGGAGGGTGTTAATGGTTCCTTCCTTGATTAGATAGAGATCAAGATGCACTGGTCAGCTCTGCTGCTGAAGGGAAAGGCATTTATGCCCTTGGTGGATCTCCTGACCTTCATACTACCCTTGGATTGACTGCTGTTGCATACCACCACATGCTAGAGACCCTGCAGAAGAAAATAACTTCAGGGTCATGAGACCAGGTTGGGCTGTTGGCCAAGTTAATGTGCAGGCTGGGTCCTTGCTGCTCCACTGGCTTATCCCCCGCGGTGCAGTGTAGTAGCAACTGCCTTGTAGCGCTGAAATTACTCTCAGAATTTGGACTCTATCATAATGGGAGGGGTTTGCACTGGTGTGAATTGTAGAGGATGTTGCAGTTAGAGGGGGTGCTGTCCCTGTATACCACGTAACCTTTGGCTAAAGCTCACTGCTGTGTGCCAGGCCTGAGAAGTTCCTCTTGTGGTGCCTGTCACACAGTCCATAAAACATCCTCGGATCCTCCAAGTCAGAGTGGACTATCTTTTCATCATGTTCTGTCATTCCTAGACCAGAGCTGGGGAGCTGAGGTGTGACAGGTGGGGCCAGGCAAGGCTGATTTAAACATTAACGCAGCACCGCCACTGCCCCGAGGAGCCCGTGCCCCAGAGCGAGCTGCAGGGCTGTCTGGTGGCCCCAGCTAAGGAGGCGGTAAGCAGTGACCGTGGCTCCCTTTGCCCAGGTCGCGGCTGACATTGGCAGCTTTGGTCGCTTCCAGGTACAGCTGCTGATACTGCTGAGTGTCCCCAACCTCCTGACTGCCTTCTGCATGTTCACCCAGGTCTTCATGGTCCTGGATGAGGCCCACCACTGTTCAGTGGCCTGGGTCAAGCACCGGACTCTGACCCTGAGCGCTGCTGAGCAGCCGGTGCTGAGCGTGCCTGTGGATGCGGCAGGCAGCCCTGAGCCCTGCCTCCCATTCCGGCCACCCCCGACGGTGCCAGCCTGGAGGACGTCCTCAGCCACAGCTTCAGTGAGACACAGCCTTGCGAGGTGGGCTGGGTCTATCCTGCAGGAGGCCCCTCTCCCTAAAGAATGAGGTAAGGCTGCCCTTTGGCCTATCTTTCCACCTCTTTTTAGTCCGTCAGCTCGTCTGCCCGAGCCCGTGCCCTCGGTCTCTGGTGTGGCTGCCTCTGTGGCTGCCCTGCACCCCATGCCTGAATGACGGTGGGTCCGCCTGTTTTGCTCTCTGTCCTCTGCCTGTTGGCTCATCTACCTCTCCATCCATTTCCTTTGTCCAGGGTGTCTGTCCATCTGTCCATTCATCTCTGCCTGTGCTTTTATCTGTCCCGCTGCCTGTCTGCCCAGTGGCCCTCCTTCTTGTCTCTCCTGTTCTCCTGTCCTCATGCCTCTCTTTCTCTCTCTCTCCCCCATGTTCCCACCTGCCTGTCCATTTGCCTTTGTCTTTCCGTCCACCTCTGCATGTCTGCCTGCTTACCTATCTTCGCATTTAACTAACCCTCTGATGCTACCCCTTCCCCGTCCACTCGTCTGCCTTCCTGCTTGCTTGCCTCGAGCTTCCTGCCTTCAGCCTCTCTCTCTAGATCTCCTCCTGCCTGCCTGCCTGCCTCTTAGATCCTGAAGGACACCCAGGACTCTAGGACTTGTCCTGCACATAACTGGGCAATTGCTCCTGCTAACTCCATTCTTGTAGGAGGGACCCTGGCAGATCAATAGAAAGTTCCCCACTCCAACCACCTCAGAGCAAGAAAGGCTGCTTCCCAGACAGTGGGGTTGAGCACAGAATGGGGAGATGACTTGGCGAGGGCAACGTAAAGACTTGATGGTGGAGCTGGGACTCTCTCATTCGGAGCACCTGCTGCCCAGTTCCCTGCAGGCATGGGAAAGAGCACAAATAGTCCAGAAACCTGAGGGGCAGGGGTTGGGGATCTGTGCAGCTCTCACCTTAATGGTGGCAAATCCTGAACCTCTGTGGAGGGCAATTTGAGCCCCGAGACTAAACATTCACCTCTTAATATGTGACCATACACCTGTCTCCAGAACCGTGGCAGCCGGAAGATGTGTCCTCCTGCCTTCTTCCTGACCCTCCCCCTCATTCCATCCCACAGGGGGAGTAGGTTGCCTTTGAACTCTGCCAGCCCCTGGATCTAGCCCAGCCTAGGCCGGTCTGACCCTCAGTGCCCCCTCCATCATCTCCCCAGTATCCCACCCGTGATAGGTCTGGTCTTCATCAGTCCTTAGATGTTGTGGAGGTGTCTTCCTCTACATGTGCTCATAAACTCTCTGCCCATCTGGCCAAATGTCACCATCCTTACAGCCCAGGCAGACTTCCAGAGTGCTTGGAGCCAACTCTAGGTCTTGTGCACAGCCTTTGCTGGACTGTTCATGCAATTACATTCAGCCAACAGCTTCTGAGTATTAACTATGCAAGGAACAGAGAACAGAGGCACCCTATTCACCTTCTCTGAGAACATCTGGGCTCCTTGTAGAGGGACAAAGGGCTAGATGGGCTCTAAGGCTAGAATTTGCTTCCTCCTGGGGAGGGAATGGGCAGGCAACTCCCTGAAGGAGTTGGTATGTGAGCTGGGCACCAGGGACCCGAATAAGATTGATGGAGAAGAGGGGAAGGCCTTTGTAGACAGAGAATAGCAAAAGGAAGGCCTGGCAACAGGAAGCAGGTGATGTGTCTGGGAAGCAGCAGGAACTTGGTGTGCCTGGGATAGGGCTGGGCAGGTTATGGGAATGAATGGGACGTTCTCAAGGATTGGGGGCCTCTCTCTTTATCCTCAGTCACCAACTTAGTCTTTGCTGACCCTGGGGTGGGACCTTGGACCTCCGGCCTTTCCCTGACATGCTCCCAGGGACCCACCCTCCCAAGAACTGCGACTCTCAGGGCAATCAATGTACACTTTTGGTACCTTGTGCCCTGAACCACGTGACAACCCCAAACTCTGGGGCTACCTTGTGTGAGGTATCCACCTTGGTTTCCAGTCAACAAGCTACAGACTGAGGACTCCTCTGAGGTGACATCCCAAGTTTCCTTATTATAACCAGCAACTTCATATGCAAAGTGAAATACAAACAATCTGAATTTAAGAAGAAAAGAATATATTTCCTTATAGGCAGTGTGCTCATGAAGGACAGAGTACATTTCTCCTTCTCAACCTACCTGTCCAACATTTCCTGGGTGCCCATCCTTGGTAAAAGAGAAAATGACTCCCAGCCCTGTCCACACGAACCTCTGAATAGGGAGGCAACTAGACCATCATTGAATAGCAACAACAGTGTGATCCGTCCTGGGACCACAGAAGGAAGCAATGGGAGGGAAGGGGAAGCAGAGGGAATAGCCATTTCTAGGGTCTGGAGCATGAAAATGCCTGGCCCCTGTGAGCAATTCTGACATACAAAAGGGGTTGAGAAAAGGCAAGAGCCAACTCTTAAAGGGTCTCAGATACAGTGCTGAGGAATTGGGGCTGTCTCCTAGAGACCAAAGGGAATCCTTGATGGTTTTGGAACAGTGAAAGGGAGATGTGATGGGTTTTGCTCCAGGAAATGGGGGTGGGATGCTGTGGGCCACCGTGGCAGGCCCCAGACAGAACCATCCACTGTAGGCATTAGGGCTGGGAAGGTTGACAACTGGTGTCCCAAGTTGGAGCCCTCTTCATCTCTGTTCCATCTGCAACATGACACCAGTATGTGAACTTGGGTAGGTCTTGGCACCTCTCCAAGCCTCTGTCTTTGCTGCAAAACAGAGAGAATGATAAGCCTTCTGGGAGTTAGAATGAGGATTTGATAAGATAGGGGATATCTCATCTACAGGGAGGTAGTGAATGGTGTCCACTAAGCAAGGGTGGCAGCCTTGGAGGAGTCCCATGGCTCAGCACTCATGCCTTTAGAGTATGACCGCCCCTTGTGTCTGAGATGCCTGTGTCACCAGCTGTGTGCTTCATGGCACAGGGGCCAGTACAGCCTCAGCTGAGCTAACATTTGCTGACCTAACACAGCCACTGTGCTAAGCATGCTATATGTGTTAATTCCTTTAATCCTATCTGGCGATACTATGGAATGTATTTCATCCCCATTTTGTACGTGGGAAACCAAGACACCAGCAGGTCAGCTAACAGATTCAGAGTCACACAGAGTGACTCAGTTCTGACTCCAGAGGCTGACAGCAGCAGGCCTTTGTTCATTATTATTTATTTTAAATAGTGTTTAACTACAAAGCAATCTGTGGTGGCTGGACAAAAAGCAAACAGGATAGAACTGGGTGGAACAACAAGTTCAAGTACCTGGTCCTGCTGCACTTCATTCTCAGGGGCAATTCATTCATCATTTGATATATATTTAAAGTTCTTATAAAATTAACAGTTGTTGGACTTCCCTGGTGGCGCAGTGGTTAAGAATCCACCTGCCAATGCAGGGGACACGGGTTCGAGCCCTGGCCCGGGAAGACCCCACATGCCGCGAAGCATCTAAGCCCGTGCACCACAACTACTGAGCCTGCACTCTAGAGCCCGTGAGCCACAACTACTGAGCCCACGTGCCACAACTACTGAAGCCCACATGCCCTAGAGCCCGTGCTCCACAGCAAGAGAAGCCGCCGCAATGAGAAGCCCACGCACTGCAATGAAGGAGTAGCCCCTGCTCACCACAACCAGAGAAAGCCTGAGGGTAGCAATGAAGACCCAACGCAGCCAAAAATAAAATTAATGAATTTTAAAAAATAAAAATAAAAACAGTTGTCCTTCAGGCCAGAACTAGGAGCAAAATGCTGTCTCCTGAGTTGGTTAATTTTCTGCTAAAGGTTAGTTAACTAATGGAGATTGGCTACTCATCTGACTGAAGGTATTAGTTCCTTCCTTCATTCACTCATCCCTTCACTCAGGAAACATTACCTTAGCTTTCCCTCAGTTTCACTCACTGCCATCCAGTTTCAGTCACTGCCAGGACTAGCTGCTTAACCTCTTCTCCCTTAGACGAATAAAGCAGTCTCCTAACTTTTTGGCACCAGGGGCTGGTTTCGTGGAGGACAGTGTTTCCACAGACAGGGCGGTGGGTGTTGGGGGAATGATTCAGGCGGTACACGAGTGATGGGGAGTGATGGGGTGTGATGGGGAGTGGCAGATGAAGCTCCGCTTGCTCGCCGCCGCTCACCTCTTGCTGTGCAGCCTGGTTCCTAACAGGCTGTAGAGTGGTACCGGTCCGCAGCCCAGGAATTGGGGACCCCTGGGGGAATATAATAATAAGTCAAGGATCGTTGTCAGAATTATATGAGATGGGACTTCCCTGGTGGTCGAGTGGGTAAGACTCCACGCTCCCAATGCAGGGGGCCCAGGTTCAATCCCTGGTCAGGGAACTAGATCCCGCATGCATGCCGTAACTAAGAGTCTGCATGCCACAACTAAGAGTCCACATGCCACAACTAAGAAGTCAGCATGCCATAACTAAAGATCCTGCATGCTGCAATGAAGATCCTGTGTGCCACAGCTAAGACCCGGCACTGCCAAAATAAATAAATAAATAAATAAAATTTTTTAAATGAGATAATGCATGTAAAACATTTGGCACATTACCCAACCCAGAATAAGCGCTCAAAAAGCATTAACAGGGGCTTCCCTGGTGGCGCAGTGGTTGAGAATCTGCCTGCCAATGAAGGAGACACGGGTTCGAGCCCTGGTCTGGGAAGATCCCACATGCCACAGAGCAACTAAGCCCGTGCGCCACAACTACTGAGCCCGCATGCCAGAACTACTGAAGCCTGTGCGCCTAGAGCCTGTGCTCCACAAGAGAAGCCACCGCAATGAGAAGCCCATGCACCACAACGAAGAGTAGCTCCCGCTCGCCGCAACTAGAGAAAGCCCATGCGCAGCAATAAAGACCCAATGCAGCCAAAAATTAAATAAATAAATAAATAAATTTTTTTAAAAAAAAGCATTAATATTGTTGTGAAGCTACCTCTGTGAGCTCTGGAGAACAGCTCATGTGTCATGATACCCTCATAAACATATGGAGCTGAGCTATGTGCAGAGGGGCATAAAACTCACAGATGGAGGTGGGGAATATCAGTCACATGCACTTATTGTTATGTGCACATTGCAGTAGACAAGTGTACAGACGTGTATGGACACCCATATTTTCATCACTTGGTTTCCCAGTCTGTCAGGTTCTCTCTGTGAGTCTCCAGGTGGGTTGTCCCCCTCACATCGTGTGTGTATGTGTCTGTGTGTGTGTCCGCGTGTGTGCAGGCCTGCACATTCCTCCATCCTAATCTCTTTCCTCAAGGAGTGTGTGAGGGCTCCTTAGGATTCTGACTGCCTGTGAATGATGGGAGTTTCAGGGGGGTTTTGCAGCCAGTTGGGAAAAGTTGGAAAGGCCCAAGCAGGTCACAGGGGTGCCATGGTTGTGGGAAAGAGGCCCCATTTGTCAGGAAGAAGCAGTTAATGACTGTCAGAGGGTTCCCAAACTGTACATTCTTAGTGGGTCAATAATTTTACATGGCATCTCCAGGCCAAAAAAATACCTAAAAGTTTCACATATTAAGTAATTTGTTCCAAACAATTTAAGAAGGGGGCCTTCCCTCACGATCCAGTGGTTAAAGCTCCATGCTTCCACTGCAGGGGGCACGGGTTCGATCCCTGCCCTAAGGAATCCCAGATGATCCCACTGAGATCCCACATGCCGCGTAGTGCAGCCCAAAACAACAACGACAAAAAACAAAAACAAACAACTTAAGAAGGATTTATGTACTAATAACTCAGTAGCTGTTTAAAAATATATATACACGAATCAAAAGAAAACACTTTTATTTCATCCTAACGTGCACTTACTTCCTAGTAGGATGTATTGGGAACTGCAAAACGTCTAGATCCTTGAACCCCGCCACCCTCATTTTCTGATCCACATTGAGTTTCACGTGGTGCTTGCTTTTTTTCATAGTAACTTCCAAAAACACAACTTCACACAGGTATGATGTCACTGAAAAGAATTGCGTGAACCATCTGGAGCTGGTAGTTTGATATGAAGCAGATGTTGAGGGTCACAGTGTTTCCCTTTACACTTCTAAGTATCGTGTTGTGCACCCTGAGTTCACGCTGGTGCCCTGCGATGCCTTGCCTGCCCCACTTCTGTCCTGAGAGGTTTGTGGTGGGCGGGCTGGCTGGTAAAGGACTCGCCCGCGCTGCCCCTAGACTCACATCTGCACGTGTCTGCCTCAGCTGAACCTGGTCTGTGGTCGGAAGCATCCGAAGGACACCTTCCAGTCGGTGGACCTGGCTAGGCTCCTCACTGGGGCGCTCATCGTTGGGCCCCTCTGTGACTGGTAAGAACCTTGAGCAGCTCCCCCAACCCAGCACGCTCTTGGGTTCCTGGCCCAGGGTCTAGTTCCTCCCCACCACGTGCCCCTCTCACTGGTCTCCAGGTAAGGCCCTGTCTCCCCGCAATGGGGCTCCCAGGTGGGGCCCTGCACCCTCCCGCAGACAGAGCACCCAGGGCAGGGCCGGGGGCTGGATCTCCCTCCTTCCCCTCAGACAGACTCCCTCCTCAACCTGCCCCTTTCTTACCCCAGGATTGGCCGCGAGGCCGCTATCCTGGTGCAGCTGCTACTCTTCGCCATCCTTGGCATGGCCGCAGCCTTTGTGCCCGCCTTTGAGCTCTACACGGCCCTGCGCTTTGCTGTGGCCACGGCCGTCGTTGGATATAACTTCAGCAGCGTCACCCTACGTGGGTATCTGGGCCCCGTGCCATCAGCCGCAGAGCGGGGCCTTGGGGTCTGGGTGGCCACGCTCCCACGCTGCCTGTGGGACCCACTCAACCCCCCGCACCTAACGTGACGGCGCCAGCACTCCCTGTACCGGGCCAGGACCACAGCCCCTGACCTGGTGGCGTCTAGCCATGGCAGGGAGTGAGAGGGCAGGGTCCGGGCCAGCCTCAGACTCAGCGTTCTCACAGTTGCAGAGTGGGTGGGGCCCTGGTAGAGAACTCAGGCTGTGGTCCTGGCCCAGTGCACCTTCTCCGTGGAGCAGATGGCCCTCGCAGGACTCGCCCATGGCGTCCAGAGCTGGAGGCTCTTCCAGATGGCTGGCGCTGCACCTGTCTTCTGCTCTTCCTTCACTTCTGGTGAGGAGATACTTCCCAGGCAAGCTGCCTCTCGGTTGGCTACGTGTCCAGAGGTGTCTGGGAGAGCGAACCTGTGGGGTCAGTGTGCACTGGGACAGCGGGGAGGCTCCTGGGGGAGTGGGGAGGCCCAGGTCCAGGCCCCAGGGTCACAGCCCGACCTACAGGGCTCTGCTGGAATCTGCACGGTGGCTCCTGACCCGGGGGAGGGCAGAGGAGGCTAAACAACCGATCCAGAGGGTGGCCTCGGTCAACAAGCGAAAACTTCTCCGAGCTCCTGAGCCAGGTACTTGCAGTAGCTGGGCCAGCCCTGCCCTGGTCTGACCACACAGCCCGGCCTGCCTGGCCCCTCACTCTGCACCTCCCTCCCGGATGGTCCCAGAGAAGACCGGCCCCACGGGGGATGCCCTGGATCTGTTCTGACACCCCCAGCTCCCCAGGCACTGTGATGGCTCTGGTGGGGAAGTTTGCCACGGCGGCCGGATTTACCATCTCCTACGTGTAGTCTGCTGAGCTCTTCCCCACTGTCATCAGGTAAGGACTGCAGGTGCAACTCCTGTTCCTCTGCTCCTGAGACCCTGATTTTGGCCATCCCTCCTCTGCCCTTACTGCTGTTCCCCAATGAGCTTACAGAGCTGGCTCTGGGGCAGCAGTGCTGGATGGGGTCCAAGGCTGGATGGGGTCAGTGGAGAGCAGAGGAGAGCAGCGGAGGGCAGATACAGGAGGGGCCACACCCTGGCCTTGTCAGGACTGGGACATGGAGTAAGTCCCGAGTTTGATGCATGGCTCAGAAGGAAGACTCCGGTGGGGATGGGAGGTGGTCAGGAGGTGCAGCCTTTGACCTGAGACTCGACAGGTGAGCAGGAGTACAGCAGGCAGACAGAGAGGCCTGGAGGTGGCAAAAGCAGGCCGCACAGTAGGACTCGGGGAAGTGCAGGAGGAGGGGGCAGGAAGGCTGGCTGGACTGCATGGGCCTGGAGACTCTGCAGGCCTGGAGACCAGATGAGACACTCGGGTGCTTCCAAGGAAATGAGCTGTGGCCCAGCGGAGGCCGGGTCTTCTCGGCTTGCGCTCACCTTTGCGCGGGCAGACGGGCATGGGGCTGGTGGGCATTTTCTCGAGGATCGGGGACATCCTCACGCCACTCGTGACCCTGCTGGGTGAGTACCACACGGCCCTCCCTATGCTCATCTATGGCAGCCTCCCCGTCGGGGCTGGCTTACTCTGTGCCCTGCTGCCAGAGCCACGTGGCTGGAGCACGAAGGACGCCATGGACGACCTGGAGCAGGAGTCCTGCCCACAGCGAGGTGCTTGGTCTCTCTGAAACCCAGGACCTCACATCAGTGACCCCATCCCCGAAGGGGCTCTACTTCACCATTTGTCCATTGTTGCAGAGAGGCCCACATGGCCTCCTCACGATTCCCCTACTTTGGGGAGGGGATGGCGAGGAACTGTAATACGGGATCAGTTCCTAAGCAGCCAATGACAGCCTTCTGCTTCCTCCAGCCCTCTGAATGCAATGACCTCGGAAAAGGATTCCGAGGCCTCAGGAAGTACTTCTAGCCCAGGGGTGGCCTTTAGAGCAGCACGTACCTCTGAGTGTGTCTCCGAAGCCAGAGCAGCAGCAGCAGAGAGCTGCCTGAACACTCCCCTGGGAACAGCTGGACCTGTGAGCATGACCGTCTTGCTGACGGAGGCAGCACCCCATGAGCTGGCCCCAGAGCCAGCCAGCCACTGCCCAGCCCCATCCCAGAAGCATCCGAGACAGGCCTCCCTCCTTTCAAAACCTTTCTCATCCCCAGAGCCCCACGTCCAACACCCTGTTCTGGGCTAGAGTCTTGGGCATGTCTTGGGCTTAACTTGTTCTCTGACAGTCTTGTGGGGATATGGCTCCTCAGATCCCGTCCATCTGGGGTCCCCCTGCCCTGAAAACACAGTCAAGCCAAAAACAGAACAGCTGGGTAGGGCCTCTCCAAGTAGGTGAGAGTAGGAAGAGAAAAACACTTAAAAGTTCTGGACTCGCCCAGGCAGGTGAAGGAAAAGCTGTGGATGAAGGGAAGGTTGTGGTTCCTCCAATGGCTGGACTAGGCCCTTCTGGATAAGGTGGGACCCACAGGGCATTTGCTCCAGCTGAGCGGGCACTGATTCAGTCAGAATCGAAGCTTCAGTCTTGCCTTCTCTTCAAAGATTCTCCTTCCCCTGTCCTGCACTCAGGGACCAGTGGCGGGGAGAGGGAGGATGTGGGTCCTGTTCCTCTCCGGGCCCCTCCTCCCTTTCATGCTCTGCTTCTCTGGCTCCTTCAGGGCCCATGCAGGGTGAGGGAAAGGGGAAGAAGTCTTCTTACCTGGTGGCCACTGGTGGTAGTTCTTCCGGGCTTGCAGTGGTTAATCATCAGTCAGTGGCCCTGGCAGGCTCCTAAAAGTAGGTTTTCCACAAGAATTTTCGGGGGGTCTCAGTGATCATCCCAGGACCTCTGCGTTGGTCCTTAGTGTGAGCAATGTGCCTGCAACTGACCCCTTGGGACCCCTCTTCACCTCTTGGCTGCCCCCCCGCCCCGCCCCATGGGGATCCCCACGTAGTCTCTTACAGAAGAATCCAGCTAGCAAGACCATAGCAGCACATGAGCCCGACTGTCTGCTTTCTCTCTTCCTGCACCCCAACTTCTGGTCACTGCTGGAAAGAGTCACACTCCCGACAAGTCTGATCTATGAATCCATGGTCACCAGCACCAACTGGGTCTTTAGCAGCAGCTCGTTTTCCAACTCTCACCAGTGGCTATTTCTAAACTCCGCTCTGCCTGCCTCCCATCCTTCTACCCCCTACCAGATAGCTTCTCCTTCTCCTCTGAGAGAAAGGAAAAGCCATCCTACTGCCGCTCCCCAAACTTCCCACCAAGAAGTCTTTAACCTACACTCCCTCCTCCCCCGGTGGGATCTGGGAGCAGCTGAGTGGAGGGCCTGTTCCTCCTCTTACTCTCCTCTCCATCCCTCCTCTTCAGGCATGGGGAGGGGGGCGGCCAAGTTGTGTGTGGAAGGATGGGAGTATTTCCCTCAGTGGAGGTGGAGCCCTGATGGGGAAACGGGTGCTCCAGGTGCTGGGAACAGTCTGCACGGAGGCATGGGGCTGGCTCACTTGGAGATTTTCCCAGCCTGCCTTGCGCCTTCAGTTCCTAGAGCCTGTGGCCAGTTGTGCCCCAGGAGTGGAATGCTGTTCCTCCCCATGCCACCCCACCCCAGGACCTCCCCGCCCCATTGTGACACTGCTCCCCAGACACCATGGAACCCAAGGGTTCTGCTTCCAAGGGTCTGGCTGGGCCTGGCTTGTGGTCCTGTCTCCAGGGAGGAGGGACTGGGAGGGTGTGGAGGGTGGCAATTATGATGACACCTGGCAACTGTGTGGCCGCATTCTCAGCGCAGATGTGGACAGGGCCTGTTCGGCTGTGGAGAGTCTGTAGAAGGAGCGGGCTGTCCTCCTAGGAAGCGTGAGTTCTCAGGTGTGGCATCTGGCCATTTCCTGCCCTTAGAAGGGGGACTGCTCCTGGTTATACCTTCCTGTCCCAGGCCTTAGTTTCCACTTTTTACATTGAGAACCAATTGCCTGGGGCCTGTCCAACTGGCAGGGGACCTTTGGGAACAAGTGCTCCAGGGCCTTGCAGACTGTCAGGCCCCTGTGGGTATTCAGGTGATGCTGTGGGGGACACTGAAGGGGACCCTGCCCGGGAAGCTGGCTCCAGGCCCAAAAGCCAAATCTCTCTGAGCAAAGCAAAGTTTCCCTCCTTCCCTCTCTCCCTCCCTCCCTTCTTCCTTCCCTCCCTCTCTCCCTCTCTGCCTGGGAAGTCTCTTCTATCCTGTGACACTCCCTCCAAACTTATACACATGCACACTGTACTAGTTTTCTGTTGCTGTTGTAATATATTGTCACAAACTTAAAGGCTTTAAGCAACACAGATTTATTACCTTATAGTCCTGCAGGTCAGAAGGCCAAAATGGGTCTCACTAAGCTAAAATCAGCTGTCGTAGGGGAATTTATTTCCTTGCCTGTTCCAGCCTCCAAAGGCTGCCCACAGTTCCTTAGCTCACAGTTCCTTGTATCTTCAAAGCCAGCAACGGCTGGTCAAGTCTTAAGAGATGTAACTGAAATTTATGCATTTTCATTGCTGTATTGCATTCCACTAGATAAATATACCACAGTTTATCCATTCCTCTGCTGATGGAGCGTTTGGGCTCTTTTTTTTTTTTTTTTTTCCTTCACATTTGAGGTGTGTTGTCGTGAATGTTTTGGTACTCTTCTTGGATCATATGTACAAATGTTTGCCCAGAGTATGTAACTGGGAGTAGAATTGCTGGGTCATCATGTGTGGGGATATTCAGCTCTATAAGACAATGCCAAATTGTTTTCCAAAGTGGAACTATGAATAATCCTGCCAGAAATGTGTAAAAGATAGATACTGGGTAGTGTCAGATTTCTTAAGTTTTCTTAAGCAAATGAGTGTAAATTCTGGTCTTGATTTGCATTTCCCTCATTATTAAAGAGGTTGAACATCTCTTTGTATGTTTGTTTAAATTTCCTCTTCTTGCAATGCCCATTCACGTCTTTTGTCATTTTTCTATTGTCTTTTTATTATTGATCTGTGGCTTCTTTACATCTTGATCCTTTTTCTCCCCAGTAATACAAGTTTTTCAATATATTCTCCCAGTTGTGTTTATTTTAACTCTATGATTTTCATTTTTGAGTAGTCAAATTTATAATCAAAAAATATTTTTTAATTCATTTGTTTATTTATTTTTTGGGTCTTCGTTGCTGTGCGCGGGCTTTCTCTAGTTGCGGTGAGCGGGGGCTACTCCTCGTTGTGGTGAGCAGGCTTCTCATTGCAGTGGCTTCTCTTGTTGTGGAGCACGGGCTCTAGGCGCGCAGGCTTCAGTAGTTGTGGCATGCGGGCTTCAGTAGTTGTGGCTCTCGGGCTCTAGAGCGCAGGTTCAGTAGTTGTGGCACACGGGCTTAGTTGCTCCGCGGCATGTGGGATCTTCCCGGACCAGGGCTCGAACCCGTGTCCCTCGCATTGGCAGGCAGATTCTTAATCACTGAGCCGCCAGGGAAGCCCTATTTTATGGTTAGCATAGACTAGCATAGCTTTTGTGTCCTGATTAAGAAATCCTTTTTTGGTTCACCCTGCTCCCTCTTTTGCTCACATTCTGCCCTGCCATGCCCTGCTCTCAGGAAACAAGTCGTCTCCCCCAGCAAGGTGGCCCAGCTTGCAGAGGAGGGCGGCATACCGCTCCAATTTGCCCAGCTCTCGGAGCACACCACCGCCCAGACCAAGGGGACTACATGCACCGCAGGCTCTGACCTGTACACTGCCTGTGATTGCACAGTACCACCTATGGAGAAAGCCCTTGTGAAAACCAACATTCAGGTACCTCTTCCTTCTGGGTGCTATGAGAGAGTAGCTCCATGTTCTAGCTTGGCTGCAAAACATTTCATAGATGTAGAAGCTGGTGTCATAGATGAAGATTGTAGAGGAAATGTTGGTATTGTACTATTTAATTGTGGCAAAGTTTGAAGTAAAAAGTGTGATAAAATTGCACAGCTCATTTGTGAACAGATTTTTTTTACCCAGAAATAGAGGAAGTTCAAGTTTTAGATGACACTGTAAGGGTTTCAGGAGGCTTTGGTTCTACTGGTAAGAATTTAAAATGTATGCCAAGAACAGAGAATGAGAAAATGTTCCTTGAAAAGAAAGACTTCGCTTAAAGTGAAAAGAAAAAAGAAATCATTTTTCACGTAAAGTCAAAAATATATTCCAATAAAAGGAACTAGACCCTAGATGCTAAGTAATGTTTGATTCCATTTAAATGACATTTTTGTAAAAGGCAAAACTATAGAAACAGTGATTGCAAGAGATTGTGGGGTAGAAGGAGGAGAAACACAAGGGGATTTTAGGGGTAATGGAACCCCTCCACATCATGATTTTGGTGCTAGATATACTATTCTATACCTTTGTCAAAACCCACAGAACTGTACACAACAAAGGGTGTATTTTACTGTACATAAAATAAAAAGTATATAAGAGATACAAATATAAAATTGAAAAAAGGCTGGGACAGGGACTTCCCTGGTGGTCCAGTGGTAAAGAATCCACCTTCCAATGCAGGGGACATGGGTTCAATCCCTGGTCGGGGGAAAATATATATATATATATTTTTTTTTTTCCAATAAAAGTTTTGTTCTTTAAATTTAGGTCCTTAATAGGGCTGAAATTTTTGTTTATGGTGTGAGACAGGAACCAATGTTAATTTTTTTCCATTTACTGACCTGTCATGCAAGTCTGTCTCTCATATATCCAGATTTGTTTGGGACTTCCCTGGTGGTCCAGTGGGTAAGACTCCATGCTCCCAGTGCAGGGGGTCCGGGTTTGAGCCCTGGTCGGGGAACTAGATCCCTCATGCGTGCCGCAACTAAGAGTCCGCATGCCACAACTAAGAAGCCTGCATGCCGCAACTGAAGATCCCGCATACCACAACGAAGATCCCATGTGCTGCAACTAAGACCCGGTGCAGCCAAAATAAATAAAATAAAATAAATATTTTAAAAAATTGTTTGCATAAATCTATTTCTGGGCTATTCAGCTACTCCTGCACTGAGACCACCTTGTCTTTAATGAATATAACTTTATAATAGATTCTGATGTTTGGCAGGACAAATCATTCCTCCTTATTATTCTTCAGAATTGTCTTAGGTATTCATGCCCTTTGTTCTTCCATAGTAATTTTAGAGTTATCTTGACAAATTTCACAAAAAAATACCTTTTGGATTTTGACTGGATTTGTACTGAATCTACAGATCAACATGGGGGAAAATGGACAACTTTTATTCATGACTATTAGATATCTCTCCATTAATTTTTCTTTTTAACATATTTCTGTAAGTTTTATAATTATTTTACACACAGGTCTTGCACTTATTTTTTTTTTTTTTTTTTTTTTTTTGCCCTGCTGCGTGTCTTGTGGGATCTTAGTTCCCTGACCAGGGATTGAAACCCAGCCCACAGCAGTGAAAGTGCCGAACCCTAACCACTGGACCTCCAGGGAATACCCTTGCACATATTTTTAAAACATTTTTTATTGTGGTAAAATGTACCTAATATAAAATTGATCATTTGAAACATTAAAAAAATTTAGCAAAGGTAAATGTGAAATTGACATACAAAATTGTAAGATATTCAAAGTGTACATTGTGGTTCTTTGATATACATGTATATTACAAAAGGACTCCCTTCATCTAGTTAATTCACACATCTATCACCTCACATATTTATCTTTTGTGTGTGTGTGTGTGAGAAACTTATGTTCTACTGTCTTAGCAAATTTCAATTATACAATATAGTGTTATCAACTATAGTCACCATGTTTTTACATTATATCCTCAGACCTTATTCCTCTTACAGTTGAAAGTAATTACCCTTTTACCAACCTCTTCCTATCTCCCCACCCGCAGCCCTTGGAAACCACTTAAACTTTCTGTTTCCACTAGTTTTGACTTAAAAAAGAAAAAAATTCCACATATAAGTGATACCATACAGTATTTGTCCTTCTCTGTCTGTTCACTAGCATAATGCTCCCAAGATCCATCCATATTGTCACAAATGGCAGGATTTCCGTTTTTTCTTGTGGCTAAATAGTATTTCATTGTATATATAAATATATACCACATTTTCTCCATTCATTCGTCCGTTGATGGACACTTATTGTTGTTTCCATATCTTGCTATTATTGTTTCCTGTTTCCTTTATTTCTGTCTTAACTTTATAATCTCTTTATTTATTTAGGTTTATATTATTTTGTTCTTTTTTTCACTTCCTATGATGGGCATTTAGTTTATTAACTTTCAGTCTTTCTGATTTTCTTTTATAAAGCAGGTAAAACTATAAATTTCCCACAGAGTACCACTTTTTATACCACCCATAGGTTTGATAGGGGTGGTATAAGTTTTTATAGTTTTCACTTATAAGCATTTATATTATCACTCATTTATAAATATTTTAAAATTTTCATTATGATCTCTTCTTTGACTTCTGAGATAGTCGCAAGTTTTATTAACTTAAAAATATATATTTATAAAACTTAATAAACTTTAGAAAAAATATATGTATATTCCATGTTCATGGATTGAAAGACTCAATATTGTTGGTAAGACGTCAACGCTTCCCAAACTGACCTATAGATTGAATATAATCTCAATCAAAAGCACGGCAAGCTGTTTTGCAAATATCAACAAACTTATTCTAAAGTTCAAATGGAAACGCAGAAGACCTGGATATCCAACACAGTAGTGAAGAAAAACAAAGTTGGAGGCTTCACACTACCTGATTTTAAGACTTCCTATAAAGTCTTCCATAATCAAAATAGTGTGGTATTGGCAAAAGGATAGACACATAGAACCATGGAACAAAATAGAAAGTTCAGAAATAGACCCACATAAATATAGTCAACTGCAAAGAAGCAAAGGCAATTCAATGGAGAAAGGATAGTCTTTTCAACAATGGTACTGGAATAATTGGATGACCATATGCAAAAATTTAATGTAAAAACAAAATGTAAACCCAGATCTTACACCCTTTACAAAAATTAACTCAAAATGGATCATAGACCTAAATGTAAAACACAAAACTATATAAAACTTCTAGAAGACAACATAGGAGAAAATCTAAGTGACCTTGGGTTTGGCAATGAATTTTTAGATATGACACCAAAAGCAAAATCTATGAAAGAAAAAAATGGATAAATTGGACTTTTTTTTAAAAGATTTATTTATTTTGTTTATTTTTGGCTGCGTCAGGTCTTAGTTGCGGCATGTGGGCTTTTTGTTGTGGTGCACAGTCTTCTCTCTAGCCGTGGTGTGGAGGTTTTCTATCTCTAGTTGTGGTGCACAGGCTCCAGCGTGCGTTGGCTCTGTAGTTTGCGGCACGCAGGCTCAGTAGTTGTGGCACGCGGGCTTAGTTGCCCCGCGGCATGTGGGATCTTAGTTCCCCTGACCAGGGATCAAACTCGTGTCCCCTGCATTGTAAGGCAGATTCTTTACCACTGGACCACCAGGGAAGTCCCAAATTGGACTTTACTAAAATAAAAAACTTCTGCTCTGCAAAAGTTGCTGTTAAGAGAATAAAAGGGCAAGCCAGAGACTGGAGAAAATATTTGCAAAACATAGCTGATAAAAGACTTGTATCCAAAATATACAAGTAACTCAAAACTCAACAGTAAGAAGGTAAACATCCCAATTTTAAAAAACAGGCAAAAGATCTGAAGAGATAACTCACCAAAGAAGATATACAGATAACAAATAAGCATATGAAAAGATGCTCAACATTATTTGTCATTAGGAAAGTGCAACTTAAAAGAATGAAAAACTAAATAAAAGAGCTCATCTATTATTATGGCTAAAATCAAATAAGTTGGCAAGGATGCAGAACAACAAGAATTCTCATTCATTGCTGGTGGGAGTGCAAAATGGTATAGCCACTTTGGAAGACAGTTTCCAGTTTCTTACAAAGCTAAACATAGTTTTACCATATGACTCAACATTCGTGTTCCTAGGTATTACCCAACTGATTTGAAAACTGTATCCACACAAAAACCCGCACGCAAATGTTTATAGCAGCTTTATTCACAGCTGCCAAACACTGGAAGCAACCAGGATGTCCTTCAATAATTGATGAATGGATAAACAAACTGTAGTACGTGGATATATTGAAAAATATTATTCTGTGATTTTTGAAAAACAAGCTATTAGGACATGAAAAGATATGAATGGCCTTAAGTGCATACTGCTGAGTGAAAGAAGCTTGTCTGAAAAGGCTATATAGTGTATGATTAAAGGTATATGACACTTCGGGCTTCCCTGGTGGCGCAGTGGTTGAGAGTCCGCCTGCCGATGCAGGGGACACGGGTTCATGCCCCGGTCCGGGAAGATCCCACATGCCGCGGAGCGGCTGGGCCCGTGAGCCGTGGCCGCTGAGCCTGCACATCCAGAGCCTGTGCTCTGCAACAGGAGAGGCCACAACAGTGAGAGGCCCGCGTACTACAAAAAAAAAAAAAAAAAAAAGGTATATGACACTCCAGAAAAAGCAAGATATACTGTAAAAAGATCAGTGGTTGCCAGGGGTTGAGAAGAGAGAGGAGGGTTTAATAGGTGGAGCACAGATTTTTTAGGGCAGTGAGACTTCTGTCTGATACTCTAATGGTGGATACATGACTCCACGCATTCATCAAAACCCACAGGACTTTACAGCCCATAGAGTGGACCTTACCATGTACAAATAAAAAAAAAATCATTTAAGAGATAGAGGGATCCCAGGGTGGAATGCAGACTGTGATAAATGAATGTAACTGTATTACACATGTATGAAAAACATATGGAATTTTAAATTATTAAGCTGTTAGTGACTTCTAATTTAATCTCATTGTAGTCAGAAGACAGGTCTATATGATGCCTATTCTTTGAAATTTGTCATGAGAACTTCCCTGGTGGTGCAGTGGTTCAGACTCCCTGCTTCCAATGCACACGGTGTGGGTTCAATCCCTGGTCGGAGTACTAAGATCCCATATGCCGTGCAGTGCGGCCAAAAAGAAAAAAAGAAAATTTCTGTCGAGGCTTGCTTTATTGCCTAGTGCATGATAAAGTTTTACAAATGCTCTGAGTAAGCTTGAGAAAAATGTGTATTCTCTAGTTGTTACATGCAGAATTTTAGAAATGGTCATTAGTTTAATCTTGTTAATTGTGTTATTAAAATAATCTATCTTTGCTAAGTTTTTACATTTTGGCCCCTTGAAAAGGTGCATTGAAATTTCTCATTATGGTATTAGAGATATCAACTTCTCCTATGAGTTATACTCATTATTTTATATATTTGAAGACATTTATTAGGTTCATATATATTTAATTTTTTGGTGTACTGAACATTTTGTCTTTAGATAATGAATCTCTCTATTAATGATACTTTGTGGGTTTTTGTTTTGTTTTGGTAATAGTATAGCTAAATCAGATTTCTTTTGATTACTCTTTGCCTAATATAACTTTTTCCATCCTTTAACTCTCAGCCTTTTCATGTCCCTATGCTTTAAGTGTGCCTTCTTACAGAGTGACCAAGTTGTCATCAAAATCAAAACACTTGTGAGAGGGAAAGGGGGCGCTATGAATAATTACACAGGCATAAAAGACATAAACTGGGTATGTTCTGGGAAATACTGGCCACCCTGTTTATTTATTTTTAAATATTTATTTATTTATTTGGCTGTGCCAGGTCTTAGTTGTGGCATGCGGGCTCTTTTAGTTGCAGCATGCAGGCTCTAGTTCCCTGACCAGGGATGGAACCTGGGCCCCATGCATTGGGAGTGCGGAGTCTTAACCACTGTACCACCAGGGAAGTCCCGGCCACCCTATTTAAAAACAGCATATTAATTTGACTTTTCAAAAGCTCAATCCAACTATCTCTTTTAACTAGTGATAATCAATATACTTTGATTCATTTTTCCAGTCACAATTACTGAAATCCACTTTTTCTACGTTTCGTTTTTTCTTTTCTTCCCTTTTTCGATTGAGGTCTTGTTTTTGTTTTTCCCTTTAGCCTACCTTTTTCCACTACTGTTTTCTAGCTATATTATTGTAGTGGTTATCCTTAAAATTTTATCATGCAAATGTAACTTTGAAGGACTTCCCTGGTGGTCCAGTGGTTAAGACTTTGTGCTTCCACTGCAGGGAGCATGGGTTTGATCCTTGGTCAGGGAACTAAAATCCCGCAAGCCAGGCAGCATGGTGTGGCCAAAAAAAACGATAAAAGTAACTTTGAAATCTTGGTGTCTTTCTCCTACACCTTGAACAATAGAAAGATTTTAAGATACTTTGGCTCTCATCATCTCCATCGTGAAATATGTTATTGCTGCCCACCATTTTATCTTTTTTTTTTTAACTCCACAGTTGAACAGAGCTTTTATTATTTAATGCAATCAATATTTGGATTTGCTTACATGTTTACCATTTAGATTGCTCATCACTGCCTATCAGTTTGTCGTCTTGACATAATTTTCCTCCTCTTTATCCTCTTTTTTTTTTCCCAATGGTTCCAGACCCATTTATTGATGAGTTCCTCTTTTATCCAGTTTCTGAACTCTTTTTTTCACTATACCATATATTTCTGCTCCAAAACTTTTTTTTTTTTTTTTTTTGCCATGCTGCGAGGCTTGTGGGATCTTAGTACCCTAACCAGGCACTGAACCCAGGCCCCTGGCAGTGAAAGCTCAGAGTCCTAACCACTAGACTGCCAGGGAATTCCCACCAAAACCATTCTTAATTGTCTGAATTATTTTAGGATTTTGCATTTTCATATACATTTTATTTTATTTTATTTGGAACATCCCCCTCCTTAACTTTTAGAAGTTCCATTAAATCAGATCTGTTGCTAACTCAATTTTTGACTATAACTCTCTTCATTTTACTCTGACAGATAATTTTGCTGAGTAAGCAATTCTAGGTTGGCTGTTATTTCCTATCAACATGTTGAAGATACTCTTCACTCTCTTCTGGTTTCCTTGTTGCTTAACAACTTTTGGTTATTTCTTTAAAAAAAAAGAAAAGAAAAGAAAAAGTCTTAGAGTTAGGGCTTCCCTGGTGGCGCAGTGGTTGAGAGTCCGCCTGCCGGTGCAGGGGACACAGGTTCCTGCCCCGGTGCGGGAAGATCCCATATGCTGCGGAGCGGCTGGGCCCGTGAACCATGGCCGCTGAGCCTGCGCGTCCGGAGCCTGTGCTCTGCAACGGGAGAGGCCACAACAGTGAGAGGCCCGCGTACCGCAAAAAAAAAAAGTCTTAGAGTTAAACAATGAGTCTTCAACATTATAAAGCTATTTGTAACAGTAATTAAAGTAGTGGTAACATTTTACCCTTATGAAAATGTCATAGACTTCAAATCACAACTTGGATCCTCAATGATTCAGGTGTTTTATCTTACAAATATGGGTTTGGTCAGTTTTAAGATAAAATTCCTCCAAATATGTTGTCCACAACTTTTGTTTCTTAACAGAAGTCTGTAGACACGGCTCATTTGTCCATGATCTATCTTCTCTCTAGATGTTTTTGAAAATCTTTTCTTTGTCACTGGTGTTCTGCAGCTTTGTTACAGTGGGTTTCTCTTTTATTTATCCTGCTTGGGATACGCTGTTTCCTGATTCTAAGGATTCATGTGTTTCAAATTTTAGAAAAGGGATTGCTCTTATCTCTTTAAATATCGCTTCTCTCTTTCTCCCACTGGGCCTGCAACTAGATGAACGTTAAATCTTCTATCTTCTAATTCATCTTTATGTCGAATCTATTTAACCTTCCCTTTAGTGTGTTTATTTCAACAACTTGTTATTCAATAGTTTTCATTTTTAGAAGTTGTGTCTTCCCTCCAAAGGTGTCTGCTTTTTGCCTCTGGTTATAAGTCCATTTCTGTAATTATAACTTCCATCTCTTACTCTCAGACTGACTTAACTTCTTATGGGTTAGATAATATTTATTTTGAGCCCTTGGCTTGATCTTAATCTGTGAGAGCCTTGCAAGCTTAGTTTGGAGAAAGTTTCCTTCAGAGAAGACCTGCATCTGCTTTTGCTGGTAGCCAAGGGGTGCCCCAACCCAGGACCTCTTCAGCCCCGCTTAGGTTCCCCACTTTGCTGCTGTTCCAAGGTAATATCCTTACAGTCAGTGTTGCTACCTCACTCCTCCCCTCCGCCTGCCTTTCCAGCTTGGCTCTCTGTTGCTGTCTGTCACCCTACCATTTTGGTGCCCCATGGCACCAGCCCTGTCTTCTCACCTCTGTGATCAAGGCTTGCAGCCACCCACCTTGGCCTCAGTTCATGACCACTTCAGAGCCAGATTTGTGTGTGTGTGTGTTGTTTTTTTAATTAATTTATATATTTTTGGCTGCATTGGGTCTTCGTTGCTGCACGCAGGCTTTATCTAGTTGCAGCGAGAAGGGGCTACTCTTCATTGCGGTGCGCGGGCTTCTCACTGCAGTGGCTTCTCTTGTTGCAGAGCACGGGCTCTAGGCGCACGGGCTTCAGTGGTTGTGGCTCGCGGCTCTAGAGTACAGGCTCAGTAGTTGTGGCGCACGGGCTTAGCTGTTTCGCGGCATGTGGGATCTTCCCAGACCAGGGCTCGAACCTGTGTCCCCTGCATTGGCAGGCAGATTCTTAACCACTACGCCACCAGGGAAGTTCCTGTTTTGTTTTTTTTAAGGAATGGTCCCTGGAGGCCTCTCCTACCTTTTGCAAGACTGGTGGTGCCTCAGTGTGTGTGTAAACAAAGTTTCCATTGTGGGCAAGTTGCAGGAGAGCTCCTCAGAACTTAGTCATTCATGATAACAGAAGCAGAGCATTTTCTAAAACATTAAAAAATCTTAAGTGCTCTATACACATCAGGGACGGGTGGGCCAATGGGGGCCAAATTAAGAAATTTCAGAAGCAAAGGAGGGAAGTACAGAGAACATCAAGGTTGGGATCCAAACTGTTTCAAGCCAGTTTCTGGCCAGTGCCTCCCACGCTGGTCTATGATATCTGAAAAGTGGTGTCAGTGAAGACTGAGCTGCATCCTCTCTTTGAACAGATGGCAAAGGAAAACAACTTCAAGGTAGAGTTCAAATCCCAGCATCATCTCAGGAGCTTCCACCAACATGAGGCAGCAGAAAGCCCCCGTTCCTGTTCTCTGGACATGCTGTTACGCAGATTGAGGGCCATAGAAGCCAAGCAAGATGATAAGTTTGCCACCATCATGGATGCAGTAGGGGAGTTTGGCACATTCCAGCGGAGGCTGGTGGCCCTCACCTTCATTCCCAACATCCTGTCTACCTTCTTGTTTGCTGACATCTTCGTTTTCACACCACAGAAGCCCTATTGCAACACCAGCTGGATACTGGCAGTGGGCCCCAACCTGACGGAGTCTGAGCAGCTGAATCTGACCCTGCCCCAAGCACCCAATGGCAGTTTCCTGACTTGCCTCACGTACTTGCCTGTGGACTGGGATCTGGATTCTATCATCCATTTTGGGCTCAACCGCAGAGACTCATGTCAAGATGGGTGGATCTATCCTGAGGTCAAGAAGCGATCACTGATCAATGAGGTATGCCTTGTCCTGAGTTGTCTGTAGCTAACCCAGGACCCCAGAGATTTGCCCTCACCCTCACTGAACAGGTGGGGAAACTGAGACTCAGGGAGGGGAAGCAATTGGCCCACGGTCAACCCACAGAGGCAGGGCCAAGGCAGAAACAGGATTCCTGCTGCGCAGCCCTGGTCTTACAGGTCTTAGCCAGGAAGCTAGAGTAGATTGGGGACTAGGGGCAGATGTCAGGTGGCAGGGTTTGCCACCTGCCCAGGGAATTGCTTCTGTAGTTGTGGCTCTGCCCTCTGAAATCACAGAAATTAGGGAACTGGGGAAAGAAGCATCTTTGATCTGGTACCTCTTATGGAGTTTCTCAGCCTAAGCTGCTACCTGGGCCCTTCACAGCACAGACCTGCCCAGTTTGATTCTCTAGGGTGAGGCCTAGCATCTGTACTTGGAAAAGGGTCTTGGGTGATTCTGGCCTTTGCTCGGTTACCTCTTCACCCAGCCCCCTTCTTGGCCTGTGTCTCTGGTCCCTCTCTCCAGGCCTAACTCCTAGAGTCTGCCAGATGCAGGATGGGCTGCAGAGGTAACAGAGCTGAGGCATGCTGCACACAGTTACCTGCGCCTGTCCCAGGCCCCTTCTGCCTAAAGGCCCACCCTGGGTGGAGGCTCCGTCTCAACCTAGAAGGCCCTGGATGGAGGCCTGTGGCCAATCCCTGCATATAACCCCCAGTTTGACTTGGTGTGTGGCAAGGAACCGAACCCGGAAATCAGGCAGAACATGTACTTGGTGGGACTCTTGACAGGGTCTTTCCTCCTCGGGTTCATAACTGACAAGTAAGTCTTCCAGAGTTCCCTCTGGTCCCCGGGACACCCCTGCCTCCTCCTTGTGGCCATTCAAAGCTGAAGGGTCTCAATTTAGGGGAGGCAAGGGTAGGGGCCCTCCGGAGGCGAGTGTACGGCTCGGGGCCTGGTCTTGGTGCTGGGAGCGGGCTGGGGCCAGCCACATAGGTCCATGCGCTTGGCGCAGTCTCCCCTCCCTTCCACGCGCGCAGGCTGGGCCGCCACCCAGTCATCCTGCTGTCGCTGCTGGGACTGATCATCTTCGGCTTCGGGACAGCCTTTGTCAACAGCTTTCACCAATATCTGTTCTTCCGCTTTGGCGTGTCCCAAGCTGCGGTGGGCTACGCCATCAGCAGCGCGTCTTTAAGTGAGGTGGGGGGGCGGGGCACGCGTGTACCTACTGGGAGCCTGCAGGACAGGGGGAGTTGTGGCCTAGGCAGGCAGGCTGTGGAGGCCTAGAGATGGCAGAGAATCTGTGCCCACACTGCCCTTGCACTGTCATCACCCTGGTACCCGACACATCCCACCTTCATACCCCTTGCTTCCCCCCCCGGGCCAGGTAGCTGCTAAGCCCTCTATATGTATTGCCTCCTTTCATCCTGGCAGCTGTCTGTTCGGTAGCACTAATCTATTATTCCTTTAGCTCAGGAAGATACTAGAGCCTCAGGAAGTTAACCAACTTACTCAGGGTCACAGGGCAGTTCAGTGAAGGAACTGGGATTCCACCCCAGGCCTGTGTGATGCAAAATTCCCAAGTGCCCGTACATTTATTCAGTCTCACAGGAACCTGCTGGGGAACCCTGCTCCCGTCGTTCCTCATTGGGAAATTTTCAGAGCCCAGCCAGAGGGAACTGGGTCCTCCACAAAAGCCGGGGTCTAGGTGGCCAAAGCACTGATACACTAAGAACCAAGACAAGGACAGTGATGTCTCGCCTTGCCTGTGTCAGGCCACATGTGAGGTGCTGTACCCAGGGCCAGAGCTTCTCAATGACAGGCGTGTGGTCAGGGGGAGGTGTTCCAAGGGAACAGCCAAGTTGATGACAGACTGGAGGCTATGTCTGTGGTTTGGAGCCCAGGCAAGTGTGCCCTGGGGACGCAGAGGCACTCTGCCTGTCTCTGGACCCGGATCCTGAGCAGGCAGAAGAAACCCAGTCCCTGAGCAGGGCTGGGGCATCTCAGAAGGCTGGGGGCAGGGGCAGCCCTGGGTACCTTGAGCTGATTATGATTTTGTCCTCCTGGCTTCTGCACAGTCACTGAGTGGCTAGTGGGCATGCGCTGGGCCCACGCCATCGTCCTGGGACACTGCTTTTTCGCTATGGGGGTCATATTCCTGACGGGACTTGCCTACAGCCTTCCCCACTGGCGGCTGCTGTTTCTGGTGAGTGGGGCACCTGTGTTCCCCCTCATCTCTTATATCTGATGAGCAAACGAATACAGGGCATGCACAGGGATGGGTCTGTTGGGCTGGAGATTGAGGGGTGTGGAGGGTCCTTGAAGGGCTGGAGTGGGTGGGATTTTCCCTGGGAGAAAGTGTATGGGGAGCCAAGGGCAGAGCCTCTGGAACCCCAGCATTAACCCCATCAGAGGAGATCCTCAAAGAGATGTCAGAGAGGTGGGCAGAAAACCAGAAGGAAAGGTTTTGAAAGGCAAGAGTTCAAGGACAAGGGAATGGTCAGGGTTGAAGGCAAGAAAGGTGAGGCTGGAGAAGGGTCTGTTGGCCTTAGTGACCTTGACATGGCTTCCGCAGAGCGGCAGGAGGTTGAGGAGCGAGGAGGAACTGAAAAATATATCCATCCAGGAGGTGACACTTTCCCAGTGTTGGACTGAGGCAGGCAGGGGGAAAGTGAGGACGTCTGTGGGCAGCTAAGGCAGAGTCAGGGAAGGGTCTCTGATGTTTTTAATGGTAGGGGAGTCACAGACCTGAAAGACGGAAGCTATGAAGGGACAACTGATGGAGCAAACTTGGAGGAGTAATGAGGAGGGACTGGGCACAAGAGCAAGATGGCGCTGCTTACTATGGGCAGGTGGCAAAAGGAGAGGAACGGGGCTTCCCTGGTGGCGCAGTGGTTGAGAGTCCGCCTGCCGATGCGGGGACATGGGTTCGTGCCCCGGTCCGGGAAGATCCCACATGCCGCGGAGCGGCTGGGCCCGTGAGCCATGGCTGCTGAGCCTGCGCGTCCGGAGCCTGTGCTCCGCAACGGGAGAGGCCACAACAGTGAGAGGCCCGCATACCGCAAAAGAAAAAGGAGAGGAACAGAAGAGAAGGCAGATAGGGAGGTGAGAGGGAGCAAGCTGAAATCACCTTGTTAAGGGTTAGGCAGTTCTGGGTGAAGAAATGATCATACTGAATCTTGACATGATCACATGTTATCTTTACAAGATGGGTGTGAGTCTCCTGTCCCAGAGGCTGGAGGGAGGGGTCAGGGAAGAGGCTTCAGAGGGTCAGAATAACTTGCCCAAGGTCACACAGCTAAAAAGTGGGAGACCTGGGATTTGACTCAGCCTCTCTGGCTCCAAAGCCCCTGCATTTTAACCACTGCATTGTACACAGTATGGATTGTAAGAATTGGGGTTACCAGTTAAAAGTGAGGGCACATAGGTGGCTTGGAGACCTTCCAAATTGTGCAGAAGCTGGAGACCAGCTTTAATAGTCGTTGAGATACCCCTAATGAGTGTGAGGACCTGGACCCAGTTGATGCCAGGTAGCATGGCATGTAGCTGGGAAAGAGGGTTGCATGACTTGATCTATTTTTTTTTTTTGGTGAGGGGGGAGGTATAGTTGTTTTACAATGTTGTGTTAGTTTCTACTGCACAGCAAAGTGAAGTACTATTTTATACATATTTGTGTATCTATGTCAGTCCCAATCTCCCAATTCATCCCACCACCACCCCCTCATGACTTGATCTTAAAACATTTTTAAAATGTTATTAATGCAATTGATGCATATGGTTAAAAATTAAGTAGTATCAAAAGGTTTGTGATGGAAAACAAGTCAACAATTTCAGCTCCCCTCAGCCCTCAGATCCTTTCCCAGAAGCCATCACACTGATCTCCCTTAGGGCTTTCTTCCAGCCGATGTCTACATAGTTCTACATTCTATGAGTAGACAGCTTATTGAATGGGGCACCATTTTTCTTCAACCACTACCTGCAGACATGTCCTGTCAGCTGTCCTTCGCCTGACACTTGACAATATCTTGGGCAGGTTGTGTCTCTTTCCCATCATTCTTGGTTGTAAGAAAAAGTCTCATTTTGATCATTAAGCATCACTGGCAGTCATTAAAAAATCCAGTCATGTCCCCATTTAAAACTTGGTCTTATATCCAGTTCACACCTTCTCCCTGGTGGCTAGGTAGCTCAACCTAGTCTGTTCTGACCTTTGCTTTCCTCCTCTGTCTCCCTGCTCTGATATTCCAGGTTCCCAGCATCAGAGAAAAACGACAAAAGATGTGTCATCAATGGTCAGTGTCCTCCGTAGGGCAGATGTTCAAATGCCCCAGGAGCCCATCTGGGGGTCTTCAGAGTGTTGGCATTTCCAAATGCTCCAGGCACTGTCGTTGTGACTTCCTCCAGCTCCTGGCCCTAGCAGTTCACCCCATAGCCTCTTTCTGCAGAGGTCTTCTCTCCCGAGCACATGGGGTGCCTTCAAGACATCACGGTCCACTTGGCTAAAAACTCATTGGCCCCCACCCCGCAGGCTGCCACTGTGGGCTGCTCACACCAACCTCCTGCCTGACCATACCCAGAGGAAGAAGGGACCCCAGTCTCTGGGTTTGTGTAAGTCTTCCAAATTCAGGAGACACACAAGGACTCTACCAGAAACTCTTCTGTCTAGAGTACAGGTACCAGGGCAAGCCCACAAGTTTCTGAATCAGGAAGCTCCAGCCAGAGAATGGAAGGACAGACTCCCTTTCTCTAAGGCAGTGCCCTTCACCAGGCTTGACTTGGTGAGCAATGTAGGGAGGGGAAGAGATTCAAGACCCTCTCACTTCCATGAACAGGAAATTTCCAGCCTTTCTAGGTGGCCAAGGGAGCTGGCTGCTGGGCTGTTTTGTATTATTATTATTTCTTTAATAAGTCCTGTCCTGAATGTGGTAAAACCTCTCTTTAGAAGGTGAGGTTATCAGCCATTCTTACTAGCTTTGGGACTTAGCTGAAATTCCAGGCAAAAAAGGCCCTCGTTTTTTTCGTGATAGCATTTGGATTTTTTTTAAAATTTTATTTATTTTTTGGCTGTGTTGGGTCTTCGTTGCTGCGCGCGGGCTTTCTCTAGTTGCGGCGAGCGGGGGCTACTCTTCGTTGCGGTGCGCAGGCTTCTCATTGCGGTGGCTTCTCTTGTTGCAGAGCACAGGCTGTACACGCACAGGCTTCAGTAGTTGTGGCACGTGGGCTCAGTAGTTGTGGCTCTCGGGCTCCAGAGCGCAGGTTCAGTAGTTGTGGCGCACAGGCTTAGCTGCTCCGCAGCATGTGGGATCTTCCTGGACCAGGGCTCGAACCCGTGTGCCCTGCATTGGCAGGCGGATTCTTAACCGCTGAGCTACCAGGGAAACCCTGGAATTTGTTTTATGAAAATAAAACTGCGAAACATTCTCAAACGGTTTGTTTTTTTTTTTTGGCCACGCCGTGCATGACATGTGGACTCTTAATTTCCCAAGCAGGGATCAAAATCACTGATGAACATAGATGCAAAAATCCACAACAAAATACTAGCAAACAGAATTCAACAGCACATTAAACAGATCATGATCACCATGATCAAGTGGGGTTTATTCCAGGAATGCAAGGATTCTTCAATATACACAAATCAATCAACGTGATACACCATATTAACAAATTGAAGGAGAAAAACCATATGATCATCTCAATTGATGCAGAGAAAGCTTTTGACAAAATTCAACACCCATTTATGATAAAAACCCTGCAGTAAGTAGGCATAGAGGGAACTTTCCTCAACATAATAAAGGCCATATATGACAAACCCACAGCCAACATCATCCTCAATGGTGAAAAACTGAAAGCATTTCCACTAAGATCAGGAACAAGACAAGGTTGCCCACTCTCACCACTCTTATTCAACATAGTTTTGGAAGTTTTAGCCACAGCAGTCAGAGAAGAAAAGGAAATAAAAGGAATCCAAATCGGAAAAGAAGAAGTAAAGCTGTCACTGTTTGCAGATGACATGATCCTATACATAGAGAACCCTAAAGATGCTACCAGAAAACTACTAGAGCTAATCAATGAATTTGGTAAAGTGGCAGGATACAAAATTAATGCACAGAAATCTCTGGCATTCCTATATACTAATGATGAAAAATCTGAAAGTGAAATCAAGAAAACACTCCCATTTACCATTGCAACAAAAAGAATAAAATATCTAGGAATAAACCTACCTAAGGAGACAAAAGATCTGTATGCAGAAAATTATAAGACACTGATGAAAGAAATTAAAGATGATACAAATAGGTGGAGAGATATACCATGTTCTTGGACTGGAAGAATCAACATTGTGAAAATGACTCTACTACCGAAAGCAATCTATAGATTCAATGCAATCCCTATCAAACTACCACTGGCATTTTTCACAGAACTAGAACAAAAAATTTTGCAATTTGTATGGAAACACAAAAGACCCCGAATAGCCAAAGCAATCTTGAGAACGAAAGAAGGAACTGGAGGAATCAGGCTCCCAGACTTCAGACTATACTACAAAGCTACAGTTATCAAAACGGTATGGTACTGGCACAAAAACAGAAAGATAGATCAATGGAACAGGATAGAAAGCCCAGAGGTAAACCCACGCACATATGGTCACCTTATCTTTGACAAAGGAGGCAGAAATGTACCGTGGAGAAAGGACAGCCTATTCAATAAGTGGTGCTGGGAAAACTGGACAGCTACATGTAAAAGTATGAAGTTAGATCACTCCCTAACACCATACACAAAAATAAGCTCAAAATGGATTAAAGACCTAAATGTAAGGCCAGAAACTATCAAACTCTTAGAGGAAAACATAGGCAGAACACTCTATGACATAAATCACAGCAAGATTCTTTCTGACCCACCTCCTAGAGTAATGGAAATAAAAACAAGAGTAAACAAATGGGACCTAATGAAACTTAAAAGCTTTTGCGCAGCAAAGGAAACCATAAAGAAGACCAAAAGACAACCCTCAGAATGGGAGAAAATATTTGCAAATGAAGCAACTGACAAAGGATTGATCTCCAAAATTTATAAGCAGCTCATGCAGCTTAATAACAAAAAAACAAACAACCCAATCCAAAAATGGGCAGAAGACCTAAATAGACATTTCTCCAAAGAAGATATACAGAGTGCCAACAAACACATGAGAGAATGCTCAACATCACTAATCATGAGAGAAATGCAAATCAAAACTACAATGAGATATCATCTCACACCAGTCAGAATGGCTATCATCAAAAAATCTAGAAACAATAAATGCTGGAGAGGGTGTGGAGAAAAGGGAACCCTCTTACACTGTTGGTGGGAATGTAAATTGATACAGCCACTGTGGAGAACAGTATGGAGGTTCCTTAAAAAGCTACAAATAGAACTACCATATGACCCAGCAATCCCACTACTGGGCATATACCCTGAGAAAACCATAATTCAAAAAGAGTCATGTACCAAAATGTTCATTGCAGCTCTATTTACAATAGCCCAGAGATGGAAACAACCTAAGTGTCCATCATCGGATGAATGGATAAAGAAGATGTGGCACATATATACAATGGAATATTACTCAGCCATAAAAAGAGACGAAATTGAGCTATTTGTAATGAGGTGGATAGACCTAGAGTCTGTCATACAGAGTGAAGTAAGTCAGAAAGAGAGAGACAAATACCGTATGCTAACACATATATATGGAATTTTAAAAAAAAATGTCATGAAAAACCTAGGGGTGAAACAGGAATAAAGACACAGACTTACTAGAGAATGGACTTGAGGCTATGGGGAGGGGGAAGTGTAAACGGTGACAAAGCGATAAAGAGGCATGGACATATATACACTACCAAACATAAGGTAGATAGCTAGTGGGAAGCAGCCGCATAGCACAGGGAGATCAGCTCGGTGCTTTGTGACCGCCTGGAGGGGTGGGATAGGGAGGGTGGGAGGGAGGGAGACGCAAGCGGGAAGAGATATGGGAATATATGTATATATATAACTGATTCATTTTGTTGTGAAGCTGAAACTAACATACCATTGTAAAGCAATTATACTCCAATAAAGATGTTAAAAAAAAAAAAAAAAAAAAAAGAAAAGAAAACTGCGAAACATTCTCAAACGGTTTGTTTTTTTTTTTTTGGCCACGCCGTGCATGACATGTGGACTCTTAATTTCCCAAGCAGGGATCAAACCCGTGGCCCCTGCATTGGAAATGCAGTGTCTTAACCACTGGACTGCCAGGGAAGTCCTCAAGTGGTTTTGAGGTTACAAGTTAGAGTTTTCTTTTTTCTCTCCTGTCCCCTACATTATCTGTGTCCTCTGGGGTCCATTTTTTTTTGACTTATTTTGGGCCCTTTTTAATTGGAGAGGTTTTGTTTACTATTTGGTGACCTTGGATCATCCTTTCTTTTTTCTTTTTTTTTTTTTTTGCGGAACGTGGGCCTCTTACTGTTGTGGCCTCTCCTGTTGCGGAGCACAGGCTCCGGACGTGCAGGCTCAGTGGCCATGGCTCACGGGCCCAGCCGCTCCGCGGCATGTGGGATCTTCCCGGACCATGGCACAAACCCGTGTCCCCTGCATCGGCAGGCGGACTCTCAACCACTGTGCCACCAGGGAAGCCCCCATCCTTTCTTATTTAAGAGTAAGTCACTAAGAAGCTAATGGGGGAAACTGCGCAGGAGCTCGTTGACTGGTAATCCTTTAGGGCAATAGATTGCAAATTGATTGGAGCATCAGAATCACCTGGGGACTTGTTAAAACATTGAGGATAGGGCCCCGCTCCCAGAGTTTCTGGCTCAGTAGGACTGGGATGGGGCCTGAAGACCTGCATTTCCAGCGAGTTCCCAGATGATGCTGATGTGGTTGATCCACTGATCACACTTTGAGAACCACTACTACTGGATGATCAAATGTCAGGTACCTTTTCCCTGAGGGATCCCAAAGCCAGTGAGTTGCCTGGCTCAGGCTGCTCTGCTCCCCAGTGGGGCTGGAGGCTTGGTATCCTTGTTATCATCATGGGACTTCTGCTCAGTTCCCCTATTTACCCTCAGCCTTGTCCTTGCTATTGATGCCTCTCTTCTTCCTCAGCCTTGATGCCAAAAACTCGGCCTCTGTGCACCAGTGCCAAATTGAATTTCAGAGACAGAGTTTTGTTTGTTTGTTTGGTTTGGTTTTTTGGCTGCATTTGGGTCTTCATTGCTGCATGTAGGCTTTCTCTAGTTGCGGCGAGCGGGGGCTACTCTTTGTTGCGGTGCGTGGGCTTCTCATTGTGGTGGCTTCTCTTGTTGCAGAGCACAGGCTCTAGGGCGGGCCTCAGTAGTTGCAGCACGCGGACTCAGTAGTTGTGGCACGCAGGCCCTAGAAAGCGTGGGCTTCAGTAGCTGCGGCGCACAGGCTCTAGAGCACAAGCTCAGTAGTTGTGGTGCACAGGCTTCGCTGCTCCGCGGCATGTGGGATCTTCCTGGACCAGGGCTCGAACCTGTGTCCCCTGCATTGGCAGGCAGATTCTTAACCACTGTGCCACCAGGGAAGACCCTTGGTGACTTTCTTGAGGACAGTTTTGCAGCCTTAGAGTGGAGAAGGATAACAGGGTCACTGGTTGCTGGCCCTGGGTCTGGGGGGAATAGGAGCAGGGGCAGGTAGAGGGGATGACATTGTCTCTAGAGTTCTGGGTGTGTGTGTACAGTGACCAGCCACAGAGTCCAGGCTGGGGTGGGAGGAGGGACAGTTGCAAGAACACGGCAGGGGCTGATGGCATAGTTTTGTCAAGAGTGCCTTATCAGGTTCATACTAGCTCTGACTCTGTGACCTTGGGCAAGCCCTTACTCCCAGAGACTGAGAATAAAATGGGAATAATCATACTAGGTCGGGGCTTGGGGCGATTAACAAACTGATAAGATAAGTGCACTTAAGTGCTTTAAATGTTAATCTGTGTGGATTCTTCAACCTGGTAGCATCGGGAAGAACCAGGGGCCTGCCTTTTGAGGTCAAAGGCAATGGGAGATGTGGCGGGGAGGAGATGGGCCAGAGTGGAGACCACTCACCGAGGCAGGGGCTGGGCCCTGGGGTCAAACCTGGGCTCCTGCCCCCATACTCTCCAGGCTATTAGGAGATGGAGAGGAAACAGGAGAATTCCCCAACTACAAGAACGAGGCTCTATTAGAGGGTGTAGACGGGGAGGACAGTATGCCTGGCAGGTGGGGACAACCCCCAAGATAGAAAACAGCTCTTAGAGGTGGCTCTGAGGAAAGGAAGCTGTAGTGCAGAGGCAGCCAGTGGGCAGGGTGTCACTGAGCAGCAGTGGGTACTGTGTATGGCTTGGGCAGGGGACGGGCTGACTGCCGGGGGTGGGCGAGGGAGGCCAAGGTTGATGGTCGCCTTCAGGGCCTCCAACATCTGAGTCACCTCATGCTGGAGCAGGATGGCCACCGCTGAGGCTGGGATGGTGCCACCTTGGATCTGCGGGGCATCTTGGAGTGATGGGTAAGAGAGGGGCGGGCCATGGAGGATTCTCCCAGAGTCCCCACGGTGGCTGATGCTGAAAGGGAAGCTGAAAGAGGCCAAGCAGGTGCTGTGCTATGCAGCTGGTGTGAACAAGAAGACCATTCCTGTAAGTCTGCTGGATAAGGTAAGAAGCTTCAGGCCTAAGGTGGGACCAGGGCAGGGAGCTATGCAAGGGCCTCTTCCCTCCTCATCCTTTCAGGTGGGACCTCGGCCCAAAGGGGGTCCCCAGCCCACTGCTTGAGGAGCATGGTGACAGCAAAATCAGCCCTGCCAGGGGAAAGACAGAGGCCAGGCTGGCCCTGTGGGGGGCAGGGGGGCCTCGTGAGTCCTGTTGGGGGAAGGAGCAAGCTGGGGTCTCGGCCCTGCCTCTGGCTGGTCCTGCTTGTCCTGTAGCTGCAGCTGCCTGGAAAGAAGGTGACTACGGCCTCTATCCTGGACTTCTATAGCAACAGGCACCTCCGCAAGGTGACCTTGGTGATGTGCAGCATGTGGTGAGTACCCAGCAGGGACTGCAAACAGCCTTGCAGGCCAGGGGTACAGGGAGACGATGGGCGTGGGCAGGCTGCAGGGAGAGCATGGCCTGAGGACCCTGGTGCAGCCTGCAGAGCCCAGATCTCTGTGCTCATTTCTGTCCTCCACTGCCACCCTGCTGTGCTCTCCTCTGCCTCTGTCTTTATTCCTGGCCCCGGCTTTCTGTGTGTGTCTTTTTCTCTAAGTGTCTCTCTTCTGGCAATGAATTCTAGGCTTGCTATCGGTTGCAACTATTATATGCTGAGTCTCAGGATGAGGGAATTGGGAGTGAACATCCACTTCACACAAGTGATTCCTGGCATGATGGAGGTGCCCGCCCGGCTGTGCTGCATCTTTCTCCTTGAGCAGTTGAAGAGGAAGCGAAGCCTGATTTTGACTTTCTTCCAAGGTGCCCTCATGTGCTTCCTTAGCCTTCTGCTCCCCTCAGGTACAGCTTCCCCTAACCTCCCACTTCACCTCCCTGATGCCACCCCCGGCCTTCCGGCTTCCTCAAACCCCTCCCTCCTGCCTCCTGCCCCTATCCAGCCAACAAAACACCTTGGCAGTTAGCCTCATGCATCCAGACCCCACCTGCCCTACAGAGGCCCCTGCACGTCCTGAGCAGGGGCCATTCTCTAGAGCACTGCCCTCTCGGAGGGGAGGGGGTATCCCAAACAGGGCACGTGCAGCTCCCAGAGACCTGGGAAGGGAGGACGTGCTGTCCAGAGGAATCGTCCTTGTGCAGGAGAGTGGGCAGCCGTCTTCTGCCTGATTCCAACTCCTGTCAATAATTAAATGTGAACAGATGCAGCAAAAGTAGTCCTTCAACTGCTACCCCTGCCCTGTCTCATCTGTAGTCTCACCAGGAAAAAATCACTTGCCCACTGAAGATTGAGCGTAACATTGGGCCAAACTCTCAGGAACAATTCTTGCATGGAGGCCACTCCTTCCCAGGGCGGGCACAGTGCCCTGCGCCCTGTCAACTCAGAACTAGGGAAGGAAATGGGAGGGTGGGCTGGCAATATTTTCAGAATTTCAAAGAACCTTAAGACAATGCATATGCTCCAGGTCACAAGGCTAGAAGAGTGTGGCGGGGCTGAGGATGTGGACATCAAGATGTCAGTGTTGGGGGCTTCCCTGGTGGCATAGTGGTTGAGAGTCCGCCTGCCGATGCAGGGGACACGGGTTCGTGCCCCGGTCTGGGAAGATCCCACATGCTGCGGAGTGGCTGGGCCCGTGAGCCATGGCCGCTGAGCCTGCGCGTCCGGAGCCTGTGCTCCGCAGTGGGGGAGGCCGCAGCGGTGAGAGGCCCGCGTACCGCAAAGAAAAAAAAAAAAAAATGTCAGTGTTGGGAATATCCTGCCGGCCCAGTAGTTAGGACTCCGAGCTTCCACTGCAGGGGACCCCGGGTTCAATCCCTGGTCAGGGAGCTAATCCTAATCCCGCAAGCCACGTGGCATGGCCAAGGAAAAAAGATGTCAGTGTTCATTCACCTGATCAGAATTGCTGACCGCAAGAGCCCCCTCAGCCGCTGGGGCCGGGATGGCGGAGCCTGGATGCGGGGTCCACCTCAAGGGGCTCCCTCACTTTCCCTGGGGTCTGGAATTTTGTGGGTCTTGACCTGGACTCTTCCTCTCCCAGATGTTGGCAGTGTTGACAGGCTAAAACAAGATGGGGGAAACAAAGCCATTGTTCAATTTCTATTGTTTGGTGGTTTTTTTAAAAAGTGGGTCTATAATGAGTCAAGCAGAAATGTCTGAAACGCTCACATGTGTGAGAGGAACTAGGAGGAAAATCCCCAATATATAAAATTAGATCTCCGGTTTCATCCCAGAGCCAAGTAAAGCCAGACCCAAAGTGGGGAGTGGGGAGGCCTGGGGCAGGGTCCAGCAGAGGCTGATGGGGAAGGAGCTGAAACTCCTGGCTCCAGGTCAGTGAGCAGGGCGTCCAGCTCCCAGCTTCCCCAGGCCTGAGGAAGGGCGTTTCCCAGGCTCTTTTCTTCCTCCTCCAATGTACATGTCTGGAGTTGGGCATCCCGGAACGTCTAGCTGTTCAGGCCGCAGGGACCAGGCTTGCAGAGGATGAAGGGGAAGTGGGGAGAGCCCTGAGCAGGGAGCCCGGCACACAAGGCGCAGGCCAGGGGCTGAGTGGATGCTTCAGGAGGAGCTGGCCGTGGGGTGGGTGAAGCTGGGTGAACATGTGGAATACAGGGAGGCAGAGGTGCAACAGCTGAGTCCACCCAGTAGATGGTGGCCTGAGAGGCCACAGAGGTCCCCACTCCACCACTGCAGATGTACTAATTCCCGGCCTGGCTGGGCCTCTAGCAGACTGACCCTCCTCTGAGTCTGCTGGCCAGCTGGCCAGGTGGTCTGGGTGGACCTTCAGATGCCTTCTAAGAGGGATTGAGGGAGGGCCGGTGGGCAGGCCCCCCAACCTGCCCCGAGGGAAGGATGGCCACATTGTCTGGCCACAGAGTTGAAATCCCTCTTGGTCTTGATAATCGTGCTCGGAGAGCTCAGCCTGGCCGCCACGGTCACCGTGTTCTACATCTACACTTCTGAGCTCCTCCCCACTGTCCTCAGGTAGGGGGCCTGGTGGGTGATGGCCATGGGGTCATGGGGAGTGTGGGGCAATAGCAAGATGGGTAACAGCAGCTGAGATTGGGCAATCACCTGGTGAGAGGCACCCTGCTAAGCAATTTACATGGGTTACCCCATCTAACCCTCACCAAAAAAAATCCCCCTAACACCATCATTAACCCTTTTTCAGACAGGAAATCAGAGAGGTAAGGGCACTGGCTCAAGGTCAAACATAGCAGGTGACAGAAGTGGGATTTGGACCTAGGCAGTCCGACTCCAGTCCCTGACTTGCACTGACTGCCTGAAATGTGACTGGGCCGCTCTGAGGTTCAGGCCCTTCTCCACGGGGGCCCTTGGTGATGGCTGCAGTATCCTCCTCCCCAGCCTCCCACGCATACCCACGCTATGGTGTGTGGTCTTACTTCTCCCACTCCTGGACCCATGAAGAAACTACTACCTACCTTGCAACAGTAAAGAACTAAATTCTCCAAGGTTGCACAGTGAGTTGGGACAGGGTGGAGATGAGGGTGTGGGGTTTTCCCTAAAACCTTTTTCCACCCTACCCAGTCTCTGGGCCCAAGAAGCCCCTAAATGAACTTTCACCTCCCCTTCCAGGGCGACAGGTCTGGGGCTACTGTCTCTGGTCTGGGCGGCTGGAGGTATCTCATCCTTGATAGTCGTCAACCAGAACATTGCCATCCTACCCGTCTTTCTCTGCTGCATCTCAGCCTTCGTGGCTTTGTTCTTTTGTGTCAAGCTGCCAGAAACGCAAGATCAGCCCATCCCTGACAGCCTGGAGCACCTTCCGCCAGAGAGAAGGTAGGTGTGTGAGGCTTCTGGGCTCTGGTCAGAACAGGGCCTCGTTCTCAAGCACTGTCCATCCCAGCCCCTTTGCCAGAAGGGCCTGTGATACGAGGGCTACTCTATGTCCACAGCAGACTCCCTAGCTCTACTGGATGCTGCCACGTACCTCTGTCCAGCTCAGCCTCTGCCAGCTCCCATCCTGCCTGGCTCTCCTGACCTAGCCTGGACCACGTCTTCTTCTTTCCCATCCCCTGGTGCCTGTCTGGACTGGGGTGATGCCCTTCGAAATACTCAGGGCTCCCTCCCCTCCCAGGGCACAGGGCACTGGCTTGGAACCAGCTTTCTGAGCACCTCTCCATTCCTTTCTGAACTCCCAGGTGCTCACAAAGGACCCAGTCTTGATTTACGACTCTGGCCTCTTGGCCCCAGTAGCCCAGGACCCCATGTGGGAAATGCGCTCCACCCAACTGCTTCATGGGCACTTCTGGTCTCTGGTCTCCTAGCGCCACTGGAGAAGGCTTGTCGTGATGGGTAGCACCATCCCTTCTGGGATTTGCGCCAGCAAAGCCCAGAACTCTCTTCCTGGACCTGAGCAACAGGGAGGAGCAGAGGCTGCTTCATGTCCTACAGTGCCCTCTGCTAATAGCACAGGGGCCTTTGGCCTTCCTCAGTCCTCCTCCCCACCACCCCCTCCTCCTTGCCTCCTTTTTCAAACTCTCATTGATACCACCTCTGCTAGGCATTGTACCAGGGCTGGTAAGAAGTCCTCAGGCTTAAGCAAGCCATAGTTTATAGGGAGACAGATACGCAAACAGTTATCACCAATGGACTCTGACAGAGGGATGTATAGGACGTATAGGGACCCCAGGAGGGAGGAACTTTAGTTTGGGGAGTTGGGGAAGGTTTCCCAGAGAAAGTGATATTTGAGTAGGGCTTTGAAGGATGAATAGGTGTTTGCCCCATTGTAGAGGGTGGGAGTGCCATGCAGCAGAGTGACAGCATAGTAGGTAAGAACACAGGCTCTGGAGCCAAAGGGTCTGGATTTCTATCTCTGCTAACACTTCCTAGTATGTGCACAGGGAAGTTACCTAATACTTCTGAGACTCAGTTTCTACGTTTGCAAAATGGGATGATAACATAGTAATAATAATAGCTAAGCTGTATGGAACATTTACCATGTGTCAGGTCCTGTTCTAGATACATGCCTTTTCACATTTCATCGTAACAACCACCACATACAATAGTGACAGGTCCTGTCACTATCCCTCATTTTACAGGTGAGGAAACTGAGGCACAGAGAGGTAAAGACATGGAGCTGAGCCTTCCTGTCTCATAGGGATTTGGGAAGGTTACACCCATATAAAGTGGTTGGAGGAATTTCCTGGCGGTCCAGTGGTTAGGACTCTACACTCTCAATGCAGAGGGCCTGGGATTCGATCCCTGGTCAGGGAACTAAAATCCCACAAGCCACATGGTGCGGCCTAAAATAACTAACTAACTAATTAATTAATTAATTAAAAAATAATAAAGTGGTTGGCACAGTGGCTCGAGGCAAGTGCTCAGTAAATGCTCGTGATGAAGATGGTGGACAGCGTCCCAAATATGCAGAAGAGTCAAGGGTCTGACTAGGGTTGGGAGATGGAACAGGTCTGCTCCTGGAGGTGAGGGTCCCTCCCGGGCTCATGGTGAAGCTTGGCTGGGGACCTGCCAAGGCGTGGGAAAGACCCACCTCTCAGGAGTGCAGAGCCAGGCCTGGCCGGTGCTGCTTTTCTCAGCTCCCAAAAAGATGCAGCTCATGAGTTTTTCTCCAACGGTTTCTTCAGGACCTTGAGCGAGGACATGTCGAGCGAGGACATGTTATGTGACGATGTGACAGAGGAAGTGGCCAAGAACACCATTTTCAATGCCACGATGACAAATGTGGACCAAGACAGTCTCTCCAACCTGTCTTTGCAATCTGGAGAAGGGGAAATAGACAAACAGGAGGACTGAGGGCCAGGCCCCCAGATGATCTCGGGCTGGAGTTGAGTGGCCAGATCTGGGGCTGTGGATCTCAGACCATGATTTCCGGTCCCAGTCCAGCTTGGTGGGGGCAGGGTCAGTCCTGCCCCAAGGCCAGCCCTGGAGATCCAAAAATGGCCCCTTCTCGGGGAGCTAGGGTGAGATTCATTCCAACAAAGGTACCATGTTGGACTTGAGACGACTAGGTCAAAATTGGCTGTGTCTGGAGGAACCAGAGGCCCAAGCCAGGAGGAGAGTAGTTCAGACAGGCTTTTCAGAGTCCTTAATGTCTTAGCTGACCTCTGAGGACGAGGAGTTGTCTGATTGGGGAGTGTGGGTGGGCCGTGTCTGTGAGGGCCGGGAGTGGGCAAAGGCGCCACTCGCCTCCACGCTGCCCACATCTTTTTAGCCCAGGCGTCCGCTAGTGTGGGTGGTCTTCCCACTCAGGTGCAGGCTGAGGACAGGTTCCACAGCCCCACTGTGTGTGTGTTCACCTGCCAAGGCAGGGGTGGAATGTAAAGGAATAATGAGAAATTCTCCCTTTTGTGCCATGGCACAAGGGCTTTCTCACTCCTCCTGCTGCTCCCAGATAAGCACGGCCTTGGGAATTACCTATCTCAGTCTCATCCTCAGGGAGTGGGGAGCAGGGTGTCTCCCCTGATGATTCCATCCTGGCTGACCTCTGACCTCCACCACCCTGAGGATAAGCCCTCAAGCCCCAGCTCACGGTCCTGACTGCCCTGAGGGTGAGTCTGCATTCCCAGCCAGCATGGGGGCCCCCCCGAGGCAGGATCCAGGACTCCTCATCCACTGGTCAGACCTGGAAATCTTTGGGTCAGGCCCTGGGCTCCACCTCCTATCTCCCTGAGAGGAGAGTCCCTGAGGGTAGGGGCGGGCTCTTCTCTCCCTGCTCAGTTTATTTGGAAGATCATTATTAGCTTGCAGGGAGGTGCTAACCGCTGGAGCTGCTGCGGGGAGGAGAGAAAAGAATGTCCGCCTTCATGGAGCCCGGGGTCTCCCGGGCAGAATTGGAGAGCAGCACAGCAGGGCACAGCTTCTGGTACCCTGGCCCAAGCACACTGCTTTGGGTGTGTGCTCCCAAGCTTCAGGACAGCAACAAGCTGGTGCCAGGCCTTCCTCTTAAAATATCATTTTCTTTTTTTTTAAATTGAAGTACAGTTGATGAATATGTTATGCTAATTTCTGCTGTACAGCAAAGTGACTCAGTTATACACATATACACATTCTTTTTTTTTTTTTTTCTGTTTTTTTTGGGCACGCTGCCTGGCATGTGGGATCTTAGTTCCCCCAGTCAGGGATCAAACCTGGCCCCCCTTCAGGGAAGCATTGCGTCTTAACCACTGGACTGCCAGGGAAGTCCTTACACTCTTTTTTATATTCTTTTCCATTATGGTTTGTCCCAGGAGATTGGATATAGTTCCCTGTGCTATACAGTAGGACCTTGTTTATCCGTTCTAAATGTATTAAAATATCATTTTCTGATTTCTCTGTTCTTTACCCAGTTTCCCAGGATTGCCTTCAAAGAGGGGTTTGAAGGGCCCAGAAAAAGAGGTCTCGAAAAGTCTCTGCTCACAGGACGACAGGATATTTTAAAGGCCTCCCTTGCTCTTTCTGTGGGAGGCCTGTCTATGAGCTCTGGTGGCCAACATATTAGCTATGTTTAAACACCTCATCTCACATTGCTTTGCTGGAAGGATTCAGCCAGTACTGCAGGGAACAGTAGGAGGAGATGGGTCAGGACAGAAAACTGATGGGGCAGCATGGCCACAAGAGGTGACTGTCGGTAAGACCTAGTACACCCCTACTCGACTTAGATATTCCTTAGGTGGCCAGGATTTGTCAGTCAGTTCCAGATAGGACCTAGTTTGCTTATCTGAACAATGGCTAATATTACCTAGAGTTTGGCATTGTATACTTTAACAGACCATAGGCTAGCCACTAGCCAGATACGGCTGTTGAGGGCTTGAAATGTGGGTAGTCGGGAGTTGAGACGTGTTGTGAGTGTAAAAAACACACTGGAGGGCTTCCCTGGTGGCGCAGTGGTTGAGAGTCCGCCTGCCGGTGCAGGGGACGCGGGTTTGTGCCCCGGTCCGGGAAGATCCCACATGCCGCGGAGTGGCTGTGCCCGTGAGCCATGGCCGCTGAGCCTGCGCATCCGGAGCCTGTGCTCCGCAACAGGAGAGGCCACAACAGTGAGAGGCCCGCGTACCGCAAAAAAAAAAAAAAAAAAAAAAACACACTGGATTTCAAAGACTTAGTACAAAACGAAACCAAACCCAAAAAATATGTCACCAGTATTTTTTATATTATGTGTAAAAATGATAATATTTTGGATATATTGAGTTAATATTAAAATTAATTTTACCTATTTTTTAAAACTTTTTTTAATGTGACTGGCATAAAACGTAAAACTACACACGTGACTGCCATTTCCATAAATCTATCGGCCCCTTGGATTCCCTGTTTTGTGAAGTACTTGGTCAAGTTTCTTGGCCATTTTTTTTTTCTGGCCATGCCGCACGGCATGTGGGACCCTAGTTCCCCGACCAGGGATCAAACCTGTGCCCCCTGCGCCCCTTGCATTGGAAGTGCAGAGTCTCAACCACTGGACTGCCAGGGAAGTCCCTCTTGGCCATTTTTGCTTTTTTCTTTCTTTCTTTTCTATATTTATTTATTTATTTAGACTGCACTGGGACTTAGTTTCAGCACTCAGGATCTTTGTTGTGGCATGTGGGATCTTTTATTTTCCTTTTTTAATTTATTTACTTATTATATATTTATTTTTGGCTGCGTTGGGTCTTCGTTGCTGCGCGCAGTCTTTCTCTAGTTGTGGTGAGCGGTGGCTACTCTTCGTTGCGGTGCGTGGGCTTCTCTTGTTACAGAGCACGGGCTCTAGGTGCTCGGGCTTCAGTAGTTGTGACTCAGGGGCTCTAGACCACAGGCTCAGTAGTTGTGGCGCACAGGCTTAGTTGCTCCGCGGCATGTGGGATCTTCCCGGACCAGGGCTCGAACCCGTGTCCCCTTCATTGACAGGCGGATTCTTAACCACTGCCCCATCAGGGAAGTCCCAGGATCTTTTTTTCTTTGTTTTTAGTCGTGGCATGTGGGCTTCTTAGTTGCGGTATGCATGCCGGCCCCCTGCATTCGGAGCGCAGTCTTACCCACTGGACCACCAGAGAAGTCCCTCTTGGCCATCTTTGTCTGGGGTTGTCTGCTCTTGTTCTTACAGACTTGCAGGAGTACTTTATAGTTTCTTGATGAGTCTGTTGTCAGTTATGTGGTTGCAAATAGCTTCTACCTCTTTGATTTGCCATTTCACTCTACCTAAAACTTTTTTACAGTTTCATATTTTTAAAAATATGGATGCCTAATTTTTCCACGATTCCTTGTTGGAAAGATGGTCTTTTCCCCACTGTTCTCAGTGCCATGATAAATCAAGTGATGGTGTATGTGGATTTGGTCCTGGGTTCTCTTTTTTTTTGCGGTACGCGGGCCTCTCACTGTTGTGGCCTCTCCCGTTGCGGAGCACAGGCTCTGGATGCGCAGGCTCAGCGGCCATGGCTCACGGACCCAGCCGCTCCGCGGCACGTGGGATCTTCCTGGACCGGGGCACGAACCCGTGTCCCCTGCATGGGCAGGCAGACTCTCAACCACTGCGCTACCAGGGAAGCCCTGGGTTTTTTTTGTTTCCTTGGCCTGTTTGTCTTCTTGTGACAATGATCTTGGGTACTGTGGTGCATTGAAGTCTTGATGTCCAAAGGAGCAAGTTCTCCCACATTGTTTTTCTTTAAGAGGGTCTTGGGGGACCTCCCTGGTGGTCCAGTAGTTAAGACTCTGGGCTTCCAATGCAGGGGACGTGGGTTCGATCCCTGGTCGGAAAACTAAGATCCCACATGCCACACAGCACAGCCAAAAAAAAAAGGTCTTGGCTTCTCTTGACCCTTTGCGTTTCCATATAAATCTTAGAGTCTGGTCATTAAGTTCCACAACAAAAATGAAAAACACCTGTTGGGGTTCTCACTGGGATTATGGTGAATCCATAGAACAATTTACAATGTTGAGTCTTCCCATCCAAGAACATGCTAGATCTTCTCTCCACTTATTTAGGTCTTCCTTCGAGTCCTTTGGTAAAGTTTTAGTTTATAGTGTTATGGTTTTCTCCATACGGGGTCTTGTATTCTTTCTTTACTCCTGGGTACCTGATATTTTTTAAGCTATTTTAAAAGCTATCTTTTGGTTTTGTTTTTTAATTTCATTTTCCATTAGCTGCTGGTATATAAAAATGCAATTGACCTTTGTATATTGATTTTATATCCTCAGCTTTGTTAAATAGATTATCTCTTCGTTTCCAACGTTTATGTCTTATATTTCTTTTTCTTGCCTTACTGGACTAGTTAGTTCCTCCAGTACATTGTGGTAAAGAAGTAGTATGAACTGGCATCCTTGTCTAACTCCTCATTTTAGAGAAAGCAAACCTTTCAACATTAAGTGTGATGTTCGTTGTAAATTTGTTGTAGATAGCCTTAATCAGATTAAGGAAGTGCCTTACTATTTCTGTTTTTCTAAGAGGTTTTTTTTTTTCTCCTTTGGATCTTAGTTGTGCTTAGTTGTGCACAGGCTTCAGTAGTTGTGGCACGTGGGCTCAGTAGTTGTGGCACATGGGCTCCAGAGCACAAGCACAGTAGCTGTGGCACACAGGCTTAGTTGCTCCACGGCACGTGGGACCTTCCCAGACCAGGGCTTGAACCCGTGTCCCCTGCATTGGCAGGCGGATTCTTAACCACTGCGTCACCAGGGAAGCCCCTTCTGTGACATTTTAAAAATCATACTTTCAAGGGGTCAGGATGTTTCTGGTTTACAATTCTCTGATCAAGATGGTCCACGGCTCAGGGGCCTGTGAGGTCATCTTGCCCTGGAGAAACAACCTGATTTCATACATTAATGGTGATGTCCACAACAGCAATTTTAGTACATGGATGATGATATCATGTTATCAACAACAGCAGTTTGCGTCTGGTTGATTAGCTTGCCTCATCAGATGCCTCTGGTTGATCAGCGTTCAATTAGCACAGGATTAAGGTCAGAGGAGACAAGAAAGGGGCTGAGGTCAGAGAGGACAAGAAAAGGAATAAAGTTTTGGATAGAGAAAGATTAATCATACACCTGGCAAGGGAACTTGGTTTTAGGGGGCTCAGCTTCACTACAATGTGAATGATTCTCGAAAAAAGTATGTTGAGTAAAATAAGCCAGTCACGAGAGGCCACCTGTTGCATAATTCCATTTAATTTAACTGTCCAGAATAGGCAAAGCCACAGAGACAGAAAGCAGATGAGTGGTTGCCAGGGTTGGGGAGAATGGGAAAGAGTGAACAATGGGATTTCTTTTGGGGGTCATGAAAATGTCCTAAAATTGGCTGTGACAGTTGTTGCACAATTCTGTGAATACACTCAAAACCATTGATCGCGTGCTGTATTCTGAATAGGTTAATTGTGTGGTATGTGACTTATATATCAATCAGGATGTTAGTTGTTTTTGTTTTTGTTTTTTTGTGTGGTACGCGGGCCTCTCACTGTTGTGGCCTCCCCCGTTGCGGGGCACAGGCTCCGGACGCGCAGGCTCAGCGGCCATGGCTCATGGGCCCAGCCGCTCCGCGGCATGTGGGATCTTCCCGGTCCGGGGCATGAACCTGTGTCCCCTGCATCGGCAGGCGGACTCCCAACCACTGTGCCACCAGGGAAGCCCGGGATGTTAGTTTTTAAAAAGAGAGATGAGCAGAAGGCAGGGCGGTGAAGGAGCAGAGAGCGAGGTGCTCTCCTGCACTGCGAGGGTAGAAGGGCACAACATGCAGCTTTTCTGGAGTGGAGTTTGGCAAGATGTGCACATAGTTAGACTCTATATACCTGTTGACACAGGAATCCTCCAAGATTTACCCAAAGGAGAAGTAATTATCCAAATATGAAAATAATGTGTGCACAAGGATGTTCATTGCAGCTTTGTTACCTTAAAAATACAAAATTTTTGAAAACAAACTTTAAGTCATTACTAAGAGACGCTACTGTTCATATTAAATAATTAATACAATTTATGATAAAGCTCTATATTTACGGACATGAAAAGCTGTCCGTGACATAATGTTTAGGGAAGTAAGCAGTTTATGGAACTTCAGTGGTTATGTAGAATTCAGGCATTTCTTTATACATAGAAGGAAGTTCATCAAAATGCTGAGTAATTTCTATAGCCCCTGAATTAATGGGGTATATTAGTTTCCTAGGGCTGCTGAAAACAGTACCGCCAATTGGGTGGTTTAAAATGGAAATTTACTTTTTCACAGTTCTCTAGGCTACCATCCAAAAATCAAGATTACTGTAGGGTCAATATTCCCTCCGGAGAGTCTAAGGAAGAATCCTTTCATGCCTCTTCTAGCTTCTGGTAGTTGTCCTAAGTCCTTGGGTGTGTATCTGTATATATGACTAAATTTCTCTTTTCCTATAGGGATACCAGTCATTGGATTAGGGCCCACCCAGTACGAAGTCATTTAAATTTGATTACATCTGCAAAGACCTTATTTCCAAATAAGGTCACATTCACAGGTACTGGGACTTAACTTGAACATTCTGGAGACACACAGTTCTACCCACTGCATGGGGTTAGTTCATTTCTTTTCACTCTTTAATGAAAGCGTTCAAGAATATGCATTTATCTCTGAGTATGTGTCTCCCAAAAGTTCTGATAGGGATGTTTTCATTTTCCTGCTTTCTAAATAGCGTGTTGTATTTTGACTCTTTGACCCACTAATTATTTAAGAGAATGAGTTAAAAGTCCTAAGCAGCTTGAGATCCATCCCATTATTGCTATTATGTTTGCTTGTTTTCTTTTTCCTTATTCTTTTAGTCTAAAAGTTAAAAGTTCAACAATACAGAGTGAATTAAAATGCAAAAGTCACCCCCTAACCACCAGTTTCTAAATCCCACTCCAACAGATAATTGTTAATAACTGGAAGTATATTTTCCAGACCCTCCTTTCACATATACAGAACTACAGGATGCAGTTATCTGCTTTAAACACTCATGGAGTAAAGGAAATTCAGACCCCAAGGGACGAATGCAGTAAAACCAGAAAATTGCAAGATACCCACACCAACATTTAATTTTCCTAAATCAAATTTGCTTCTGAAGTGAGTACAAACACAGAAGCAGCGGGCCTATGCATACTTTGGTGAAAATAAGAACTTTTCTCCTCAGAGCTCTTTGGAATCTGCTGAAACATCAAAGTCCATCAAAGTTTTCTCTAGACATAAACACAAAATCAGCTTTTAAAAATCTTAATCCCAGCTGCATGAGTTACTTATTTAACTGGAGGCAGGACACCCCTCACCCTCAGACTTGGATAAACAAAACTGTATGACATTTGCCCTGCTAAGGGCTATAGTTCCAAACATTTATTTTCAATCATAACAGCTTCCATTGGGAGACTGGGATTGACATATATACACTTATATGTATAAAATGGATAACTAATAAGAACCTGCTGTATAAAAAAATAAATAAAATTCAAAAAATCATAACAGCTTCCCACTGATCTTACAAAAAATTTGTACTACCTTTGAGATAGAACAGAGAAGAATTATTTAATATCTGTCATATCTCAAGATGACATCTTCTAAAAAATTTCAGACAGATATAATAAATTAGTAAACCTGAATTATAATTGATTTGCCTTTTTTTTTGGTCACGTCATCTTAGTTCCCCGAACTGAGGCCACGGCATTGAAAGCGCCAAGTCTTAACCACTGGACCGCCAGGGAAGTCCCTGATTTGTCTATTTCATTTCCCAATTTCTGATTACATTTGATTGATTCAGCGATTTTATCTTTGTCCTAGAAGTGGAAGGGATAGGAATTAAAGCTACCAGTACAATCCTAACTTTTCACTCTTAAAACTACTCATTTAGAAGGAGATACATCAGCCTGAACAGTTTCAGTAGCATCAGTACTAATGAACACAGCTTTAGGTGGGTTGGATAAAAACTAGTCAGCTATTTTTACACAAACAGGATAAAATATATTGGAATTTAAAAACAGTGCATCTTTATCCAGAAAGCATATTTCTTCAGGATTTTTCTCAAAGAAAAAGGTTAGGGCTTCCCTGGTGGCGCAGTGGTTGAGGGTCCGCCTGCCAATGCAGGGGACACGCCCCGGTCCGGGAAGATCCCACATGCCGCGGAGCGGCTGGGCCCGTGAGCCATGGCCGCTGAGCCTGCGCGTCCGGAGCCTGTGTTCCGCAATGGGAGAGGCCACAACAGTGAGAGGCCCTCGTACCGCAAAAAAAAAAAAGGTTAACTTTGAGAAAAATCCATATTGTGGATGCAGACTTCAAAGAATGAAGAGATAGTTTGCTGTTGTTTCATTGGCGACCAGAGTATAGGAACTGAATTTATGTTTGTCTCCATTTTCCTATTTTACAATGAGTTCTCATTATTATATTTACTAAATGAAATTTTTTTCTTTCTCTGAAGTTTATATCTAGTGCTTACCCTCAGATAGATTAGTTTTCACTGACTTCTGTGTTATGATGTAGTATATTCAGTTGACAAACACCTAGCTTCAAAGAAAACTCAATTCAATCTGTATGTCTTTGGAGAAATGTCTATTTAGGTCTTCTGCCCATTTTTTTTTTTTTTTTTTTTTTGGGAGAGAAACACGTTCCACAGACAGAGAGTGGGCCATCTCAGAAGGCAAGAGCGACCTCTTGGTGTGGTTAGTTTTTTTGGGCTGGGTAATTTCATAGGCTAATAAGTGGGAGGATTATTCCAACTATTTTGGGGCAGGGGTGGAGATTTCCAGGAATTGGGCCACCGCCCACTTTTTTGGTCTCTGATAGTTGGCCTCAGAACTGTCATGGCGCTGGAGGGTGTGTCACTTACCTTATGCTAATGTATTACAATGAGCATATGATGAGGCTCAAGGTCCACTGGAAGTCGAATATTCTGCCATCTTGGACCTAGTTGGTTCTAACCAGTTTTCGTCATATCCTATGGCTATGTCATGCTTTTAAACGCCGTGCCCTGTCCCCTTCCCTCCTGTTTCATAACCACTGGACTGCCAGGGAATTCCCTGCCCTGCTGCTCTCAAGAGAAGAGCGTGCTGGTAGGACACTGCTGGTCCCAGGAAAGGAAAGATGAGAGACACATGGAGCAGAGCCCCTCTAACTGAGCCGAGCCTAGATCAGCTGACCTGCTGACATCTGAGAGACAAGAAAAGATGATTGTTTTAAGTCATCACGTTTGGGGGTGTTTTGTTATGCATCAGCAGTTATCCAACCAGGTCACCTAAGCCAGGAACCTGAGCATTACCTTTGCTGCTCCCTTTCGCAATCCACGATGTTCCCAGAGCTTCCTAAGTATCTCTGGAATCCATCTAGTCTCCATCCTCAGCACCTCTTGAGGTGTTAGCCCTAGCTCAGGCCTCCTGCAGCTACATTCTAACTCATTTTTCCTTCCTCCCCTTTGCCCCCATTCTCCACACACAGCATCTTGAGTGACCTTCCTTATACCCAATCTGATCACGTGACTCCTGTGGGTTTGCCTCGCCCTCAGGCTGTGGTGTCCTTAGGGCCTGATATGGGAAGGAACCTTGCTAGGCACTGTGGACAACCTGGTCATGGTGAAGAGACACCTCCAGGGCAGTTTCTGCTTTGTTCCTAAATCCCTGGTGCAGGGAGCCAGGTTCAAGGTTGGAGCTGATAAGCAAAAGGCCAGCCTCAGGCCACGGCAGCATTTCCCAAGGGTTCCCTGAAACCCCTCTACTACTGGCTGGGCCTTTTCAGGGCGTCAACAGGGAAGACAGTATGAGACGCGTTGATAACTTGGAATTAAGATTTCCATCCTTATTCCTTGCTAAAGGATCAGATCGTGGGTGTACAGTCTCCTTAAACAGGCAAATGGGCTCTCAGACCTCTAGTCTTCTTTGTGGCCACAGTGAAAGTGCTATTACATCAAGAGAAAGGATGAGTCACCAGTCACCAGCATGGGGTAGAGATGCCACAACCCATAGAGAACGGCACCCCTGACCAAGAGTAGGTCTTCCTGTGAGGCAGCTTGAGAAACAGCCAGCTGCCTCAGCCTTCAAGAGACTTTTATATTTTGCCATGGGCCTTCTCGCAAGGCTGCCCAGCAGATTGTCTTGTGTAGTGGTTAAACATGTAAATTCTGCACCCAAACTCACTAGCTTTGGGTCCAGCCCTGCCACTGACCTTGGGACCTTGGGCTAAGAAGAGGATCTGGGTTCCAAGAAGCTCAAGTTCAGCAAGAGAGATATGGGTAATAAGACCATTGCATCAGGGGCTCTGCTGCGCTGGGGGCTCCTGGGCGGAGCACCTGGGTGGGTGTTGGGAAGGCTTCTGCGGGACACACTAGGTGGAATGAGGGGGAGAGAAGGGGTCCTCAGCTCCAGGAAGAGAAGGAGTGAGTCTGCTTTTGGTTCTCATCCCCCTTCACCGTGCCTGGAATACCAGCTGACCGCAGGAGTGACGAAGGAGTCCCCTCCGGGGGAAGTGGGGGCGAGGTGGCTCAGGAGCTCTGACTTTAAATGCAGAGGTGGGATGCGGCACACGTCAGACTGGGGATAAATGCAGAGGTGGGATGCGGCACACGTCAGAGCTGGGGAACTACTCAGATCTACTGGGTCAGGACAGGGCCTGCTGGAGCCCCATGCCTCCAAACCCAGGGCACATTTCCCTGTGCCCCCTAACTCACCACTATGAGTGGACAGCTACTGCAGTACCCGAGAGGGACGGCCATGTAAGTCCCCAGGCTCAGGGCCCCCAGAGAGACAGGGACAAGCCGGCTTAAGGTTGAATCCTCTGGCCCAGGCGTCCTCCGAGAGAAGGCAGGCAGCGTTAGGGCCAGGCCTGTGCAGGGAGCACATTTGGATGGGAAGCGGGGCGGGGCGGGATTGGAGGGAGCGGGCTGCGCAGGGGAAACCCGTCGGTCGCCCAGGTGCGAAGCTCAGGCGGAGGCCGAGCCGCGATGTGTCCTCGCCCTGTTCACCAGCAGGCGGCGCCAGAGCTTAAGGCCGCGGGGGCCTCGGGTCCCGGAGTCCGGCCGGGCGGGGCGAGGGGCGGACCCCGGCGCATCGGAGCGTTGGGGCGCGGGGGCAGTCCGGCGGCGGGAAGGACCGGCAGAGCGACACGCTTCCTGGAACCTCCGTGGCCATGGCTGAGCACACCGGTCGCCGCTGCTGCCTGGGCTGGGACTTCAGCACGCAGCAGGTATCGGCGCGGGCCCGCGGTCGGCCGGGCGGGGCCGCCTCTTTCGCGACGCCGAGCGGGCTGTCGGGGGACCCGGGCGCCTGGAACCCTGGGCCGCGCCGCGGGCGCGCCTCCCTCTCGGGCTTCCCGGGGACCCGGCGCCTCCTCCTGGCCTGGACCCCGGAACTCCCAGAGAGGGCGTCCACCCCCACGCTCCCGAGGGACCCACGGGTACGTGGCGGGGAAATGCCCGGAAGGCTGGGGGTGACCCGAAGGACTCGCGCGCCGTCATGGGCACAGATTGACAGGGACCCGAAGGAGCTCAGCTACTGTAAACAGAGGACCAGACAGACGGGTAGACACGCAGGCAGAACCAGTGAACTGCAACCAGATCACCGCTAGAAGCTTTTTTTTTTTTTTTTTAAGTGAAATGGGCACCGTGTACACCTGAACTTTGTTCCGCCCTGTGACAGCCCTTGGTTGGCACCAGCGTGCTCGGGTCAACGTGCCCAGCTGTGCTGCTCTCAGGGCCAGTCAGACAGGCAAGCAGAGTCAAAATTTGTCCTCAAACTGGGCTTGGGGTGCCAAGAGGCTGGCTCCTCCTTAACTTGGGAAATCAACACAGTTGCAGTGAAATCCCCCTCCTCGGATGGGTCAAGGGAGCAAGGCCAATCCCTGATCAAAGTCCTGTGGGACCTTGGATAAGTCAGGTTGTCCTGCTAGGCCTCAGTTTCTCCATCTGTCCAGGAAAGGAGTTGTATCCTTGAGTTTGGAGGTCTGCTCCATTGGGGCATGTGTCTCTGGCCCTTGACCATGGCCTGGGGGAACAGACCAGGGACCTTGCCTCTCAGATCTCTGCAAGCGTGGACCTCCAAGAGACATCTCAAAACCTTGCCTCCCATGCCTTCCCCTCTAGGACTTTCTCAGACCTCCTTGCCTGGCACAGGAACCAGCTTATCTGTGGACATCTACCTCTAGAGCATCTTGGCTTTGGCTGTTTGAAGGGCAAAAATTCCCTGAGCTACATGGGTGTTTCTGCTTAGCCTCAGCTTCTCCATTTTACTAAGTCTTTGGATATGTCCCCAGATGAGGCCTCTGTTCCCATGGTTACAATGATGCACCCCAGCCTCAAGGAGGTCTCCAGACTGAACCACTTCTAGGGAGCTGGGCTTCACTTGGTGATGTTCATATCCCTGGACCAGTGTAGAAGCTGAGGAAAATTCTATACATTGTTTTTTTTTAATGCCTTCCAGGTAAAAGTTGTTGCAGTTGATGCAGAGCTGAATGTCTTCTATGAGGACAGTGTGCATTTTGACAGAGACCTTCTAGAATTTGGGTATGTACCTAGTGTGCATGTGTGTGTTGGGGGTTGGTTTTGAGGTCCTCCCTGAACCTTTTTTTGGCTGTACCGTGTGCAGCTTGCGGGACTGTAGTTCCCCCACCAGGGATTGAACCTGGGCACCCCCCCACCAAGTGAAAGCGTGAGTCCTAACCGCTGGACCACCAGGGAACTCCCCCTCCTTCAACCTTTTACATTTATAAACCACACTGTTCTGGTTTCCTCAAACTGCAGGAGGGGCTGTCTTAATAAATCTCTCAGCATCTTTCTTCTATGCCTAGAATGCACGCTTCTGCATTCCTTTCCAATTCCACTCATTGCTTCATATATGTATAGTAGGTATCAGTTGAGACTTACTTTGTACCAAGCGCTATGCTGGGCGCTGGGATGGTAAACGAAAAAGAGACATTGTCCTTGCTTTCCCAGAGCTTCCCATTGAGTGGGGGGGATTGATATCAATCAAAGACTGATTGATTAAAGAAAAAAAAAAAACCAAAAGAATGTTTGTTTATAAACTCAGAGAAGGCCATTGAAGGAAAGAAACTCACTTCTTCAAGTGCTTATTGTAAAGGAACGTGACCTAGACTTGTGAGAGTAGTTTGGGGAATGTTCCTAAGGAAGTAGTGCTTAAGCCAAGATCTGAATGAGTGGGGTTAGCCAGGTGATAGAAGGTAGAGAGCTTTCCACGCAGAAGGAACAGCATGTGCAAAGGCCCTGTGGCAAGGAACACTGCTCATTAGTGGAACTGAAGAAGGCCAAGTGGCTGGGGAGCAGAGAGGGAGGTGGAAGCTGGGTTGGGCCATATAGGCCATGGAATAGAGTTTGTCTTTATCCTAAAAGCTATGGTCACCCACTGAAGGGCCATAGGAATGGGGGGGCCGGGGAGGCATGACATGGTTTTATTTGTGTTTTGAAAAGATCTCTCTGGTGCAGTGGGAAAGCAGGTGGGATGTGGCCAGAATACAGGTTGGAAAACTACTGAGGAGGTTTTTCAGGATCATCTGGATGAGAAATGATGTTGACTGGAGGAGAGAGAGCTGGTGGTAAAATTGACAGGCCTTGGTACAGAATTGAATGTGAGATGTGAAGGTGAGGCTTCTGGCTGGCATTCAGGGTGGATGGTAGACTATGAAAGAGAATTGGTTTCCAGAAGAAAGATCATGAGTTTAGGTTTTGTATTAGTTTGGTAGGGCTTCCAGAACAAAATACCACAGACTGGGTGGTTTAAATAACAGACATTTGTGCTCTCATGGGTCTGGAGTCTGGAAGTCCAATTTCAAGGTGCTGGCAGCCTTGCTTTCCTCTGAGGTCTCTCTCCTTCGTTTCCAGATGGCTGCCTTCTTGCTGCCTCTCACATGGCTGTCTCTCTGTGTGAGTGCACCCCTGGTGTCTCCCAGTTATGTTATCTATGTCCTGATCTTTTTTTTTTAAGTTGATATGTTGTATTTTCATTTTTATTCAGTTCAAGAAACTTTCTTTTTTTTTGGCCGCGCTGTGTGGCATGTGGGATCTTAGTTCCCCGACCAGGGGTCGAACCTGTGCACCCAGCAGTGGAAGCATGGAGTCTTAACCACTGGACCACCAGGGAAGTCCTTCAACTTATGAATTTTGGGGGACACAATTCAGTCCATAATAGCTGTGGATTTGTTGATTTTGAGGTGTCTCAGAGAGGTCCTGGTAGAAGTTTCCCTCCATGTCTATTTTAGATGTCATTTCCTTCTTGAAGCCTTCTCTGCTGGCCTTTCCCTCTCACTGCCCATCACCTGTGTTGCCATCTATTTCTCCCCCAGCTAATGTGTCTCCTTTGAGCTGAGGTTGGAAGCCACCTTGCTTTCATATATATATATTTTTAATTTATTTTATTTATTTATTTTTGGCTGCATTGGGTCTTCATTACCGCACACGGACTTTCTCCAGTTGCGGCAAGCCGGGGCTACTCTTTGTTGTGGTGTGTGGGCTTCTCATTGCGGTGGCTTCTCTTGTTGCAGAGCACGGGCTCTAGGCACAGGAGCTTCGGTAGTTGTGGCACGTGGGCTCAGTAGTTGTGGCTTGCGGACTCTAGAGTGCAGGCACAGTAGTTGTGGCACATGGGCTTAGTTGCTCCGCAGCATGTGGGATCTTCCCAGACCAGGGCTCGAACCCGTGTCCCCTGCATTGGTAGGCAGATTCTTAACCACTGCGCCACCAGGGAAGCCCTTGCTTTCATATTTTATATTACTGCGGGCCACCCACGTTAGAGTTTTGGTAGTTTGTGTCTTTCAAGGAACTGGTCCATTTCGTCTAACCTATCAGGTTTGTGGCCAGAGAATTGTTCATAATGTTCCTTTATTGTCCTTTGATGCCTATGGGATCAGTAGTTATGACCCTTCTATCATTTCTGATGTTGGGAATTTGTGTCTTCTCTCTTTTTTCTCTTGATGAGCCTGGCTAGAGATTTATCAATTTTATTGATCTTTTCAAAGGATCAGCTTTAGGTTTCATTGATTTTCTCTTTTCATTTTCATTGACTCGTGTTCTAATTTTAATTATTTCTTTTCTTCTGCTGGGGTTATTGCTGTTGTTGCCATATTTGAGTTTTTGTTTTTTATGTCATTGAATTTCTCAGTCTCTTTTTCTGTTGCTTCTTGGTTTTGAGTCATTGTTTAAAAGGCCTCCTCACTCCAAGATTATGAAGTGGATTTGGAAGGGCTTCTACTCCAACCCCAAATTTCTCCAGTCCTTTCATGCCCACTGCTCCAAGTGACCGCCTTGCAGGGTGAACCCCTTACACTGAGAAGGCTTGTTTTTGCTGGTGCTTTCCGAGAATTGCCACCTCTGGGCCACACCGGGCAATTTCCATGCCTTCTCTCTCCATCTTGCCCAGCATCTTCCCTGTTCAATCTAGAGTTCCCACACAGGGCTGCGGGGGTGGGAGGGTGCTTCTCCTTCTGTGGGAGGGATCCAGGGTCTGCCATCACTGGGCCTCCGCCTGAGGCTCTATCCCACATTCTCTCTTCTGCTTGTAGGACTCAGGGTGGAGTTCATGTTCACGAGGATGGGCTGACAGTGACTTCTCCAGTCCTGATGTGGGTCCAGGTAAATACAGGGATTCCTGTCCCTCTCCTCTCCCAGCCCATCTTACCAGCAGACTTGGCGATTTGCTAGGAAGCCCAAAGGTGGCAGCCCATGAGAGCCTCTGTTGAGAGGTCCTCCTGAGGAAGTGGAATCTGCATGGTCCTAGGGCCAGACTCAGCCTCAGTACTCCTGAGCTGAGAGGACTCACAGAGGGCTTCCAGGTTCTGAAGCCAGAGCAGCTGGAAAGTCCTGCCAGTGACCATCTTTAAAATGCCACAGAGCAAACGGTTCCCAAACACTCTGATTTCAGGCCCTGTGGCCACGCTTGAACCCTGAGATCCAAACATGCCCCTTGGGCTCTTCTCTTAGTGCTTAGTCGCCAGACTCTTTAACTCCAGGGGCAGAGGCCTTCAGAATGGTGGCTTGTGACCTGCCCAGTCAGGCTCAGATCCATCCCAAGCAGGCCTGCTCGCTCAGGACCAGCGAGAAAGGAAGATGCCTGTTGCCACATCCGGGTGACCCACAGGGCCACAGGGCCAGGGTGTGTGGACATCACAGGCAGGTATGATAGGAGCAAAGGGCTGCCTCATGGGCTGCAGGGGACCTGAGACCCTGAAACTAGAGGCCAGCCGAAGGCAGCACTGGATGTGTCTGGCCAAAGCTTTTTCAGTCCTCCAGTGCCTGTTTAACCGATTCCCTGTACTAACTTCTTTCTGTTAATGTAACAAGGATGATTTCTTTTTTATCGGCCTAACCCTGACTCATACTGGAGGACTGGGGGTAAAGGATGAACTTCTGCCGCACAGGCTGCCGGGGAAATACTTCAGGGGGCTGAGCCGGAGCACAGGGCAGTGGCAGTGGGGGTAACCGGCAAGAGTCGCTGTCTGGAGGTCCCACTGAGGATGTCAGGGGCTTCGGATGGGCCAAGGCCATAACTTGGGGAGGTGGCAAGTGAGTAGAGAGCCAGGCTTGGGGTTGGGACCAGGATAATTGCTACTCCTGAGGGGCCCCCAGAACTGGACCTGTTCTAGCTTTGCCAGTCCCTTCCCCAGCTCTGCCCCACTCCCTGCCTGAGGTTTGGCAAGCAGGGCCAAGTTGGCAGCCGCAGCCAGGAGAGCCCTCCCGGCATAGGATGGGGTTGGGAGGGTCAGGCCAAAGCTCCAGTGGCTTCTGTACCCTGAAGAAAACACAGCCTGGGATGCGTATCTAATTCCCGGGGAAGTGTCAAGCTCTGCTGGGTGGCACCATCCATCCCACACATGGGGTCTTGCCAGAAAGGCAGTTCCAACCAGACGGTGGAGGGGGAAATAGGGGGTTGGGACAAATGGTCACCATCTTTACCTCCTCCCTCCAACCTGTACTCCCGGACACAGGAGTCTGGGCCTGGAGCCCTGTTCTGATGGGAGCCTCTGCTTTGCTCTTTGCCTCTCCATTGCAGTGAAGTTATATCACTAATATGGTGGGTTGAAAATGCAGATAAAAGAAACTGAAATTTGAGCCACCTCGCTTTTGCTCTTCCTGCGTGCCTGGAAGTCACCGATTGGAGAAGCAAAATTTGAGGAGTGCTGGTTTCTGATTCCATTTATTTAAAATATTTTTAGCATAGCTCACTTTTTTGTTTGCTTGATGCCTACTTGTTTAATTGATGTATTTATTCTAGTGCTTCCAAATCCCGAGGCCTCAGTTCCTTCTCTGCCTCCACTGGAAGGGCAGGCACTTACAGTCCAAATCAAGGCTTGTGTGTTAGCCTGGTTCCGTGGTTCAGGACAGTCACAGTGGATTCTGTGTTTCTTCTCAGGCTTTGGATATCATCTTGGAGAAGATGAAGGCTTCAGGCTTTGACTTCTCTCAAGTCCTCGCCTTGTCTGGGGCGGGCCAGGTTTGTTTGCTGCAGCCTCTGTCTATGGCATAAGGGCGTCTCTCTTGGGCAGCGGTGCAGGTGCTGAGGTGACAGCTTCCCTCGAGGGAAGTTGCTTGTTCTTGAAAGCCACAGCGCACGTGTTGTTGCAGTGAAAATCCGTATAGCTGTTTCACCTTGGTGGATATATCACTTCCCTCCTTGCAAAAGGATTTGAGACAGTTCTTACAATTAAGCGTTATACAAAATAGGACACAGGGTGAGGAGGCACTGGATAGAGGTCCTCTAAGGGGAAGAGGAAGTATTTGACATGAATGTACTATGACTGTTTGAGGGCACAAAATTGCTTTTCTGTTTCTTGGAAGTAAAAGCAAAGTCAGAAATCATGCTAATAATGATAGCAGTTTTAGTAGTAGAGATGTTAGTAACAATGGAGCACTTAATGTATGGCAGGTGCAGTACTGAGCATTTGACATGCACTAACTTAATCCATGTGCCGTAGGGTCATGTGAATGTTAAATACATAGGACAGGGCAAAAAAACTTCAAGCTTTAGCTGCTTTTATTATCACTGCCACTTACATGGGGAAACAGAGGCACCAAGTGGTGATGTCACTTGCCCAAGGTCACATAGCTGCTAGGAGGAGTCAGGATTCAAGTCCTGTGTAATCCTCCGAATCACTTTGCTCCATGCTGGATTAGCGTGTCTTCACATCCTCATTAGAGAGCACTTACTGATGCTTCTGAAGATGCCTCTTCTTCCCCTGACCTAACAGGAGTGTATTGATTGTGTCCTTGTTACACTAAACAGAGTCCCTGGTGATCTTGTCCACATCTCTCACCTGAACCCCAGGCCTGGACACCCTCTCCCTCCCAGACATCCCCTCCACCCCCTTGGCCGTGTGTCCCAGGAATACCCCAAACTTGTCATGTCCCAGACTGAGCACACTGTCTTTCCCCCGATGTCCTCCTCTGGTGCCCTTTCTTGGGGAGTTCTCCTTCTCCACCGGGGCCATAACCCAGGTGTCATTCCTGACCCCTCCATCTTCCCACCCTTACATCCAGGGGGTCCCCTCGTGCTGCTGATTTGTACATGGCTCTTGAGTCTGCCCCCTTCTTCTCCAACTCCGCCTCTGTTGCCCCAGGCCTAGTACCCATTATTTTTCTCTGGGCCTCTGCTTCTCCTCCCTTCCTCCAACCTACCTTCTCCATGACTCCCACAAGCCCTTTCATACATTCAGCCCTGGCCATGTCACTCCCCTGCCAATCCAGAGTTCTCACCACCCCAAGACAAACCCCAGCCTCCCGAGCATGGATGTCAAGGCTCAGGCTGACACCTCCCCGTCCAGTCCCTACTGCCCCCCGCCCCAGCCTCAGGCCCCTTCCGTGCACCTGCCAGCCTCTCTCAGCTGTGGTTACTCTCTACGTGGAGCACCTCCACCCTCAACTCCGGGATCCTTCCCTAATTATCACGTCCGCTTCTACCCACCTGCATCCCCAGCTGGCTAGATGCCCCTCCCCTCCTCTGTGTTCCCACAGTCCTGCCACTGCACTTAATAGGGTTTTGTCCGTTTGTGTCCTTTTCCCTGACTCAACTCCAGTATCCTGCAGAGTAGTGACAATACTACCCTAGTCATCTGTCCCATGCCTGCCACGATCTGGGTGATCCGTCAATGTTTGTTGAATGAATAATGGGTAAGTGAATGAATGAGTGAATGTCAGGTAATATTATGAGCAATATATTTAAGTACAGTTTTACAAAACCACCAAAATCCAGACCGATAGTTCTTTCTTGGACCCTTCCTACAAGTTTTGAGGTGGACAGGGCAGAGTTCCTCCCCATATTATAGAAATGAAAACCAAGTCTCATAAAGGTGATGACCTCTGCGACTTACAAGTGGCGGGGCAGGCTTGGAGTCCAGTTCTTTGGCATGTGGTCTGGGGTCTTTCTGGGTCTCCAGGAGGCTGACACAGGTGTGTGGCCACGGCCACGTGAACATGGGCTTGCGTTTTCCCTCGGCAGCAACATGGAAGCGTGTACTGGAAGGCTGGGGCCAGCCAGGTTCTGGCAAGCTTGTCACCGGACCTCCTGTTGCACGAGCAGCTGCAGGTAACTGGCCATGCTGTGGGAGTCTGAGAAACTTGCGTAGGGGGGAGAAGGGCCCCGAATCCTGTGGGCCCTGAAGCCTGGGGCTTTTGTGCATCGTCAAGGGTGTGGGAAGTTGGCTTGGGCAGCAGGCCTGTGAGCGTGGTCTTCCCTGCCTGCCTGCCACAGACATCCCTGCTGTCTGGACAGAGGCTCAGGTGCTAACAGCCCACATCACACTGGTCCCCTCCAGCCCAGCAGGACTCTGTTGCGAGTTCCCCCCTCAGGAATCTCCCCCTGGGACGTGATGCCTCCCGGTGATGCTGGGAAGGTAGGCTCTGGTGTCTCCTTTTCTCCCAGGCTCCACAGGCCCCCGCCAAGCTGCCCTTTGCTGCAGCTCTGGCCCTTCACCGCCCATCTCTGGTATTGGCCTGTGGTGCTCAGGTGTCCTCGCCAGAACCTTCCACCTTGAGCTTTCTGGGGAGAGACCCCGCTAGGCCGGGCCGAGGTTTGGACATGAAGGGCTTGCCCGTGGGTCTTCCAAGGTCACATCCAGGGAAGAGGCGTCCACAGCTGCTGTGATGGGCGTGACTGCCAGCGCCAGGGCGGCCCCCAGAGTCAGTGGGCGGAGCTCATGCCTGTGCCTCTGCCCCTTCTTTCCAGGCCTGTTTCTCCATCAGTGACTGCCCGGTGTGGATGGACTCCAGCACCACAGCCCAGTGCCGCCAGCTGGAGGCCACCGTGGGTGGGGCCCAGGCTCTCAGCTGCCTCACCGGGTCCCGCGCCTATGAGGTGGGCGACGCCCGCCACGGGCTGGGGACGGGCTGGGCCAGGAGGAAGGTCTGGTTGCTGGCTCTGGTGCCTTCTCCCTGGGTGTCTGGGAGGACACGGCTGGTGACCTGTGCCTGTGGGGATCACGTGAGGCTGTGTGGGTGCCACCCCGTGGAGCCATTCTGAGCAAGGCCACGTGTGCCGCTCAGCGAGCACGGGCAGACCTCCTGTCGCGCCTCAGCCCTCCCAGGTCAGAGCTGACGTGTGACCCAGGCTGTGCTGTGTATGCGGGTGACGATGGCATCTCAGTTAAAGCCGCTTTAACCTGGAGATAAAAATAGCACTTACATTTTGGGTAGTCTGGGAGCTGAAAGGAGTCAGTGCTTGTAAGATGCTTAGTGCAGCTCCTGGGAAAGTAAAAAAAATAAGAGTGCCTCTTTCCTGTTGGCTTCATCCATGGTCCCACCCCATCCCCTAGGGTGGCTGCTATCGGCCCAGCTGGGGTAATTCCATACTCCCTGGAGCAGAGGTTTGGGGAATAGGACCAACCCCACTTGGGTTGCCTTAAGGAAGAAGAATGTGGGCAGGGATAATACCTGAGTCCCCTGCATGGGTGCCCTTGGTCAGAGCAGACACCCTCCTGTGTGAGGAGCGAGGTTATTACTAAGGATGATCAGCAGACGTCAAACATTTCCAGATTTGAGGCCTTAAGCTCTCATCGTGCTAACTAATCTTCAGAGCGTGCTGCACGAACTTTACTTTATGAAGTTGATCGTTCCCTGTAGGATTTGGGTTTTTATGAATTTACACTCTTTTTCCAGCGATTTACAGGAAACCAAATTGCAAAGCTTTACCAGCAGAACCCCGAGGCTTACTCACACACAGAGGTTGGTTGAACGTTCCTCTTTTTTTTTTTCTCTCTTTTTTTTTTTTAAGATTTTTTTTTTTGATGTGGACCATTTTTAAAGTCTTTTTTGAATTTGTTACAATATTGCTTCTGTTTCTGGTTTTTTGGCTGCGAGGCATGTGGGATCTTAGCTCCCCAACCAGGGATCGAACCCCCTGTATTGGAAGGCGAAGTCTTAACCACTGGACCGCCAGGGAAGTCCCTAAACATTCCTCTTTGATTGAAAGTCACAGTTGAATTCCTTTTATAACTTAGCATAAATAAGTTATAAATAACTTATTAGCATAAATAAGTCATGTGCATGGGCTAAAAACATTGATTAGCAGACATTAAAGATGATATATATTCAATTTGCTTTTATTCTCATTGTCAGGCTTTTTCCAAAGAGGAGGGAAAGAACGGAATTGTGGGAAAGAGAATTCCGGGGCTCTCCTGACCAGAAAGGTGGAGGTCAGGGTCAGGGTGGGAGCAGGGGGACTGGTGGCTTCCTGGGACCACCTGAGTAGGAGATCTGGGTGCCCTTATGCTCTGTCTGCTCAATTTCTGTGGTTAATGCAGGATGGTTACCTGCATTTGATTGGTGTGGGGTCATTGTTTTCTTAGGAAATTTGTAAGGCGGGACCAATGTCTCCAGCTGTGGCCCTCCAACCAGAGCCAGGAACCCAGGTTCATTCCTTGGTCCACAGTTGCTGAAAGCCAGCACTTGATGCTGCCTGAGAAGCAGCTCAACATCGTGGCTAGTGATTTTCCTCTCTGAGTAATTAGAAAATGATCCGCATGTGTTAAACCAAATTGCCTTTTAAACCTTGGACGTTAACATGCAGTTTCTAATTTAGTGATTCAAGCTTCCAGATTACTGTGCAACTTTAGCCGTTAATGAAGGTTTTGGGGGGAGGGGGTGATACAAATTCTCTGAATTCTATGTGTGGAACAAAGGTGGCCCAACTGGGGACAGGAGGTGATGGCATTCTCTCCCCCGGTCCAAGGGCCCGTGATTCCCACGTGGAAGCAGAGACCCTCAGGGTGACGTTTAGAATCCATTATCAGTTCCTCCCGTTCATGTTTGGCGCCTCTGGCTTCTGAGGGGCCGGCTTTCCCTTCTCATTCTGAACCCCTGAGACTGTGTTTGTTGTTTCTGAATCCTGTGGCCACGCATCCCACTTCCTCTGGGACTAGATATAAAGACCACAGACATGGAGGAGGGAAATCAGGGCACCACACTCCCTGGCATATGGATTCTGGGTGAAAACCTGCTTCCCTAAGCGTGGCTTTTTTATAAGGTTTTGTAGTTGGTTGGTTTGTTGTTGGTTTTTATTTGTGGCAGTGCCTCGCAGCTTGCAGGATCTTAGTTCCCTGACCAGGGATCGAGCCCAGACCCCAGGAAGTGAAAACCCGGAATCCTTCCCACCAGGGAACTCCCTTTTTTTTTTTTTTTCCGTTTTGAACTTGACGGTTTTATGGCTTGTCAGAAACTGCAGAGCAAGGGGCTTTCCTGAGGAGTCACTTCTTGGTGTTCCAGCCACTCAAAATGCCCTGAAGGACTGAGGGATACTCAGTCCCTCACATTGCTGGGGCATCGTGCCCAAAATTTCTACCTCCCACCCCAGTTTAAAACTCTTGTCCTGTTGTGTGTGTGTCAGAAGCAGTCAGTTGTTTATGGAAGTGAGTCATAAATCTCACTGTGTTTCTCTCTTCTGCAGAGAATTTCCTTGGTCAGTAGTTTTGCTGCTTCTCTGTTCCTTGGGTCTCACTCTCCTATTGACTACAGTGACGGTAAGTCTTCAGCGTCCATGGTGTGGGTCTGTTTAGCGGGCGTGCGGGCAGCCTGAGCCCCATGCACCCGGGTGGGTGCCAGTCTTCCAGCCCTACCGTCTGTTGCCAAGAAGGGAGTGTATTATCTTTTGCGGTGTAACAAATGGCCCCAGCGCTTAGCAGCTGAGAGTCATAAATGTTTATTATCTCACAGAGTTTCTGAAGGTTAGTAATCGGGGAGGGGCTTCTCTGGATGGTTCTGGCCCAGGGTCTCTTAGGAGGTGGCACTCAAGCTGGCCGCCAGCGCTGCGGTCACTTAAAGGCTTGACTGGGGCTGGAGGATCCACTTCCAGGCCACGCACGTGACCGTGGGCCAGAGGCCTCAGTTCCTTGCCACGTGAGCCCCTCCCCCATATGGGAGCTGGATTCACCCCAAGCGAGGGGTGAGAGGAGACAGCGGCCAAGCAGAAGCTGCAGAGTCTTTCACATGATCTTGGGAGTGATGTACATCCCTGTCCCTGGTCACACAGGCCTACGGGAACAGGGAGAGGGGACCTCAACGGTGTGAACACTAGGGGATGAGTAGGGATCATCTTGGAGCCTGGCTCCCACAAGGAGTAACTTATTGAAGTTTTTGTCCACATTTGGGGAACTCATGAGAGTGGTGAGCTTCTGGAATCAAAACCCTAACAAAAATAAATGCAGATACTATGTATAAAACAGATAACTAATGAGAACCTTCTGTTTAGCACAGGGAACTCTACTCAGTGCTCTGTGGTGACCTAAATGATCAGGAAATCCAAAAAAGAGGGGATATGTGTATATGTATGGCTGATTCACTGTGCTGAACGGTAGAAACTAACACAACATTGTAAAGCAACTATACTCTGATAAATAAACAAACAAACAAATAAATAAATGCAAACGATGCCAGTGGAGAAGGAGAGCTGGGAGGAGGTTGCTGAAGGAGCTCTTGGGTGAGACTAGCATGGAGAGAGGAGAATGCAGAGCAAGAGTCCTGGCCTGGGAGGGTGGCCTCGGAAGAGCCTCGAGTCGCTCCGAGTCTCCGGGAGCTCAGCTGAAGTGTGTGAGTGCTGTCGTGTACCAGACGCTAGTCTAGTTTTCAGGGCACGGAGGGTGACTAAGGAACGGTCCCGAAGCTTCACTCACAATCTGGAGAAGAAAAGCTTCATCCCACACGGGAACCCAGCTCCTTGGAGCTCAGACCAGCAGAGCCCTACCCGTGGAATAGCCTGTATCCACCTGTGTCCTCCACACTCACCCCAGCCAGCCTCTAAGTGCTGCTGGGGAACGTTACGTTGTTGCACTAGACATTCCTGAGCTTCAGCCTCAGCTGGGTCTCCACCCACTCCCCTGTGTCCAGAAGTCACCTCTTCATTTACCAGCAGTCTGACCATCTCACATGGGCACAGGGCTCTAGCAGCACCCAGCCCACCTGCCTGCCTCCACCTGGGCCCATAGAGGAGGAGGGCTGTCCACCTGAGCTCTGGGTTCTCCCCCCTCCCCATCCTCAGGAGAACCTTGGGAGAAGTAGATCGTTTTAGGGAAGACTTAGCGGATCTTAGTGACGAGCATGAGGAAGTTTAGAGGCGTCCGAGAGCTTTCCTCAGAAAGTTAGATGTGATTGGGAAATCCCTGAGAGCTGACCCACATCAGTGCCAGGGCTGCCTCTAGCCTTGAACCCCAGGGGACACGCAGAGCCATCCTAGGTGACATTGGTGGGAGCTCCCCTCCCTCAGCCAGGTCTTAGAGCAATGGATTTCCAGGCTAACTGTGGGATTTAAGCCTGTGAGGAATGTTTGGGGGGGAGGAGGCATGTGTTTCTAAGGGCTCTGCTGACCTCTGGCTCTCTGGTTCCAGAGTCACCCAGGCACGTTGTATACGTTCCATCGGGAAAGAGCTCCAGGTATACGTTTGCTGCAAGAATGATCCACTCTCGGCCAGATTTGTGCATTTTAACAAAAGGTCCCCTTTTGAGATTTCTCTTTCTTGTTTCCTTCCTTCCTTAGGTTCTGGAATGAACTTGCTGCGGATCCAGGACAAAGTCTGGTCGCAGGCTTGCCTTGGTGCCTGTGCACCTCATCTAGAAGAGAAGCTCGGCCTGCCGGTGCCGTCATGCTCGGTTGTGGTAGGTTCCCTGCCCAGTGACGCGGCTCACTGGAGAGCTGGCAGCTACTGGGGAAGCTGTGTAGTATACACACACACACACACACACACACACACACACCCATCCATTTACACACGGGCACACACACATGTGACTTTGCCTAGTACAAGATAAGTATTTGACGGGATTCAGAGCAAAATGTCTGTATCAGTGTCTTGTACTCAGGTGCAATAACTACATCAAAGTAAAAAGCTTCTACACAGCAAAGGAAATGGTCAACAAAGTGAAAAGGCAACCTATCAAATGAGAGAAAATATTTGCAAACTATATATCTGATAAAGGGTTAATATCCAATACATATATAAAGAACTCATACAACTTAACAGCAAAAAACTAAACAATTCAATTAAAAAGTTTTAACCAGGGACTTCCTTGGTGGTGCAGTGGTTAAGAATCCAACTGCCAATGCAGGGAACATGGGTTTGAGCCCTGGTCCCAGAGATCCCACATGCCGCAGAGCAACTAAGGCCGTGCACCACAGCTACTGAGCCTGTGCCCTAGAGCCCGCGAGCCACAACTACTGAGCCCGCGAGCCACAACTACTGAGCCTGCGTGCCACAACTACTGAAGCCCGCACTCCTAGAGCCTGTGCTCTGCAGCAAGAGAAGCCACCACAACGAGAAGCCCATGCACTGCAACAAAGAGTAGCCCCCACTCGCCGCAATTAGAGAAAGCCCGTGTGCAACAACAAAGACCCAATGCAGCCCAAAATAAATAAATAAATAAATTTATTAAAAATGAAAAACCTTTAACCATCAGTGTGGCACCCACATTCGGAATAGACACTGACTGTCCACGCCCTGGTTTTCCCTAGTTGGCCGGCTAAGTTCTTGGTTGGGCCCTGCACTCGGCCCTTTGGCAGGGAGCATGTGCCCCACAGCCAGAGCAAGCAGAACCCCTGGGTGGTGCAGAGCGTTGGCTGCGAAGGAAGGACAAGGGCCCCTGAGTCCCGGGGAGAGTCACAGAGCTGGGAGGGGTGGGCCACCAGGAGAACCAGGCTATCACGAGTGCCTCACTCCTCACGTGTGGAGTCCCAACCACAGAAGCCCTTTCTGAGATGAACAGTGACCTGCTGAAAACAGCCCTTGCCACCATGAGCAGAATCTCAAAGCCAAATCGTCATCATCCAGAGGGTGCCGTGAGGCCAGCGCACAGAGCTTAAGTTAAGGGTGTCCTGCCCTGTAGAAGCAGACAGTTCAGGACCCAGGCAGGCTGATGCACAGCAGAAAGAAAAAGGAAGGGCTAAGAGAAAACAGCCAAGCCTCTGGGACTGGTATCCCACACACGGCTTTTAGTTTCAAGTGAGATGGAGAGCGTTTTGTCCACGGCAACCGGCTTTGTTTGCCTTATGCCAGGAACACATGCCTCCAAGAGGTAGCCCGTGCAGACACCAGCAGTTTGAGGAATGGAAAAGAACTGGTGGTGAAAAGTGTATTTTCATTTGTAACATAGGTACCCACGTGATGGGGGGAAACAAGCAAAATCCATGTTTTCTGTCATCCCTTTTTCTGAAGGTGGTGCCCAAATGGCTTTCTCTCCTTTTCTGCAGGAAAATATTTGGAGATATAGTGTAGCAGATGCTTCCCACCTTGCATCCTCCCAGCCCACTTTTTTGCCACCTGTTGTGGCTTCACGCAGGTGTCGCCTAGCAGAACCCTGCCTGAGCTGCATCTCATTTGCCTCCCTTCTGCCCAGAGCCTTCTGGGACTCCACAGTTGTGCTCTGCCAGCCTGGAGGGTCAGGGAGTTAGCACCCCACGTGTGCCCTTCACTGGTGGGGAGCTACGGAGAGCTGCTCCCTGTTCCCCCCCCAGGTGGACAGTCCCCCCCATGCATTTCATGCAGCTCCTCAGACGCAGCTCACAGTCATGACCAGCTCCACAGAGGACCCTGGGGTGGGCTTTCCCCCCTTTCCTGTTTCATTCTTCCCTGTCCCCTTCTCATTTCCTGGGGTTACTTCCCCAAATAAGCCACCTGCACAAGCCCTGACTCAGGCTCTGTTTTCTGAGGCCACAGAGGCCAAGACAATTATCTCCCAGGAGATGGCTTTATTCTGATGTAAATCCGAAAGTTGGCTGGATGGAGTAAAATGTTCTTCCCAGACACCAGGAAATCCCATCATTTATTTTACACTTTTGGAACCAAGACAGGGAAAGGGGGGAAAATGCTTTCTTTTCATAACCGTGCCCTCTAATGACTGTAGGTCTGTCCAGAAGGTATCCCTGCCCTCTGATCCCACAGGCGGTCTTGGAGGGGCCTGAGAGCTGTGGTTCCTGGTGGAAGCCTTTCCTTGCTTTATTTTCTTTAGAACGTTGACCTCTGCACAAACGTGTCCAATGACTCTTAATCTGACTGATAGAGCGTGTGTGCAAGGCATTATCTACTTCTATGAGTTTGCTTAATGATTTCCTCCTGTTATTTCTTTACTTTTAATGCTACATCCATAATTTGGAGCTTACAGAGCAAGTCCACAATGGGAACTGGTCTGTTCTAGTTGCTTTGAATCTCAAAATTAAGTGGGCTTCAAGGCAGTGGGATGACCTCACGTGCGTGGTTGCAGCCCTGTGCTGGGCTCCTCTGGTGTTCTGTGAACAGGAGGGACGTCTCAGGTGTGATGCGACTGTAGGCCCCACCCAGGCCTGTGGCCTTCCTGTGGCCCGAGGTGTGGACAGTTGTGTCGAGCAGGTGGGGTTTGCCTCAGCAGAGCGTGCTTGCCTTCTCTCCTCAGGGGGCCATTTCTTCCTACTTCGTCCAGCGCTATGGGTTTCCTCCAGGATGCAAAGTGGTGGCCTTCACTGGGGACAACCCAGGTGAGTACCTCAGGGGATTTCACCCTCCCAGTAGCCCGCCTTGGTCCTTGTGGGACACTGGAGAATGCCAGCTGGCTTCTTGGGGCTTCTTGGGGAAGCCTGTCTGGGGCGGGCCCTCCCTCCCTTGGTGCCTGCCCTCCTGCTGGTCTGAACTCTCACGCCTTGTACCTGCCCCACCTTGGCTCTGACTCTGCCCACAAGAGCCACTGAGTGCTGCACCTCCAGGTGAAAGAAACCTGATCAGCGATTGAGGAAGACAATGCCCACCCTCCCTCACCTGCCTTTTCTTTTCTTTTTTTTTTAGCAACAGCCATTAATTTTTATTAAATTTCTAATTTAAAACAAATATTTACAACATTATCAGTTTGGGAAAAGACAAACAGGAAAAATGAAGAAAAGCGATGAAAAGACAAATTCAAGGACAGAATAAATACAGCCTATTTACACGCCTGCCTGGCCCTGGTGGCTGCTGCCAGAGTGCCAGACCCTCAGCCTCAGAATTAGCAGCAGTTCAAAACCTCCTCCAGTTTCAACACGTCCAAGGGTGGGATTTTGCTCACCTGCCTTTTCTGTTCCAAGCTAAACATCTCAGTTCCCCCACCCCTTCCTCTGGGACCCAGCTTTGAGTCTCTGCCCCATCATTTGACCTATAGGTACGACTTTGTCCAAGCCCCTTGTCTCCTCTTCCTCCTTTTCTTCTCCTCTGGGGGTTCCTGAGGCCCCCCCTGGAGGGGCTGACAGGTCTCTAAAAGGCCAAGTGGCCACAATGAGTACCACCAGACTGCTGCCCCTCACCCCACCTCTGCAGCCCTTTTCCTAATGGGCCACCAAATCAGGGTTGCTGGATAGAGTAAATACAAATACAGGACACCCAGTTAAACTTGAATTCAGAGGAAGGACAAATGATGAGGTAGGATGAGTATGTCCCAGGCAATGTTTGAATTTCAGATGACAAATGATTTTTCAGTGTAAGTGTGTCCCAAATATTGTTTCTCTGACCTTGAAATGTGACTGAGCGTCTTATATTTTATCTGGCAACTCTACCCCAAGTTGCCATCCGAAGCAGCCATTCCTCCTCTAAGGAAGTGAGTCTCAGGTACACATGGAAGGGTGTGGTGGAGGCTGGGGTCTGACTTCTGCCCTTCTCCTGGCTTCCACACCCGTGAGCCTCCCTGTACTTACCTCCTACGGGTTGTATAGATGAGGATGTGGACAGCAAAAATAAAATAAAAAGAGAGAGGCACATGCGTCTAGGAGTGGAGCTGTGTGCCTGGAAATGGGCTGAAGGTCTTGTTAAAATTCATTCATCATCGTCATCATGATTTTATGTGCCGTATTTTCTGCAGTATCTATGTGTATTTTTGTGCCCGGGAAAAAACATTTAAGTCACCGTTACTACTGTTTCTGCCACCACTCTGAGTAACACTCGTGGTGCTCCTAGGTCTGCTTTAGGCCTGTCTGCTTTGGAGCTGAGGGCACAGCGAGGATGTCCCCGCCACCCCTGTGGTTGCATCCGGGTCCTGGCTGTGCCTCCCTTCTGGGGTGGCCTCCACTCTGGCATCTGCAGGGAACCCCCAGGAGCCAGACGAGGGCCTCCCCGTCCCTGCACAGATTCTGTAGAACTTCACACGGAGCCCTGTTGTCAAGGCACAAACCCAAACTCAGAGCAGGTTTTGGAGGAGGAAGCCTCACGTTCCTGGTCTGAGGTGAGGTGAGACAGAGGCTGGTAGACAGTGGCCAGACTCCTGCAGGAGCAAGGCTTGAAGCCTGTCGCTCTGTCGCCTGGGCGCCTGATGTGAGAGGAAGCTCCGGCCTGCGGTGGGCATGTTCTGGTGCCCTGGCTCCTGGAGGGTGCCAGGCCCCAGTTCCTCTCTGCCCTAAAAGCTGAGTCACCCTCAGAAAGGAACAGATGGTGCACAAGCACCGATTCAGGACAGTTCTATGCTTTGTGGGCCACGTTTGTTTGCCTTTCAAAACGAAAGTAACTTCGTCAAGTCTCGTTAGAAACAAATGCATTGTTTTTTTATATTGGAGCATTGTTGATATACAATGTGGTGTGTCCAGCAAAGTGATTTAGTTATACATATACATATATCTATTCTTTTCCAGATGGTTTTCTCATATAGGTTATTACAGAGTACTGAGTAGAGTTCTCTGTGCTAGACAGTAGGTCCTTGTTGATTGTTTTATATATATTAGTGTGTATATGTTAATCCCAACCTCCCAGTATTTCCCTCCCCCCTGCCCCCACCTTTCCCCTTTGGTAACCGTAAGTTTGTTTCCTAAGTTTCTGAGTCTGGTTAGAAAAATGTATATTCTTACACCTACTCTGTCGACTGGAAGAATGTCAGGGAGAATAATGGGCATGAGCTTCTGGGCATGTTTCAGAGGGAACAACAAAGAAGCAGCTTCCTAAACCGTCCTTTTGGACTGCGGTTTCAGGCTGAATGTTGGAGGTACCAGGCAGGTAGCCCTCAGCCGGTCCCTCCCTAAATCTGACCTTCACTTTGCTGCTGCCTTAAGTAATGCATTAGTCTTATGCTTCTTTTTCTTATACACAAGGGATACCTCTTCACTGCAGAAAAAAATTTTAAGTACCGACAAACCAAAGGAAGGATGTAAAAAAAAAATCATCCGTAATCTCTTAACCCAGAGATAACCACAGTTAAATTTTTTTTTTTTTTGTGGTACGCGGGCCTCTCACCGCCGTGGCCTCCCCCGTTGCGGAGCACAGGCTCCGGACGCGCAGACCCAGCGGCCATGTCTCACGGGTCCAGCCGCTCCGCGGCATGTGGGATCCTCCCGGGCCGGGGCATGAACCTGTGTCCCCTGCATCGGCAGGCGGACTCTCAACCACTGCGCCACCAGGGAAGCCCCACAGTTAAAATTTTGAGGGCTGTCCTTCCAACCTTCTTTTCCTATGCCCATAAATAAACAGTTTATTTTAACCAACCAAGGCAATATTTTTGTGCAACATCATTAGTGGTTGTTTAGGTTTCCATCGTCCTGGCATTTACTTTGCCAACGTCCCTCAGATGGAGCTGGGAGATGGAAGTAGGCGTGGCTTCTACCGTTTAGGCCATGCAAACATTATCTTGTCCCTTGTCCCTATAGCAGCAGTCTCCAACCCTTTTGGCACCGGGGACCAGTTTCATGGAAGACAGTTTTTCCACGGACGGTGTGGGGGGGGTTGGATCAGGCGGTAACGCGAGTGATGGGGAGCGGCAGATGAAGCTCCACTCGCTCGCCCGCCCGCCACTCACCTCCTGCTGTGCAGACCGGTAGGGGGTTGGGGACCCCTGCGGCCTATAGGATAAGCTCTCAGAGGTAGGATTCCTGAATCCAGGGCTCTGGCACTCTGCTGATCGTACCTCAGCAGCAGTGTTTGAGTACACCTGTTCCTGCCCACATTTCTCCTTCATTCATTCATTCACTCAACGTTTAGGCCTGCTGCTACATGGCAGACCTTTCAGTTCCAGGGTGTATCAGTGAGGAAGGCAGATAAACATCACGGTCATGGGCCTCACATAAAGGGGACAGTCAACATTACCTTGCCCCTTTCCATACCACTGAGGTGGGGGAAAGCCTCTCACTCCGGCCTCGCCTTTGTCTTTCTCCGCCGTGTGTATCCTGGTGTCTTGACTTGGCCCCCTTGGTCCTCTGCACTCCTGGGAGTGCCTAACAGTGGGTGGGGAGTTTGGACCCCTTTAGATGAGGTTTCTGAGTCCAAATCAGAGGCCCTGACCACAGAGACTCCACCCTGTAGCCCTTGGGGCGTCCTGAGCCCTTGCCTCACCCTGTTCCTGCATCTTCCTTAGCTTGTGGACTGGGGTGGGAGATGGGGGCTGCACTCCCATCTGGCCGGGTGGGGGGGTGACTGGTTTGCTCTGTGGCTCTCATGTGACCTCCTGCTAACCACAGGCTCCCCTCCCGTTCTCAGCGTCGCTGGCAGGCATGAGGCTGGAGGAAGGTGACATTGCGGTAAGGTGACCACTCCCTCCCTCAGGCAGGGTCAGCTTTCTGCCCCAGGGCACGAGGGTGCTGGGTCTCAGCAGCATCTTTGCTGCCTATCAGAGGGACTTCCAGGGTCAAAAGGCAGCTGAGGGAGAGGATAGGGAGACCCAGGCCCCAGGACCTGCCCACAGGTCCTCTCTTAGAAGGTCAGTTGCCTTTGCTGAACAGACAGGTCCCCTGCCTGCCTTGACAGTGGCCGGTCGTGGTGAGCACAGTGGCAGAAGGGTCAGACCTCGGGCTAGAGGACTGTGAGCTCCCTAAGCGATGACGACATAACCCAGACCCTTCTGCTTCTAGTGGGAAACCCGTTGTCACCCGAACCACGAGTTAGAGGTAGTTGTAGTAAGTTCTAGAGAATCGGCCCGCAGGATCCATGGGAGCCTGAATCTGGGGAGCTGACGTTGGACTTTGGTGTGGGAGGGTCAACAGAGGTTTCTCTGAGGAGGTGGCGTTTAATCCGAGGTCTGCAGCCTGAGGAGTGAAGCGATGGGGGTCAGGGCGCGTGGAGCTGGCGAGACGGAGCCGCTTCACCTCTGCCCGTCTGTCTGCAGGTCAGCCTGGGCACCAGCGACACCCTGTTTCTCTGGCTCCAGGAGCCCACGCCCACCCTGGAAGGCCACATCTTCTGCAACCCGGTTGACCCCCAGCACTACATGGCGCTCCTGTGGTAGGTTGGGTGGGGCGGAGGAGGTGCGGGCAGGTCTGGCACCATGTGGAGCCCCCCAGGTCGTTCCACTCACTGCACAGGCTCTGGGGGCAGCTGAGACCCCAGGGACTCACTGGGTCTTGCTGAGAACAGAGCTGGGTGGGGAAGCGCCCAGGACTTGAAGTCTCTCCCAAACCCAGATACAGATCCCATCCCCAACACCTGTATCCTGTGTGGCCTGAGGCAGACCCCGTAGCATATCTGAGCCACACTTTGCTCATAAAATGCGGAGAATAAGAGGTTTACTTCATAGTGTTGTTACGCTATGTCTGGCACATGGTGGACCTTCAACCAATGGTAGCAAGGACATCCTGCTTCCTGACAGTTCTCATGGAAGGGGTCTGTTCTGCACCCTCCAAACAGGCATTTGGGGACCTGCTGGAAGCTACTAAGGGAGAGTTTTTGGCCTTGAAATTCCAAGAACCACTGGAGAATATGTAGGTCTAGTAAATCTGGCCAGCCCTGCCCCTTGTCCAGGTGGTACAACGTGCTGAAACCACAGCTGTGTCTCTCCCTGGGGCTCCTTTGTGGCAACCTCCCCTGTAAACAGAGCCCATGACAAGTGCATTTCCTGGTGACTCCCAGGAACATGCGCTGGGTCTGATACCTGAGGAGGAACTTCAGATCCCTGCTGTGCACTGGCTGGGGTTGTGGTCCAGCCTGACCTGCAGCCCCTCTACCTGGGACTCTTCACCAAAGCCCGTGGGTCCAGTCAGCAAGCCCCAGGTCCCTCCCTCAGGGTTGTGTGCACTTCTGCAGCTTTAAAAACGGCTCCCTCATGAGAGAGAAGATCCGCGATGAGTTGGCTTCCAGTTCCTGGAGCGAGTTCTCTAAGGCGCTGCAGTCCACAGAGATGGGGAACAGCGGAAACCTGGGTAGGCTGTTTCGGGATGCCTGGGTCTGTGAAGGGGCAGCAGCTGCTGCGGGGAGGGGCAGGGCCAGGGAGAAGCCAAGGGGAGCCCTGACTGTCTGTACTTCTGCTCCATGGGCCTTAAAACTAGCGTGAGACCCCATGATCTGAGTGAGGTGGGGAGTGGCAGATCAGGCCAGAGCTGCATCTTCTGTGCCCCTCGAAGCCCCTGGTGACAGCATCAGAGATGGCAGCCACAGTGCCTACTCTGCCCTGGTGCATGCCCACATGCAGCTTTCTGCCCCAGACACGAGGTCTTGTTGGGAAAAGTGCCCAGCATTGGGGCAGGCCTTTTGAGCAGGGAGGGGATGTGCCTCCCTTGGTCAAACCCATGCTGGTATTTTAGGGTTAGTTGGACAGCTAGCTGTCTCCTGGCCTGGGCGGCCACATGAGAGCTGGAAGAGCTGTCTCCACGAAAAGCTAGCCTAGGCCTTTCCATTTGCCCTCCGTCCTGCCGGAGAGAAGGACCTGAGAATATTCACAGGTCTCCAGGGGATAGGGGGTCCCGGGGAACAGGGATATAGGGTCATTTCACCCTGCTTTTTTCTAAGGCTATTGAGAAGCTGATCTTTTGTTTTTGACCACTGACAACTAATCTCTTCCTGGTCTTGTTTCAGGTTTTTATTTTGATGTAATGGAGATCACCCCTGAAATTATTGGGCGTCATAGGTTTAGTGCAGAAAACCATGAGGTACGTGTGTTATTGGTATTGGAGCTACAGTGGCTCCATTGTTGACTATTTAACGAATGCCTATCAAATTATGCTAGTTTTAGGGACCTCATTCATTTACTCAGCCATTGATAAAACAAGTATTTAACATTTTTTTTCTTTAAATTGAAATATTGTGGATTTACAATATTATGTTAGCTTCAGATGAACAGCAAAATGATTCAGTTCTTTTTCAGATTATATTCCATCATAAATTATTACAAGATGTTGAATATAATTCCCTGTGCTACACTGTAAATCCTTGTTGCTTATCTATTTTATGTATAGTAAGTAGTTTGTATCTAATCCCATACTCTTAATTTGCCACCACCCTCCCCCACCAGTAACCAGTTTGTTTTCTATGTCTGCAAGTCTGTTTCTGTTTTGTATATAGATTCATTTGTATTTTTAGATTCCTCATATAAATGATATCATATGATATTTATCTTTCTCTGACTTACTTCACTAAGTATACCACTCTCTAGGTCCATCCATGTTGCTGCAAATGGCAACATTTCATTCTTTTTTATGGCTAATACTCCGTTGTATAGGGACCTACCTGGGTCCAGTGGTTAAGACTCTCGGTTTCCAATGCAGTTGTGCATGGGTTCGATCCTTGGTTGGGGAATAAGATCCCATATGCCGTGTGGCGTGGCCAAAAGATATTTTAAAAAATATATATTCTGTTGCATATATACAATATCTTCTTAAGCCAGTCATCTGCTGATGGGCACTTGGGTTGTTTCCATGTCTTGGCTATTGTAAATAATGCTGCTGTGAACGTTGGGGCTTCACGTATTTTTTCCAATTAGAGTTTTCCCTGATATATGCCCAGGAGTGGGATTGCTGGATCATATGGTAGCTCTAAGGACCCTCCATACTGTTCTTCATAGTGGCTGCACCAATTTACATTCCCAGCAACAGTAGGAGGATTCCCTTTTCTCCACACCCTCTCTAGCATTTATTATTTGTTGACTTTTTGATGATGGCCATTCTGACTGGTGTGATAATTAGTGATGTTGAGCATCTTTTCATGTGTCTGTTGGCCATTTGTATGTATTCTTTGGAAAAATGCCTATTTAGGTCTTCTACACATTTTTTGATTGGGTTTTTTCAATATTGAGTTGTATGAGCTGTTTGTATATTTTGGATATTAACCTCTTGTCAGTCTCATCATCTGTAAATATTTTCTCCCAGTCCACAGGTTGTCTTTTCATTTTGTTGATGGTTTTCTGTGCTGTGCAAAAGCTTTTAAGTTTGATTAGATCCCCTTTGTTTATTTTTCCTTTTATTTCTTTTGCTTTGGGAGACCGAGCTGAGAAAACATTGGTATGATTTATGTCAGAGAATATTTTGCCTATGTTCTCTTCTAGGAGTTTTATGGTGTCATGTCTTATATTTAGGTCTGTAAGCCATTTTGAGTTTATTTTTGTGTATGGTGTGAGGCAGTGTTCTAACTTCATTGATTTACATATGGCTGTCTAGCTTTCCCAACACCACTTGTTGAAGAGACTATCTTTTCTCCATTGTATATTCTTGCCTCATTTGTCATGGATTAATTTACTGTAGGTGAGTGGGTTTATTTCTGGGCTCGCTATTCTGTTGCATTGATCTATATGTCTGTTTTTGTGCCAATACCATGCTCTTTTACTGTAGCTTTGTAGTATAGTCTGAAGTCTGGAAGGGTTATGCTTCCACCCTTGTTCTTTTTCCTCAAAATTGCTTTGGCAATTTTGGGTGTTTTGTGGTTCCATATAAATTTTAAGACTGTTCTAGTTTTGTGAAAAGATGTCATGGGTATTTTGATAGAGATTGCATTAAATCTGTAGATTGCTTTGGGTAGTATGGCCATTTCAACAATATTAATTCTTCCAATACAAAAGCATGGGATATCTTTCCATTTCTTTGAATCATCTTCGGTTTCCTTTAGTTTTATAGTTCTCAGCGTATAGGTCTTTAAGCTCCTTGGTTAATTTATTCCTAGGTTCTGTTTTTTATGCCATTTTAAATGGGATTGTTTGTTTACTTTCTCGTTCTGATATTTCATTATTAGTGTAGCAGATTTCTATGTATTAATCTTGTATCCTGGGACTTCCCTGGCAGTCCAGTGGCTAAGACTCCTCGCTCCCAATGCAGGGGGCCCAGGTTTGATCCCTGGTCAGGGAACTAGATTCCACATGCCGCAACTAAAGATCCTGCACGCAGCAATGAAGATCCTGTGTGCTGCCCAAAAAAACCCCCCAAAACAAACAAACTTGTATCCTGCTACCATGCTGAATTCATTTATTAGTTCTAATAGGTTTTTTTTTTGTTTTTCTTGCTTTTTTTTTTTGCGGTACGCAGGCCTCTCACTGTTGTGGCCTCTTCCGTTGCGGAGCACAGGCTCCGGACACGCAGGCTCAGCGGCCATGGCTCACGGGCCCAGCCGCTCCGCGGCACGTGGGATCTTCCCGGACCGGGTCACGAACCGGTGTCCCCTGCATGGGCAGGCAGACTCTCAACCACTGCGCCACCAGGGAAGCCCATAGTTCTAATAGTTTTTGTGTGGAGACTTTAGGGTTCTCTATATAAATTATCATGTCATCTGCAAATAGTGACAGTTTTACCTCTTCCCTCCAGTTTTATTTCTTTTTCTTGTCTGATTGCTGTGGCTAAGACTTCCAATACTATGTTGAATAGAAGTAGTGAGAGTGGGCATCCTTATCTTGTTCCTGAATTTAGTGGGAAGGCTTTCACCTTTTCACTGTTGAGTATTATGTTGACTGTGGGTTTGTCATAATAAAACAATACTTTTGATGTGCTAGGGTGCACTGTAAATGCTGGGGCATCAGCAAGATATAAGACAGACGCTGTACTTTCTCACAAAGAGGAGTGTGGAACACCTAAGTGTTCTCCCTGAGCTAACGTGTGCTCCCACTGAACGTCATTAAGCATCTTGGAGCCTGTTTCCTTGGCGAGCCTTATCCTACACCTCCCGTCTCCAGACGATGAATTTCCTCCTGATTGAAAGAGCCTCTGGCACAGGAGACACTAACATTTGCTGACGTTTATCGAGCACAGTTTAGTTCCAGGCACTATGTATGTGGGTTTCTTTATCTTCCTCATTTACCTCTCAGAGCAACTCTGTGAATTAGGTATTTTCATCCCCTTTACAGATGGAGAAACTGAATAGCTCACCCAAGGCACCAGGGCCTAGGTGGTGGAGGTGGTCAAACCCAGTCCTTTCTGGCCCTAAAGCCGCTATTTTATTTGCCCTCCACCACGCAACCTTTCCCAGGAGGGATTTGGTTGATACTTGCTGCTTGGAATTGACTTTTCTGTGAGATGGTTACCAGAGTCATCACCACATTTTGGATTGGACCTGAGAGACTTTTCTGACCCTAAGAGGTGTCTGGGGAATTTCAGTAAGTCACTCTGTCTACTCAGTGTAACAGAGTTGGTGTTGGATTATATGCCGATGATGGTATTACGTATTGTATTGTAGATGGAAAGCTTTGTCTAAAGTATAGGGAGTTCATCTCAGTCTTCTGGTGGGGGTCAGTTTGGTTTCTGTTGCTCGTAGAAAGAAGACATGCCTGTTCTCTTTTGTGTAAATCTGTCTGGGTTTATCAAGAAGGGAGTTTTCTTCGTTCGTTTCTTCAATCAACAGATATGTATGATTGGTGCAAACAAGACAAACAGGGTCCCTGCTCCACGGAGCCCAGTGTCTAGGAGGATGTAAACAGGTGAACAAACACACACACGATTACGGTGTGTGATGTGGCTCAGACGGGAAGGAACCAAGCGACGTAGGGGAAAGCAGGGCATGTGCCAGGGACTTGCCTTGGATAGGGTGATCAGGTGGGCCTCCCTGAGGAGGTGGCCTTTAGGTGCAGACTTGAAGGATGAGAGGGATCCCACATGGGAAGCTTGGGCGGAGTCCTGGCAGAGGGAGAAGCTTAGGAACTGAAAGCAGGTGAGTTGGGTTGGAGCAGTTCCTGAGGGAGGGAGCGGTGGCATCAGTCACTGGTCTCAGGGTCTGGGGAGCAGGGTGAGGCTGGAGTTGGTGCCATTCAGCTTTAGCTGGAAGGGCAAAGGGCGCGCCACAGTGGTGGGTTCTCAGCACAAGCTCTCCCTTCATGAGCATCAGCTACATTGACCAGGCTCTGCTGTTTGCTTTTTAACAACCCTGAAACGTAGGTGCTCCCATTACCTCAGTTCTGTTAACAAAGAAAATGAGAGACTCAAGAGGGAGGAGGTATGGGGATATATGTATATGTATAGCTGATTCGCTTTGTTATAAAGCAGAAACTGACACACCACTGTAAACAATTATAGTCCAATTATAGTCCAATAAAGGTGTTTAAAAAAAAAAAGAAAGAAAATGAGGCTCAATAAGATTTACATTAACTTATTCAAGGTCATAGAGCTGAATGGCAGAGGCAGAACTGGAACCCTCGGCCGCCTGAAACTGAGCTCTCCCATCCTCTGACTCCCCAGAGTGATACATGCGTGAGGCCGTGAGCATGTGTGTGTGCGTGCGAGTGTGTGACAAACAAGTTAGTGGTTCAAGAGCACAACTATGGGTGAGCTCCAGTGGAGGCCTGAGTCATGAGCTCTGAATCTGGGCTACTGTTAAAAAGACACCACACACACACATACACCACATACATACGCACCACACACATACACACAGACACACACACACACACACACACACACACACACACAGTGAGTGGACAATGAGAGTCCTTCACTCTGCCCACTTTCTCCTGGAATCAGGTCTCAGCATTCCCCTGGGACGTGGAGATTCGAGCACTGATCGAAGGACAGTTCATGGCCAAGAAGATCCATGCCGAGGGCCTGGGCTATCGAGTCAGTAAGTGAGCTGCTGGCGGGCTGTGTGCTGGGGTGGGCGCTAAGGGTTCTGCTCCTACCCTGAGGTGCTTGAGGCCCTTCCTGGGCTTCAGGCCAGGCCTAGTGGACACTGTCTGTTAAGGCTCCATTACACGGGCCCTGTTTGTGCAGGAGGGACGTGGAGCCTGGCTCCTGGTGGTGGGGTGAGAAAGCGATCAACTGGCACTGTGGACAGGCATAGACTAGGAGGCAGGTTGTTCCTGCATCTCTGCTGCGTCCCCAGGAGCCTCACCTCCTTGGCCAGGAGCTATAGGACTTGGGAGATCTTTCTGTAACCCTACGCTCCAACCTGCAGACTAAATGTCCTAAGCTCTGGATCCCGAGGACATGGCCAACGCAGGTGGGAAAGGTCTGGGCTGGGGCCATCACTGGACCTTCACCTTCTAGCCTGGGCAGGCCCCATCTGCCTGTGGGGCACAGCTCTGGACATTTCAGCTTCAACAGGGAAGAGAGGGGATGTGGAACCACTGTCAGAACTGAGAGCCCTGCAATGGAGAGGGCAGAACCAGGGCCAGGGGAGGCCCATGGGGAAGGAAGGGACTTCTAAGAACTTGAGCTATGGAGTGTGGGCAGCTTTAGGAGGTCAGCGAGTTCCCCTTTTTGATGGTGCTGCAGTGGTCTGGCAGGGGGCGGGGGGCCGTCTGAAGGAGGTTGGACCCGCCGACCAGAGAGTCCAGGTTTCCAAGATGTATTGTCCCTCTGGGCCAGCCGTGGTCAAGAGAAGGTAGAAAACCCCTGAATCCTCTTAGCTTGAAGGCCTCCTCATGATACTTTTAAGGACAATCCTATGTAGTATATGTTTTATGCCTTTGAACCAAATAAGTAAAAGGATACTTCAAAAATAAGCACTAGGTAAACCTTTTTGAAAACCTGTTAGGCAGCATCTACTAAAGCTGCATACACATCCACCCAGCAGCTTCACTTCCCAGTGGATGCGAGACAGAGATGTGGACATGTGTTCACTAAAGACGTGTAGGAGGACACTGCCGGTGGCCCTGTGCTTAGCACCTCATGCTGGAAACAACACAGTGCCCATCAATGGTAAGATAGATGCCTCGTGGGGTGTTCAGGCAACATGATCCTACACAGAAATGAAAATGAACCAGCCTTAGCCACGCGCAACAAAATGGATGAATCTCACAAATGAAAACACTGAGCAAAAGAAGCCAAACCCAAAAGTACGCGTGGCAGGTTCCGTGGACGTCAGATTCAAAAGCAGACAAAACTATCTGCTGTTGTTGGAAGTCTGGATCGTTAGTAGTTACCTTTCGGGGGGCATGGAGGGCCTCTGGGGTGCTGGTGAGGCTCTGTTTCCTAGGTTACACAGGTGTGTTTAGTTGTGAAAATGTGTCAAGCTGTCAGCTTATGGTATGTATGTACATTTGTTAGGATGTATGTTTTAGTTCAACAGAATTTTTTAAATAGAATGAACTTTATAAACAGTTCCACTCCTCTCCATCTCCCCACCCAGAATGTAAAAAGAAATTCCCCCAAGGTCTCCAAAGGCTTCCAAGGTCCCTGAGAAGTGAGCCCAGGTGAGCAGGGCAGAGATGGTGCTGAGGTGGGCGTGAATGACTGGCACGAAGGGTTTTCCGGTCGTCAGGAGGGGGCACTTTGGGCGGCTGGGGGGCTGTCTCCACCGGCCCAGTGTGAGGGGAGAGGCAGTGAGGGCGGAGGGGCCCGCCTGGGCTCCAGGGAGCTAGTGTGCCTCTGAAGCGATTCTTGTGCAAAACAGCATAAGGTTACTTATCCTCTTAGCAAGCTTAAGGGCCAAATCAAACCTGTCCTGCCAGCTCTGCTGGGTTCCTCTCAAACAAGATCACATGAATGAATGCGCTTGAACCTAAAAGGGCAAAAGGGCTGCACGAACTGTAGGCATCATGCTCCCAGTGGCTGCATGGCTTGTGGCATCGTGGGATCTTTTGTTTTAAAATAAGTTTATTTATTTACTTTTAGCTGTGTTGGGTCTTCATTGCTGCACGCGGGCTTTCTCTAGTTGTGGTGAGCGGGGGCTATTCTTCGTTGCAGTGCACAGGCTTCTCATTGCGGTGGCTTCTCGTTGCGGAGCACGGGCTCTAGGTGCACGGTCTTCAGTAGTTGTGGCACGTGGGCTCAGTAGTTGTGGCTCGTGGGCTCTAGAGAGCAGGCTCAGTAGTTGTGGCTCACAGGCTTAGTTGCTCCGCGGCATGTGCGATCTTCCTGGACCAGGGTTCGAATCCGTGTCCCCTGCATTGGCAGGCGGATTCTTAACCACTGTGCCACCAGGGAAGTCTGGGATCACGGGATCTTAGTTCCCTGACCAGGGATTGAACCCTGGGTCCTGTCAGTGAAAGCGTGGAGTCCTTACCACTGGACCGCCGGGGAATTCCCTAGAGTTTCATTCCTGAACTGTCATAATCTCATTTTAATAACATCTAAGAAGAATAAAAAGACGTTTGAAGTAAGACTGATGATCATGATCATAATAGCTGCCAACATTTATTGAGCACGTACTGTGTGCCCAGCCTGGTCCCTAAGCACATTATGTTTATTAACAACAAAGTCTCTGGGGTGGGTACCAGTATTACTCCTGCTTCACAAAGTAGGAGACCAAGACCCAGAGTGTTACATCACCAGCTCAGAGCTTCTGAACCAAGCCAGTCTGGTTCCAGACTCTGGGTTCTGAACCACGGGGTGACCTCTGCTTTCTTTAAGGAATGATCACTTTCTTGATGTTTGGACACTGTGAAACATGCACCCAGCTGGGCGGGGCTAAAGCCATGGTCCCTTTTCAGCTTATATTTCGATGTATATTTCATTTTGTTTAGGTTGACTTAGAAGAGCAGAAAAACCTTATAATAGCAAGTTTGGAAAATAAAGGAAAGAAAACTACCTATAATCCCATCCCCTCACCCCAGCCACTCCTGCCATCTAGGACCGTTTTCTTCCAGTCTCCATTATGAGTTTATTTTTTATAAAGCCAGGGCCCTATTCCCTTTGTACCTACAAAGAGGAGATATAGGGATTCCCTGGTGGCGCAGTGGTTGAGAGTCCACCTGCCAATGCAGGGGACACGGGTCCATGCCCCGGTCCGGGAGGATCCCACATGCCGCGGAGCGCCTAGGCCTGTGAACCATGGCCGTTGAGCCTGCGCGTCCAGAGCCTGTGCTCTGCAACGGGAGAGGCCACAACAGTGAGAGGCCCACGTACCGCAAAAATAAATAAATAAAAAATTTTAAAAAAAGAGGACATATAAACCTAAAAGTGTGTCAAAGTCTTCATGGTGCTTTACATCATGCCCAGCTGACTTTTCTTGCAGTCGTGAATGAAGCGTGTTTTGATTTTCCAACATGGAATCACACTGGAACATCTTCCCATGTCCTGGATTGTCTCCTTAGCCGCTGACATTCCTTCCCCTTTTCCCAGCCCAGGTACTCTCTCTTTTTTAAATTAATTCATTAATTAATTTTTGTCTGCGTTGGGTCTTTGTTGCTGCGTGCAGGCTTTCTCTAGTTGTGGCGAGCGGGGGTTATTCTTCGTTGCGGTGCACGGGCTTCTCATTGCGGTGGCTTCTTTTGTTGCAGAGCATGGGTTCTAGGCACGTGGGCTTCAGTAGTTGTGGCTCACAGGCATTAGCATGCAGGCTTAGTAGTTGTGGCCCACGGGCTTAGTTGCTCCGCAGCATGTGGGATCTTCCTGGACCAGGGCTTGAACCCGTGTCCCCTGCATTGGAAAGTGGATTCTTAAACACTGCACCACCAGCAAAGTCCCCAGGTACTTTTTTTTTTTTTTGCGGTACGCGGGCCTCTCACTGTTGTGGCCTCTCCCACTGCGGAGCACAGGCTCCGAACGCGCAGGCTCAGCGGCCATGGCTCACGGGCCCAGCTGCTCCGCGGCATGCGGGATCTTCCCGGACCGGGGCACGAACCCGTGTCCCCTGCATCGGCAGGGGGACCCTCAACCACTGCACCACCAGGGAAGCCCCCCAGGTACTCTCTTAATGGCTGAGGGTGAAGATGCGGGAGGCTGAGAGGTGGCAGCAGAGCCTCATAACATTTGTTTTTAAATACCTGCATAATAAATGAATACCTCTTCATTGTAAAAGAGTCCTGTGACACGGGAATATAGGGGTCTAAGCGCTATGAGATTACAGAGCGCTCTGTTTTTCTGCCCTGCCCCTGGCTTCTGCATCACCCCTTACACGGTCCATGGGGGAGAGGTGGGGGCGAGGAGGACTAGCGCTGCCTTTGGGACGCCCCTCCCACACTGCCACCACCTAATGCTTGGCCGGTTTTTCTGTCCTGGCAAAGTTTATGTGCCTCTGGAGGATCACTGTGCCATCTATCTTGTACTGCAGGTACAGCAAGTTAGCGCTTAAGGGCTCATCTCATTCTAGGATTTAATTTATTTATACTTCTTCGCATTTACAACTTTTTTTTTTTGGCCGCGTGGCATGCGGGATCCCCAATTGACCAGGGATCGAACACGTGCCCCCTATAGTGGAAGCGCAGAGTCTTAACCACTGGACCGCCAGGGAAGTCCCTGCATTTACAACTTTTTGATAGCATTAAAAAAATATATGTTTTTGTTTGTTTATTCAGCATTCTCTCCTTGTCACAGCTCAAGGGATGTTCTTTCTTGACCATCTCCATTTTAACCCAAAGTGGAACTATATGTCTTTTACTAGACTGTGGTTTATTATTTTTTATTGTGAAAAGTATGCATACAGTAGAATATATGCTTCATACAGCTAATTGTGAAACATCTTTCACAGAGCACTCTGGTTAAGAAATAGAACATTGGGTTTCCCTGGTGACGCAGTGGTTGAGAGTCCGCCTGCCGATGCAGGGGACACGGGTTCGTGCCCCGGTCCGGGAAGATCCCACACGCCACAGAGCGGCTGGGCCCGTGAGCCATGGCCGCTGAGCCTGCGCGTCCGGAGCCTGTGCTCTGCAACGGGAGAGGCCACAACAGTGAGAGGCCCGCGTACCGCAAAAAAAAAAGAAATAGAACATTGCCAGAACCTTAGAACCCGTCCTGTGTACCCTCTTCAGTTGCATGCCCAAGAGGTGGATGAGGAAGCAGCCTCACGAGCAAATTTCATGTTGGACGTGCGTGGACAGAACCAGCTTTAGATCTCCCACGCAGTCCTGTGTGATAAGCAAGAGGCATTGGCCTGACACTAGCTCTTTGTGGTAGAAGAACTCTGGAAAGCAGCCTTTTCTGCCTTGGGGGAATTGTCACAGCCGTTTTTTGTTTTTTGTTTTCTTTTTCCTTACAGTGCCTAAGACAAAGATTTTGGCCACCGGAGGAGCATCTCACAACAGAGACATCTTGCAGGTAAGTGCCGGTAGCAAGCCCTGAGCTAGGGCCTCTTCCACGTCTAATACTTCTAAGGGCCAGACACTCAGCAGTAACACTGCCTCTGTTCCCGCTCCTGCAGGGATGGGGAGCTTACAGCTCATTCTTTCCCAGGAAGCCAGCTCTTTACAGCGCACGTGGCAAGCAGATTCTATCTTACGCTCAAGTGAAAACCACTGCCCTGTACAACTCCACTCTCTGATACCAGCACTGGCCTCTGGAGTCACACAGAAAGTGCCTGTCCTTCATGGCAAACCTTCTGACATCGAATGCCAATGTTCTTGTCTTCCTCAAGGTTTCCCCCTTCCAATTTAAACATCTCTGATTTTCCCAGCCATTCCTCTTATAATACAGTTGCCAGAATTTGTCACTGTCTTTCTGGCCCTTCATTATGCTAGACATATATGACCCAAAGTAGAATCAACCTGCAGATATCTGACAATCAAGCTGTTAGCCCCAAATCATGGGGCTGTTGGTGTCTTATTGGGACACTGAGAATTTTAGGGTATAGCCCGAGGCTGCCTTAGCTGTTGGAGTAACTGAATCGACTGTTGACTTGTACAATAGTATACCTGTCTTAGGTAAGATTCTCTAGAAGCAGAGCCTGCAACGGAAATTATTCTATGAGTGATTTGTTGGGAGAGTGCTCCCAGGAGAAAGGGAGTGAGGGATCCAGGTAGGGCAGGGGAAGAAGGATAGGCAAGGATGTGGTTTTGGTTGGAGTCAGCTTCAGCTCCATCCCATGGGGAGATATGGTCCATGAACTATGCCGCAGACTTGCTTCCACCTTGGGGTAAGAGGGCCAACTGGCTGTCGTGGGAAGAGATACGAATAACCTCCTGTGAGAGGCAGCCTCTGTTCAGTAAAGAGCAATTCTTTTGAGGAGGGGCAGCTGTAAGCCGTTAGCAGCCAATACTCAACAGCATCTGGGTGAGGGTGCACACCGGTCCAGTAAGGGGATCCAGATGGGGCATCAACAATATCTCTGGTTAACTAAGACCCCCAACCCAAGTCTTTTCCATGTGAGCTCCCCTTAGTACACATCCTCTATTCTAAATTTATGCAATTTATTTTGGGGACCTACGTGGAAAACTTTATCTTTATTCCTATAAGACATGCATTTGTTAGTGTGGGTTTGTTTGGCCTTGTTAATATTAGTCTGAGACCTAGCCATCTCCACCTTGATTGTTGCTAAGCATACTTTCTCAATCTTCTCCTCGTCTTTGATAAAACGGTTAAACAATGCAGGGACAACCCAGAGAGCTGTGGCCCTTCACTAGAGACTTCTCCCAGGTCACCCTGACCCTATTATCACCAGGGCGGCATAGCCAAGTGTACTTCCTTTAAGGCAGTAGAGGTGGAATGGAAGGTATCAGAAGACGTATTAGAAAAGAGAGCCCAGAAAACGCATGTCTGTGTGCATGCTCCCTCTGAGGAGTGACTCACCACAGTAAGCACTTCTGTCCTTTCCAGGTGCTGGCAGATGTGTTTGGCACCCCAGTGTATGTCACAGACACAGCCAACTCAGCCTGTGTGGGCTCTGCTTACCGAGCTTTCCATGGTAGGTCAGTGGATGGCGCCAGATGCCTCTGGAAGCGGTTGGGGCACTGGCTGGGCTGAGGACAGTGGAAAGGGGAGATTGGGATGTTCCCAGTTTTTAGGGACATGGGAGGCTTAGGGTCTTCAGATTCACTTTTCTCCCCTCCCAGCAGGGGGGAACCAACCCAAACCCTCTGTTCCTCTGTGCTTTACTTAAACTGGGAAAGAGAGGCAGGGTCCTAACTAAATGAGGCCTGGTCAGAGTCAGACTCAGCCCAGGGACATTGGTTGAGGGCACTTGGGCATGGGTCTGGACAGCTGGTGGGCAGGAAGGGGTAGATAAAGTCTAGAGCCATCTTTTCAACAAGAGCAGAAGTTGAGACAAAGGTGGAGGCTTCCAAGCCAAGCAGTCCAGGACCCTGGACAGCTCCTTGGGGGCAGTGGGGAACCGAGGCTCTGATGGAGGCCTCCCTGAAACTGCGGGAGCAGCACAGGCCCACGAGGGCGTTCTTCCACCCATGTGGTCGACTTGCCCTGTCCTCTGCCTGCTCAGGCCACTCCTCCCGCCACCCATGTAACTCAAGGGCGTTGTCCTTTCCCTCTAGCGGTTGCATTCTTCACCCATTTATCCTTAACTTTTTAACACACCTATTTAAACTTGTATGTTTTCTTTCAACATTGAGAATTAATCAGGGACCATAGACTTCTCTTAATAATTAAACTCTTACTCTTTCATTCCCCTCCCTCTCCACCCTATCCACCTTGCCCCACCTTGTGCCACCGCCTGTATCAAGATCATTGGGCAATTGCTTTTTCTTTCTTTTTCCCTTCCCTCCCCTCCCCTCCCCTCCCCTCCCCTTCCCTTTTTTTTTCTTATGGCTTGTGGGATCTCAGTTCTCCGACCAGGGATTGAACCCAGGCCACGGCAGTGAAAGCATAGAGTTCTAACCGCTAGGCCACCAGGGAACGGGCAGTTTATTTCTAGGCTGTTATGTTTTTAATCAAACTTTACAACATGTTGGCTTTTATTTGCACTGACGTATGAGTTTGTCTTTTTTTTTCTGACTCTGCAGTTTCTTTTTCCTTCATTTCTATGTTGGTGTTGTTGGAATATACAGCCAGAATACATAATTAAGAGGAAATTCAGTAGGTGATCATGTTCTGAGGGCTTGCATGTCCAGCAAGGGCTTGGTTTCACCCTCCCAGAGAACGCTACCTTGGCTGGACAAAGGACTCTGAACTATTTTCCTCAGAACTTTGAAAACACCATTCCATAAGCTTCCAGCCTTCAGTGTTGCCCATGAGGAGTCTGGGGTTTACTTTATACTCCTCCTTTTGTCGAAGCAGAAAAGGAACTACCCTCTGGGGCCTCTGCTGCTGTGCTGCACTGTGTTTCTTTCTTATTTTTCCTTTTCCATGCCTATTTAGTTGTCAGACATTACCTGGGGGTACTGCCCTGCTCTGCCCTCCAAAACTAAAACCTGAGCTAGGTCCCAGCACACCAGTTCCCACTTTATGCGGACATCCATTCTCTCCAGCTGGGTCCAGGGATGAAAGCCAGTCTGTGAGTGAGTAGAGGGGGACAAGAGTCTTTCAAGTAGTCTCTGTGGTGGCTACCCCACCCCACTGTGTCCCCTCATCCACACAGCTCTGGGCTGGGATATTCCAGCATCCTTCAGAGAGAAAACTGGGCCTCACATCTTCAGTGGGCCCTCTTCCCCTCTCGGTGGTCTTGAGTTTCCCTTCAGTCTGATACTGCTCCTTAAATTGCCCGGAAATCCCTTACTGTTTCCTGCCCACCTATGGCAACCTTCTCTCTTTTCCAGCCCTGCCACTCTTTCGCTTGGTGGGCATTTATGGAGTGCCTCCTGTATGCGGGCAGTGTGCCAGGCACCAGGGCTCCAGCGGAGACCCAGTCCTGGCCTCTGAGAGCTTCCGGCTCGAGAAGGGAGGGACCTTAAACAAATCTGTGGCAGAAGTAGTGAGATGTGCCCTGAGGAAAGCAGATGGTGCTGAGAGCTGGAAGGGATGTTCCTAGCGGCAGCTTTTCTGAGAAGAGAGAAGAACATTCCACACAGTGAAAAGGCTCTGAGCAGAAGGAATTGAGAGCAGTTGGGGTGGCTGGAATGCAGTGATCGACTCGGAGAGTGGAGCCACGTGAGGGAGGAGAGGCGAGCGGACCCTCCCCTCTGTCAGAGGTCAGAGGTTAGCTGCCTCCCCACATGCGCTTCAGACAAAGAAAGCCCTGCTGAGAAGAGGCCTGCACTTGAAACTTTTCTTCTCTTTCTCTCTTTTTTTAAAGATGGTTTTATGGAGGCCCAATTTCTATAACATAAAAATCACCCATACTTAAGCATACAATTCAGTGATTTTTAGTTAACTTCACTGAGTTGCACACCATCACCATAATCCAGTTTTAGAACATTTTATCACTCCAGAGATAAAACGCTATTTCCGGGTAACGCCTTCATTTGCAACAGGCACGGACGTGAAATGAGCTTTCCCTTCTAGGCCTTGCAGCTGGAACAGATGTGCCCTTTTCAGAGGTTGTGAAGTTAGCCCCAAATCCCAGATTAGCTGCTGCCCCAACCCCAGGAGCGTCTCAGGTAAGAGACCATCAGAGTTCATTCGTGGCATTTGCATCGTGAAAATCAACTACGTTCTTTTTTCCAAAAGGTAAGTTTTTCTTTATCACCTACATTATAGCTGATGTGCTCAACTAAAGGGGAAATCTACTTTTTTTTTTAATTGTCAAGGAAACAGCGCAAAAGAAGACAGGTTGTCTCTGAGATTCAGAGATACGGCTGATCTTAGAGCCCCAGGGATCAGATGGCTCACTGGGCATATCTTCCTTGCTCATATGCCTTGGGGTGCACCCTTCTAACTCACAGGGTTACAGAGGCCACTGAAAGACTCTGTCACTTAAGCATAAGACGTGCTGGGTTTCTACCATTCAGATCTGAAATCTGGATCCAAGAAAGCTGTGTGGTCACTCAGTCAGAGGGAAGGCAGACCCCACTTGTTACGGGTTGGGTTCCCTGCAAAGCAGACCCCGAGCTGTTGATTAGGGTACAGGAGATTTATTAGGGGGCACTCTTGGGATCTGCATCTGTTGAAGGAAAAAGGAAGAGGCAGGGCTGCGAAGAGGCAGGAAGTGAGCTGCAGCGCGATCTCAGGGGAGCCCTCAGTCAATCCTACCGGAAGTTCTGAAGCTAGGATGACTCTGGAGTTTTACCCAGTTGTGGTGAGGGGGATGGGCCCTTATACCCCATGTCAATCAGTTATTGCCTGCAGGCCACCCCAGGATGGGGTAAGGCAGCTCTCTATAGCCAAAGCAATCCACAAAGGAGGCTGCCAGCTGAGGGCTGAGAGAATAAGTTCTCTGTTCCTGCGGGGCAATCCAGGTGGTATGCCATAGCTTCCATTTCACCACCCTTCCTGTTTGCACAAGGTTCTTGCAGTCCAGGAGCAGGGGGTGACACAGACAGAGGACTTTATTACTCACAGTACAGCAGGCAGCATAAGCTTCACGTTTGCATCAGTTTTCCTTGGCCCTGAAGTGTGGAGTGGACCCAGGTGGATACTGTGCACACCCTGTGTCTGTGTCACAAATGAGGGACCCTGCGCATTATAAAGGAGCTGCGAGCAAACCTGTCCAAAGGAGACATCTTTATCATCCTGGTCAGCAAACAAATTTTCCCTCTCCCTATCTTCCAAGGCTGTTTGCTATACAAACACCCTTGAAAAGATAGTCTGGAACAAAAGCTGTCACAAGACATATAGAAACACCCTGGAGAATTGTCTCACAGCTTATCTTGGAAGCAGAAGCTCATGCTATCCAGGTGACTAGATAACCCACACACATGGGTCTGCCCAGGCTTCTATTACTTTCTGTTGTGTGCCCTTCTGTTTAAGAGGGAGTTCAATGAAGTAGAAAGATCCTACCTTGAGATAAAGGGCCTTTGGGTTCTGATTCTTATCGTGCCTCTCCCTCTCCGTGTGACCTTCACATGACCTTGAGCTGCACTCCTCATCTCTGAACCTCTTTTTCTTCATCTGGGAATGGGGACATCTGTCTGGCCTACTTTTAACCTCCTAATTGTGAGGGTTAAAGAGAATCCTTGCCTATCATGGCTTTATTTATTTTTTTATTTTTTTGGCCATGCCTCGCAGCATGCGGGATCCTAATTAGCTCCCCAACCAGGGATTGAACCTGCGACCCCTGCAGTGGAAGCTCGAAGTCTTAACCATTGGACCACCAGGGAAGTCCCTATCATGGCTTTACTGTACAACAGGAAGTCTGACGGTGTTGCCGTGTTGGTTCAGTGGTTCAACAGTGTCAGGGCTACGGGTGAGGTTTTCTGAAGTTCTCCAGATCAGCAGTGGACAGTGAGAACATCATGAGAGCCACATACGTCATTTAAATTTTCTAATAGTCTCATTTTTGAAAAAAGAAGTAAAAATAAATAAGTGGCTAATTTTAATGTATTTAATTTAACCCAGTATGTCCAAAATATTGTCATTTCAACATGTGATCAGTAAGAAAAGTTGTTAATGTGCTAGTTTACTTCTTTTTTTGTTTGGCTGAGATTTGAAATCTGGTGTGCATTTCCTACTAATAGCGCCCGTCACATTTCAAGGGCTCAGGACCGCGTGTGGCTTGTGGCTACCATATTGGATAGTGCTGTACTAGGTATGCTCCACATGACCACAGGATGTATGCAGCTTCTCCTAACATCACGTTCCCCCTCAACTGTATTCATAGGCAGAAATCAGAGCGTGGCCTTAGGCAAGGAGTCTCTCCTCACACACTCTTGCTTTTCAGGGAGAAACATACTGGTCTGTTTCCCTCAACTCCCCCAAGAGACTACCACTTGGTTATACTGTCAACCTTGGTTGTAAGAAAGGCTGAAGTGGAGTCTGGCTCTTTCATCCTCTCTAGAAGGAGGCCAGCAAGGAAGAAGGTAGTGAGGGTAAGCTTTAGGGCAACAAACAGCTGCAGCTGCCTCATTACAGGCGGCAGATACTCAGTGTGTGTACCGCCACTCTCCCTGGCTTGCCCATGACCAAAGTCACTAATACCTCATGGAACTCTTTACCATTAAACCCAAGTGTAACCTCGGAATCCTTCTCAACACCAGTTGGCAGGAAGTGACAGTCTGTGATTGTTGGCATAAGTGACCTATTTGAGGACTGGATTGTAAATACCTTGAGAGCAGGACAACATCCTCTGTTTGCTTTCTGTGGCACCTCTGTGTGCTCAAGTGGAAACTCAAAACAGTAACAGGGTTTTCCCTGTAGGCTCTACTGAATGTTACAATTTCCTCCTTGGAGAGAATGTCACAGCCCTCTTACGTCTGAGTTCACAGGCAGAGCTGCTCCAACTGCACCAAGAGTAGGCCCTAGTTGCGTAATCAGTTACTAAAGGCCTTGACTTTGGAGCCAATTAAACCAAATTAAGAAGGAATGGGGGCTTCCTTGGGGGCGCAGTGGTTGAGAGTCCGCCTACCGATGCAGGGGACACGGGTTCGTGCCCCAGTCTGGGAGGATCCCACATGCCGCGGAGCAGCTGGGCCCGTGAGCCATGGCCGCTGAGCCTGCGCATCCGGAGCCTGTGCTCCGCAACGGGAGAGGCCACAGCACTGAGAGGCCCGCGTACCGCAAAAAAAAAAAAAAAAAGAAGAAGGAATGGGATTGGCATGACCTCCTGGTGGTATATGTGAGTCCCAAGGAAATCTGGGTCCCTTGGCCAGCCTTGTGTTGCTTGTGTGTAAGACCACATGCGCTGACCTAAAGTGCAAGGCTTACAGAGCTACAGATGAAAACAGCTTTAAACAAAAAGAATGAAGAGGAAGAATGTGGGATTGTGTTTCTTTCTGGTCCTTTTTCCCTTGTTGGTTTTTTGGTTTTGGTTTTGGTTTTATTTTACTACACAGCACACTGTATATATAATTTTATAGCCTGCTTTAAATATTCTACATTACAGTGTTAAGTATTTATATTCTTTTCTTTTTCACAGTATACAATTTATTATATTATTTGTGTTTACATTGTCATAAGTATTCTTCATGTTTGACATATTTTACATGTTATATTATTACTTTTTTTAAACATTTCTTTACTACAGACTTTTACTATGCTAAGAATTTATATTCTTAAAGGTATACATACTTTTTTTTTTTTTTGGTTTGCACATAGTCATTTATTTAACAGCTATTTATTAAGTTCTTACTGTGTGCCTAGCACTATGCTAAGCTCTAGGAATCCAAACACACCATCTCTTGTATGTTTGGGATATAATGGGAGATAATGGCACATAAAAATGATAAATTCCTAATTGCTACAGACTGTTTGGGCTTCTCCAAAATTCATTTATTTTAATTAATTTTTATTGGAGTATGGTTGCTTTACAATGTTGTGTTAGCCTCCACTGGGTTTTTTTTTTAACTAATTTTAAAAATTCATGAATTGAAATCTTTACCCCCGAAGGGATGGTATGAGGAGGTGGGAATTTATGAATGTGATTAGGTCACGAGGCTGGAGCACTCAGGATGGGATTAGTGTCATTACAAAAGAGACCCCAGAGAGATCTCTGGCCCTTTCCCCCATGTGAGGACACAAGAAGAAGATGACTGTCTAGGAATCAGGCTCTCACCAGACAGAATCTACTGGCATCTTGATCTTGGACTTCCCAGCCTTCAAAACTGTGATAAACAAGTTTCTGTTGTTTATAAGCTACTCAATCTATGGTATTTTTGTTATAGCACCCAGAATGGACTAAGACACTAATCATGCAATTTGCAGAGGTGCACAGGAACATACGCGTTATTTTTAATGACTGCATAATATTCTATCTGGCTAATGAACCATATTTTCTCGAGCATTTTCCATGTCTTAGAGCAGTTGCTTCTAGTTTTTCAATTATTATAATTAACGCTATGTGGGTAAAGGGTTAACAAAACCTTTCCCTATTCTGCATGAGAATTTGACTTTTGGTTAATGTTCTAGCTCTGCAATAAAAGTGAAATGTCAACAGTGTTACTAGGCAACATTGCTATGTCAAAATGGCCCTGAATTAGGAAACTGCATCTGGAATGGGAAAACATAAATACCTAAGGGGAAGTCATACTTAGGGCTCCCTGAGTGCAGTGACTTCTCACGGGCATGGCTCTTGTCTATGGACTTGTTAACAAGGAATACTCCTGTGGGGAGTGAGGTTTCAAAGCCAGGGTGGTTCTTGCACCTGTAAGATGTGGATTTCATCTCCTTGCACCTGAGCTGTAACTTGGGGGGCAAGGAGGGAAGAAGGAAGGGAGGCAGAGATACGCTTTCCTGGACACCTGTGCAAACTGTTCATGGTCTCCTGCAGCCACTGTGCCAACATGCATGATTCTCCAGTGTATCCTTTTTAAGGCCAGGGTGTGGCCCATGGTAGTCTTATGAGTCTGAACATTTAGTGGTGTCTAAGAGGACCTTTGGTGGGCCTAGCACCCTACACTTAGGATTACTTCCTTAGGAGAGCTTTGCAGAAGTAGAATAACTAGGTCAAAAGCCACGGGCATTTTCAAGCCCCTTAATACAAATATAAAGTTGAATTGATTTACAAAAGGATTGCACCACCAACTTCTACCAGCTGTGCAATGAAACAGCCATTTCCAGGTACCTTCATCAGAATTTTTTAAAATTTTGTAGATTTGATAACAAAAACTGGTTTCTTGTCATAATTTGCCTTTTTTAAAGATCTTAAACTATAGGTTTGAGAACTACTAGCATTTCCTCTTTTGTGAATTGACACTTCCTTTTTTCTGCCCAGCAAAAAATTTAAATTGCAAATACATGGGATGTAGAATTTTTTAAATTGCAAGTTGCAAAGAGATGTAAGAGCACCTTCCCTTCGCCATCCTAAACTGCTCTTTCCACCCCTCCAGGTCTACGAGGCCCTCCTCCAGCGGTATGCCATGCTTGAGCAGAGAATCCTGACCCAGACCCGGGGGCCTCCGGAGTGAATTCCACAGGCCCAGTCTCACTGATTCCACTTGGAGACGTGGCCTTGGACAGCAGGGAACCTCTTCCCTGTTGCAAGCAGCTCTGCCTGCCCACCTGACGCCTTACGGTGCTCCAACCTGCCCAGGACCACCTTAAAGCCCACCTTAGCACATCCTCCTGAACACAGCTTGTGTCCCTGTGCCCTTGTGCCCAGGGCAGGAAAGCATCTCTCTTCCTGTCTTTTATCCCAGGAGGCAAGATAACACTGAGCCTGGGATATGTCCAATAAAAATTGTGACTTTTCCCCTTTTGGGACCTAAATCAGCAGAATGGGAGAGACAAAGCGAAATAAATAGATTCTTTCCTCTTTATTCACTAGTTTTCAAGATGATGAGTTGATTGCCAAGCATCCTCTAACAGCAACTAGATTTTTAGTATCAATATGATACATTTGACATACTTTATATGTCTTAATCCATTGAGTAATTATTTTTCTCCCTGTCTTCTTTCTGATAGCCATACTCTCCAACTTTTCTCCTACTTTCCTGATCTACCATTCATTCTTTCTTCTTTACTGTTACTTCTGCTCTGTCTACTCCTTAATGATTGCTGGGCCCCAAATCTCTGTTCTCATTCCTCTCTCCCTCCAATTCTCTCTTGTTGGATGGTTTCATCTAGCCTTGGGCTTCAACTGCTACTTATATACTAGTAACACCCAGCTCTATGTTTCCAGCCACAACTCTCCTTGGAGTCAGCCAACATTCTCACAGGGGTACTTCAGACTCCGCTTATCTTTTTTTTTTTTTTTAAATTTTTGAGTCTTTTTCATTTTTTTTTTTAATTTATTTATTTTTGGCTGCTTCGGGTCTTTGTTGCCGCACTCGAGCTTTCTCTAGTTGTGGAGAGTGGGGGCTACTCTTTGTTGTGGTGAGTGGGCTTCTCATTGCGGTGGCTTCTCTTGTTGTGGAGCACGGGCTCTAGGCACGCAGGCTTCAGTAGTTGTGGCACATGGGCTCAGTAGTTGTGATTCACGGGCTCTAGAGCGCAAGCTCAGTAGTTGTGGCGCACGGGCTTAGTTGCTCTGTGGCATGTGGGATCTTCCCGGACCAGGGCTCAAACCCATGTCCCCTGCATTGGCAGGCGGATTTTTAACCACTGTGCCACGAGGGAAGCCCCAGACTCTGCTTATCTTCCCTTGCCCTTCCCCAAACCTCCTCCTCCAGAGTTCCTGTTTCAGTGAATTGGTACCACCAACCATCCTTTCATTCATTCATTCAGGAACCCAAACCCAAAACTCAGATATCTGCTTTCCCACATCAAATCAGTCACCAAGTGATTTTTGTTATTCCTTTGGTAACTCTTAAAACAGTTCCTTTCTCTCCATCCCTCCCTGTTTTACTTTATTCCTTGCTCAAATTATTGCAGAAGCCTCCACAGAAAGTCTGCCTCCTGCAAAATCCTCCAGATTTTTCTTCTGCCGCAGGCCCACACCTATGTTGGGACTTCAGTTAAACCAAACTACTTGTGATTTCACCCAGAGTAGGAAAATGCTGCAACAGCTTTGAGACCTAGTGGATCAGAGCAGAGACAGAGACTACCCTAGTGGGAAGTCAAGGGAAGAGGTTTAGAAAATGAGTAGGACCAGAGACACCACTTGTGAGAAAGCTGAAGTCATCTTGAAAGGGAGTGGTGTCCCTTGCGGGCTTGGTGGATAAAGGCAAAAAGGGAAACAAGAAGCTGAAGATAACAGCCTATCAACAACAGGTCAAAGATTCAGAAGAGGAACTTCCCTGGTGGTCCAGTGGTTAAAAATCCGCCTTCCAATGCAGGGGATGCCGGTTTGATCCCTGGTCAGGTAACTAAGATCCCACATGCCACGGGGCAACTAACCCGTGCGCCACAACTACTGAGCCTGTGCACTCTAGAGCCCTTGCACCACAACGACTGAGCCTGCATGCTCTAGAGCCCGCACGCCACAACTAGAGAGAAGCCCACGTGCCACAACGAAGGATCCCACGGGCTGTGACTAAGACCCGACGCCACCAAAAAAAAAAAAAAAGATTCAGAAGAAAACAGACAACTCTCCCCACCACCACCACCTAGACATTACTTATTAAAGAAATTATATTATTGGCCAACAAGAAAAGGTCTCTTTTCTACCAAGAAACAGAAAGCCACTCAATCCATTCCCCATTTTACCCCTGCCCCCATAGAGTTGCCCATTATTACAAGGACGTCAACATAAATAGAAAAAGGAACTCACTTTGTACAAATTTGGGAAGAAAACAAAGTGAGAATCATAACTTTTCAAGCTAATGAAATACACCCAATACAAAGGAACAAAGAGGGTAAACTGTTAACAGCCCTCCAACGTGAACTTTAAAATAAAAAACAACGGCGGATATGAAAGAATACCACAGATCAGAAATTCAGAAACTCAGAGTAAAGATGAAAAAGCAACAAGCGTATATGGAAAGAGAACTGACCAAACTTGGGAAAGAATTTGAACAGAAAGGTAAAGTCACCCTAGATAATGAAGACTACATTACAACATACCCAAATGAAAATAGGAACGACAGCAAGTGCCATAAAGCATATAGAAGATAGGAATGAAAAAAGCTAAGACAGCAAAAACAATATAAAGGAAGACCTGGAAAGGCCCAGAAAGAAAATGATAGACAGGCAAAGAAAAACTAACACAGTTAAAGTTGGAGCTCTTGAAGCTAAAATATAAGACAATGGAGCAGAGTTAATATTTAAAACTAACCCCAGAGAAATTCCTGAAAACAAAAGACCTGACTCCATATCTTTTTAAAAAATATATATATTTATTTATATATTTGGCTGCGTTGGGTGTTAGTTGTGGCATGTTCTGACTAGGGATAGAACTTGGGCCCCCTGCATTGGGAGCATGGAGTCTTAGCCACTGGACCACCAGGGAAGTTCCTGAATCTGTATCTTGAAAGGGCCTATCTTGTTACTTGGAAAATTGACCCAGAATGATCAACTGAGACACATCCTAGCAAACTATTACACTTTGAAGGTGAGGGGGAATATTCTCTAGGCCAAAAGGCCTAGTCTCTTACGCAGGAGAGATCAGGTTGACATCAAACTTTTCAAAAAGCAAGTAGCAATGGAGCAACATTTTCAAGAAACTCAAAGAAAACATATGAACCAATTGTTTTGTGTCCAGCTAAGCTGCCCTTTAAGTAACAAGGATGTTTAAAAAGAGCTCAGGAAATATTGTACTCATAACCCTCTTAGGATTCTACTAAAACAAGCTTCGTCCAGCTAGGAGATGATTGGGGAAATTTCAGCCAAAGGACTCATAGTGAGCATTGAATAGTTTTAGATCTAAGACCAAAGTGAAAGTGGGGATAAGGGTGGAAGAAGAGTATCAAATGGCATGTGCTTTGACACAGTAGAAGTAACATAACTAAATAAATCAAAAAGAAGGAAAAAGACAGTACAAAGAGCTCTGTTGCAAAGGCAATATGTGCAAGTCAAAGAATATCATTTCAAGTTGACAAACCAAATATCAACGCTTAAATAAGGAAAAAGTAAGTGTAGCATCATATACAGAGTGAATGTAATAAGGACGAGCATATGAGCCGTATCAGTAAATGAAAACTCAACTCATCATCTAAAAAAAAAGTTCAGCTTGGCTTACAAACTAACATCTTACCGTCTATTATTTACAAGAGACACACCTAAAATAAGTGATCCAGAAAGGCTAAAAAGTAAAGGGGTGGACAAAAATATACCAGGCACATACAAATTATAAAAAGCAAAGCTTACGGGCTTCCCTGGTGGCGCAGTGGTTGAGAGTCCGCCTGCCGATGCAGGGGACGCAGGTTCGTGCCCCGGTCCGGGAAGATCCCACATGCCGCGGAGCGGCTGGGCCCGTGAGCCATGGACGCTGAACCTGCACGTCTGGAGCCTGTGCTCCACAACGGGAGAAGCCACAACAGTGAGAGGCCCGTGTACCGCAAAAAAAAAAAAAAAAAAAAAAAGATTGAGCAAATTCCCTGGCGGTCCAGTGGTTAGGACTCGGTGCTTTCACTGCCAGGACCTGGGTTCGATCCCTAGTCAGGGAAGTAAGATTCTGCAAGCCGCGTGGTGCAGCCAAAAAAAAAAGACATAATGAAATCTATGGGTATAATTAAAGCAGTGATAGGTGAAGTATAGCTTTAAAATGCAGTAACATTGATACAAATAAAAGTGTAAGAGTTAAATGAATTAAAAATACAACTCAAAAAGCAGTAATAATAATAAACTAGTGAACAAAAAAGACAGAAGAAGTAACGAAGATCAGATCACGCATTAGGAAAAAATGACGATTCCACCTAATTAATCTTTTTTTAGAAAGACGCTAGTTATTTTCTCTCTAGAAAGTCCATTTCTGAGATATTTTATTCTCCCTTCATTACGTTCACTTTTCCCAGAAATCTTTCAGCATATTTATAATAGCTTTTAAAAATGCCTTGACTGATAATGACATCATCTATGTCATTTCTGTTTCTGTTGACTGATTTTTCTCCTGATGGGTCATATTTTCCTGCCTCCTCTCATATCTAGTAATTTAAAAATTTTTTAATTAAATTTTTTTTATTATACAGTGCCAGATTTGTTAAATTCCTTTAAAAATGTTGACCTGTTGTCTGGTAGGTATTTAAGCTACTTATAGATCAGCTTGATCATTTCAAGGCTTGGTAGTGTGGGCTTACAGTAGCCTTGATTCTAGGGCTAGCTTAGCTCCACTGCCATGGAGTAACCCTCTGAGTCTTTACTCTCAGTGTCCTGGGTGTTCAGTGAGGACTTTCCACTTTGGCTGGTTAGAACTAAAAACTATCCTGTGCCAGTCTTGGAACTATTCAGCTTGCTTGCTTTCTTCCCTCACCTCATGGAGTATCATTCTGTGTATGTGAAACCTAGAATTCAGCAAAAGCCCCAAGGAGACTCATCTGCAAGACCTACAGCTTTCTCTCTGCAGCTCCCTCCACCCTGTACTCTGCCCCGTCAGTTTGCTGCAGCCTTCCTCATCTCCCGAGCTCCAACCTCTCTCTCTGTCCCCAACTCGACAAGGTTGCCAGGCTCTGCCTGGGGTGCACTTCCTGCATTGTGGACTGGAATTTGTCTCCAGGCAGAAAGCAGGGGCAGTCATAAGCCTCACTTTGACTGCCTTTTTCCCCCCAGGGATTAGAGGATTGTACAAGGTCCAGAAATAAATAGTTGCCTCCTATATTTTGTCTAGTTTTCTTGTTATGGCTCCAAAGGGCAAATACCGTTCCAGCTACTGCATGATGGCTGGAAGTAAAACATCTTATCCAGCTTGATTTTGGTTCCACTTCCAGAAGTTTCTCCTCTTTGG